ATGCCTCGCCATGTCGACCAGAGCATTTCATACGTAGAGACAATTCAATGTGCTTTCCATTAGCGAGATTAGCACCAACATTACAGCACAATTTAAATTCTGTCTGCAGTTCTGATTTCTTACATTACTTCCATTTATTCCTAAAGGAGAGAAAAGATGTATAAGGAGAGCATCTCTGTTGCTTCGGTGATTTGGGACAGATTGGAGTTAATGAAGTACAACATAATGTTTTATAACTAATGGTAGAACTAAAGATGTAATCAGTGGTTTTTGTTTCTTGTTCTGTTAGTCTAATTGATACCTTCTACCTGCCATTCCACTTCATTATCTACAGTGTTTCTTTAATGATGTTTATGAAAATTAATTGTAATGTGCCAATTTGTCTGTATTATGGGCTTTAACAAAATAGCCACTCTGTTCATCCCATGCTAATAGATTATCCACTCACTGCTAAAAGGTTCTACTTTTCAATTTTCTGTCCATAAACATACATTTAAAATAGAGCTGAAAGCCCCCTAAGCACCTGCTTATCTGATGAAACACTGAGTCATAAGCTGCTATTTAGAGTTAGCACTGTGTAAATGGTTCTGCAATGAGGTGTTGCACACATTACACCATCATCTGAATTAATTTAACGCCAAGGAGCTGCTGATATTACGACTGCTTTTAGTGTTTGTTTGGTTTTATTTATTGAAAATAATGTTAAAAACCTTGTAAATGGTACATTTGCCTAAAGAAGGCATATTTGATTCAAATATATTCTGAAATTCAGTTATTTTGTGTGGAGCCAGATGGCTGCCACCCTTAAATTCAGTAGGGATCTAAGAAAATATGGATACACTGAAATATTGCCATATTTCATGTTTGTGAATGGATATTTCAAAAAGTTGCATCAGTTTTGATTTAGAATTTACATGCACACATCCACAGTATTTCTTTCTGTGGTGTAATTCACACTCCTACCACTAGATGGCAGCATCTTTTACTGCCTTATACTGAGGTCTCACAATAACACAAGATGTGTCTTGGAAATGTCTGGTCGGAGTTTTACAAGTAAATTAAATCTTAAAATTATAAAACATATGTCTTAAAGTTATAAAATATATATCATCAGGCTTTTAGTATCACAATATATGGTATTGCTTCCCCTGTATTTTTGATAAATATTATATTGTTTCCCCTGTATTGTGATAAATATTGTATTGTTCCCCGTATTTTGATAAATATCGTATTGTTCCCCGTATTGTGATAAATATCGTATTGTTCCCCGTATTGTGATAAATATCGTGATGTTCCCCCGTATTGTGATAAATATTGTATTGTTTCCCCTGTATTGTGATAAATATCGTGATGTTCCCCCGTATTGTGATAAATATTGTATTGTTTCCCCTGTATTGTGATAAATATCGTGATGTTCCACCGTATTGTGATAAATATTGTATTGTTTCCCCTGTATTATGATAAATACCGTGATGTTCCCCCTGTATTGTGATAAATATCGTATTGTTTCCCCTGTATTATGATAAATACCGTACTGTCACTATACAGAAAATGCAGTTCATCTCAAGACTTTGCTTTTAAAGTGACCTGACTTTTGTTTTTTCACTAATTTTTTACTTGACTTTGTGTGTATATACAAGCATTGCTTGCCCTGCACACTTAAGTTGGATTGTGTAAAACTCCCATCAGTCATTGCTTTAAAATTGAAGCTGTAATAAATGGAACTCGCATCGACAAAAGAAACTAGAGAATGCAAAATACCAGTCGCCAGTTTCTAGAATCAAACATCTTTTGTTTGTGACTTCAAATGGTGTTTTTCTTTTAGGGACTCTGGTAGTTTGTCCTAAAGTTGAAGTGGTAGCAGTCGGCTGCTTCTCCTCTGATATTATTGAGCAGAGAACCTCTCACACAGTGGTGTTTGTTGCTAAATATGTGAGAACCTCTCACACAGTGGTGTTTGTTGTTAAATACGTGAGTGTGTGATGAGTGGAGGACCCAGGTAAATGTGGAAGGATATATTTGCAGGATATTTGTAAAATCTTGAAGCTTAACTATAGTATATTATCCCCTGGAGGAGTGATATTTCTGCACACCTGAAAAAAGAACACACACACACACACACACACACACACACCCTAATACTCTTCTCTGAAATCAAAAAATAAGACTGATTCCAGGTCAGTTTGTCATGTGTCTGGAAAGCCTGATACACCAGCTACACACATGCAGGAACATCCCTGCAACACACACACACACACACACACACACACACACACACACACACACACACACACACACACACACACACACACACACACACACACACACACACAGAGCGAGAACCCAATAAACAAGTGCTATTGAGTACCAAGGAGGGTCAGGAGTAATAATGGCTGGCTCCTCTTGACTCCGTCCCTCTCTCTTCCCTCCTTCATGAATTCAATTCTCTTTTCAGTGTGAAGACCTTTCCACCCTCTCAATCTCGCTGTCCTCCGCTTTTTCTCACACTGCTTTTGCTCTCTCTCTTTCTCCATCACTTTTCCTCTGCTCTTTCATTTCAGTTTTCCTTTCATCCTGTTGAGCTTTTTTTCCAGCAAAGGCTCCCTTTTATTTGGTTTTTAGTGGCTCGTGTCAACATGCTGCAACTCTAAGGTTATAACTCTTTACCCACATCTGAACATTCTTCAGTTATCATTCAAATAGAGTCTGTAAAATGAAACAGTTAAACACATCAGTGTCCTTGCTTTTGATCAAAGTCCAAACACACTTTTCATGTTTGTTCCTTTGAATGGCATTTATTAGCGATGGGGTTATTTAATAAAATGAAACATGAAATTTGATTAATAGTTCAAAGTTATCAGAACTAAATGCAGAATCATATTTTCTAATCCATTAAAACCATAGAATGTAAATAATGTAACCAGGAACAAATTAAAACTTTGTACGTGTTTACATTCTGTCATTTTCTTACATTTGAAGGTTGGACTAAATACTTGTTTTTGTTTCCTATTTCTCAGATAAATAGACCCAGGGGCCATTCATTTGAGTTTTATAGATGAGTGAGTAGAAAATGTTTTTTTTTTCCCACCTGATTTAGAGACGATCTTCAGCATCCAAATGAATCTGAGCTATCTGAAGGTGAAGCGTCTACTTTGGACCATCCTATAAATTGACTTTTCCATTTCTACTCTAATTTGTTGGTAAATGAGAATGCTCAGACTTCTGAGGTGGTAGAATTGTCTCACTGCAATGGTTCTCTGGTGCTGACCACCCTCTGAAAGTCACAATGGGGTTCATCTTTGCAGGGTCTTAGCAAAGTCTTAAAGACCAAGTTCACTCATTTTCTCGACATGTCTGAAGTGGTCTCTTAGCCTAGTGTTCTAGAGCAAATTCTTGCTTTGCAAAGTTTGATCTAGGAAGGCTCCATTGGAACCTCTACAGCCCCTAGCAGCATTCTGGCTGGTCACAGGTCTTTATAGTGGTTTCAATCCTATAGAGCACTGTGATTGGTCCACAGTGATGGGCCAATCACAGTGCTCTATCAGCTTTGTGAACCAATCACAGTGATTTATCCAGTTTGTGGGCCAATCAGGGCCCTGTATTTGTCTGGTGGGTGGGATGTTGCAACAGAGTAGAACAAGATGGCGACAGCTTGTTTGAAACGGCTTTTACATCAATTTTGGACTATTTGGACTTTGGCTTTATTACAGTCAGGAGCAGATAGATGTATTTAAGTCCTTTTTTTTAAAAAAAAGGATGTATTTTCACCTTCTTCAATTGCGGACTGCCTCGTTTACTGACATCCGTTGTGGTGAGTACGTCCCGTTGTTCATTGTCCAGTAGTATGTGGCGATCGTTTGGAAGTCAATGGTACAACCCGTCCCACCACAAGAGCCTTCAATGGAGCGTTGCCAGACTAAATAATATATTTATTTAGTCTGTATCGATATAATATCATATCACGATCAAATATTGGAATCTTAATCCAGTTTGAAGGGACCCTAATTCAGATAATGGTGGATTAGCCCCTTCACTTTTTTACATTCATGTTACTGAAGACTATGAGCACAGACCATTTTACCCCATGAGAGTGAAACACCTGGGTACACCTGTGCAGCATGCTGTTTTAAAGCCCCATTTTCTGCTCTGTTTTATACAGGTTTAGCCCTAAGGGCCACATTTGGTTGATTTCTCTGAATTAGCCAATCACCAAAGAGCTTTTAAGGTATGCTTGCCCATTGGGCGGGGGCCGGAGCAGTATAAAAGGGTTCGAGGACCAGCATAGTCTCCCGTTCTCCCTTAAAACAACCATTTCACCACAAACTAAAGTGTAGATGGAATGGATTTACTGACCAGATATTTTTTGTCTTATTGCGACCTGCATGCCTCTGGGCCTTTTTTTTTTTGCTCTTGTTGTGTAAATCAATTATATCATTTTACTTTGTGTACATGCAACTATTGCCTTCAGCCATTCTATAGATGCTGTCAAAGACAAACTTCTCATTTTTTTGCAGACTAGCAGTTTGTTTATTTGCAACTACAACATTGTTTGTCATTTGTTCTCTGAATGAGTCCTAAACTAGTAATTTTACTTTAAAGATTTGGGTGTTTGGAGCATCAAAAACTGAGTTTATTAATAATTTAGGTTTTATGAATCCAAGGTTATTTTTATAGCTGCAATCTAAAAGTAATTTTATGCATTTGTATTTGTGACAAAGAAAAGCAGACGGAAGTTGTATTTTTAAGGGGTATTGCTCTGCCAGATCTTTCAAAGAAAAGAACAGATAAGAAAATAACAGGAAGGAATCTGATTGCTACAATGTGGAAACACAACTCTGGGTGTAATTAGTTGTCCTTTGTGTATGTTGCATGAGTTTAAGGAACTTTTCAAAATAAAAACCCTAAAATTGTCCAAATATCTTGTTATTGACATCCACTTTTCTAACTATTTATTGCATTTTAACTGAATTTCATGATTCCATGTATCTGCTGCCCCCTAGATGTGCCAATGGATTCTACGGCCAGCCCAGTATACCAGAAGGATCCTGTCAACCCTGTGACTGCACTGGCAACTTGGATTTATCCCTACCTGGCAGCTGTGATCCTATCACAGGCCAGTGTTTGAGGTGTCGCCAGGGTTACGGTGGAGACACTTGTGAGATCTGCGTGGACGGGTACTATGGAGATGCTGTCATAGCGAAGAACTGCACACGTACGTAATTGCACATTATAACATAAATATCTAGAGCTATGCCAAGCTAAGTACAGTTTGATCCTGATCTCTGTCTTAGATCAGGCTCTAGGAAAACCAACCATATGACATATCTGACCTTTGATTGTGTTGTTAGGTGGTAGAAAGTGATTCATTGAGTACTGATTAAAACAGACTCCCTAAAGGTATAGTTGGGGTATTCTAATGGAGTGTGAAGATTATATGATTTTTGCTGTGGCAGATTTGGCACCTTCAAGTCCTTCACTGTTTTACATTGCCAATGTTTTATTTTTTTCAACTGGTTACACACATGAGTGTTTAACAAAAACATCTGATTCTTTTTACTGGACATTATTTGTTTTTATACCCCCCACGTTGTCCAGACTTTAACATGTAAGTTCACTTTATGGGGGCTTGTCTGGGATTTGTAGAGAATTTTTATATCTTGGAATGTATATGGTAAGTCCCATATATTTGGTTTTCTTATTTTGCTCAGCTGGGAAGGGAGGAGGCCCATGTTTAGTTGGTCTTTTTGGCCTAGCCTTTTCATATTTACATTTTTATGTAGGGCTGTGTTAGCTGACGTGGCTCTTCAATATTGCATGGACATTGAGGGCAGTTCCACTGTATTGGCAGACCGGGGTGGTGGTCCCCCTATTTAAAAAGGGGGACCACAGAGTGTGTTCCAACTACAGGGGAATCACACTTCTGAGCCTCCCTGGTAAAGTCTATTCTGTGGTTCTGGAGAGGAGGGTCTGGCGGATTGTCATACCTTGGATTCAGGAAGAGCAATGAGGTTTTCGTCCTTACCATGGAACACTGGCCTAGGTCTATACCCTTAGGGTGAGTGGGAGTTTGCCCAATCAATCTACATGTGTTTTGTGGATTTGGAGAAAGCATTTGACCGCGCCCCTAGGGGGGCCCTCTGGGAGGTACTTCGGGAGTATGGGGTACCAGGCCCTCTGATACGGGCTGTTAAGTCCCTGTATGATCGGTGTCAGAGCTTGGTCCACATTGCTGGCAGTAAGTCAAGCTTGTTTCTGGTGAGGGTTGGACTCCGCCAACGCTGTCCTTTGTCACAGATTCTGTTCATACCTTTTATGGACAAGATTTCTATGCGCATCCAAGGTGTTGAGGGCATCTGTTTTGGTGGCCTGAGGGTCAGGTCTCCCTGGTGAGGTTTTCCAGGCACGTCCAACCGGGAGAAGGCCTAAACGAAGACCCAGGACATGTTGGAGAGACTATGTCTCAAGGCTGGTCATAGAACACCTTAGGATTCCCCTGGAGGAGCTGGTCTAAGTTGTTGGGGAGAGGGAAGTCTGGGCCTCCCTACTTAGGCTACTTCCCCCGCAACCCCACCCCGATTAAGCAGCCAAAAATGGATGGGCATTTTTATATAAGGCTACATATTATGCAAAGCTCTCATTCTTTGGATTATTATGTTGCTATTTTTATTTTTACTGCCTCTACTAACACACAATTTGAGAATATAAACCATCCATCTATTTTCTGTCAGAATTTGGTGTCTGCAATCTTACGCAGGGGACACACCGGCCGCGGAAGCGCCGCGAAGCGAATCGCTCACGAAATTCGGCCGCTACTCGCCGCTCCTCAGTTCAGATCAGACGCACTCCAGCTGAGGCGCGCCTCGGCTCAGCTGTAGTTTTTCTTTTAAACACTTGGTGTCCTCTATTTCCTCTCTGCCTTTTCTCAGCTCTTTTCCTCTACGTTTGAGTGTGTGTGTGTGTGTGTGTGTGTGTGTGTGTGTGTGTGTGTGTGTGTGTGTGTGTGTGTGTGTGTGTGTGTGTGTGTGTGTGTGTGAACCTATGGTATGAGTTGTTTCTGCCAGTTGAATCTCTTGGAACCCGCTCCAATTCTGCAGCTGTATCCTAGCAGTTTCTTCCTAAATGGGTACGTAAATAACCATGTTTTTTGGGGGTCGTACAGCTCCTTGTGTTTCTCAGCTTAATTCATTTAAAGTCATCCATCTTAACTGCTTGCCTCAGAATTTCTGCCTCTCTGTCCTGTTTGCTCCGGTGAAAAGACACCCAAAACCACACCCCCCTTCACGTGGTCACACACGCACACAAGTTCGATGTGTGTGTATGTGTGTACGTGTTCGTGTGGTTTTTCTGCAGTGTCTGATTACGAACACATTTGACTATTGCGGAATTTTATTTTGAAATGCTTTAATTTGTTAACTTTACCGGCCTGCCTCTTATGTCTAGGTTTGACTTCCTGCCAGAATTGACGCGATTCACCCGCGGCTCGCGAAAAAAATAGAGCCGACGCCAAAATGATCGCTGCACGGCGCGGGCTGGAGCGCCGGCGCGAGGCGATTCGCGGCGCTTCGGCGGCCCATGTGATCTATAGAATAGCTTAACAAGGGCGCCGAATGAAGGTGGTCCCATTTTCGCGGCGCTTCCGCGGCCGGTGTGTCCCCGGCGTTACGCTTCTATGTGCCATTTGAAAATGTCCCTTATTGTGATGTCACAATCAGGAAAATATGTATAGAACATCCCCCTACCCTGTTAGCATTTAGGAAGGAATCTGCTCTGTATGTCAATGAGCAGTGGCTCTACTCCAAGCCCCTACTAATATCTGTGCACTTCATCTCATTATACACCAATCAGGGGATTGTTGGGCGTGGCTAGCAGCACTTCATTTGCATTAAAGTCATAAAGCCCTGGGATGGCTCATTTTGGAGGGAACTGAAAATGTTAAGAATAAAGCATCTGAAACTGCTAAATGTGAGAGAGATCTATGCAAAGAACTTAAAAAACATAATTAATATATCTTGCATTGACTATTGAACTATTATTCAAGGATGAAAATGTCACAATAATTTAGATTTGTATCAAATTCCATTCTCTGCAGATGTTTTTTGATTTCCCTTCTCCCTGAGGTATGGACATATACAAATTACACCACGTCCCTCGTCACCTGACCTGACTAAACAAGTGAACATAGCATATTTACTTCCAGTTCACCTTGACACTGTCAACAAACTAAAACTCTCCAGAACATTTTAAAACACCTGTAATTACAAAAAAATCATGAGAGAGAATAGTTTATTTTTCAACGGCTTTTTCTAAAGAGCCAGCAGTGGAGCTTTAGTGTCTCAGCAGGGGTGTTACACTGAACAGCACTCTGTCCTTATGAAACTTAGCTAAAATTACTTAAATGATACCTTTAATACTTTCACTAAAACAGTGAGTAGATAGTACACCATCTGGAGTGTGGACATGTGTGTCGACGAGCAGCTGTGCCGGTAGGAGGTGTGATGTCGGAGCAGCCCACCGACAGCCAGCTGTGCTTAAAAAGTGAGAATAAAAACTATACCTGTAAAGAGAAAAATAAGAGAGGTGGAGGGACTGAGAGACGGCAGCAACACAGGCGTACAGATGGCACTTGTTCATGAAAGCCTTCATTAAAACCTCCACTGTTGACAAAAGCAGGAGCACAGGCAGGAGGGCAGACACCTCACACTGAGCCAAAGACGGACAGAGTGATAAACACACAGATAAGTGTGTGTCAGAGCAGCACAAAATCAGCAAGACGGCCTGACAAAGGGTATTAATGTGCGTTTGATAGTTCATTGTTCTGTAGTTGTTTCCCCTCTCCACCCACCTAAATGGTTATTGATTAATCAGCCTGATCTATTGCTCCCCTGCAGTACTGATCAGTGGCTCGTGTCTGGAAGATGGAGGGTTGTTATCGATCCTGCATGAATGACAAAAGACCACCGAGAATTATTAAAAGACAACAACTCTCCCTCTGCCTCCTTCTCCCTATCATTCCCAGTCTTAATGAATTTTATTGAGTGGGGCTGGGGAGTTCAGGGCAAGTCCATTTGTGAACTATTAAACTGAAAAAAGCAATCCTTTATGCTTTCTTTCCTTTCTTCTCTTTCGTCAGAGTTCCTTTCTTACTCCATTAATGATTTAGTCTAATTCCTTTTAAAATGGGGATTTTTATTTTCTAGCAAACTTAAAGTAGCTTTCCGGAGTTTTTTTCTTTCAGAAAGTGTGTATGATTTTTCAGAAATCCGTAAGAGTGATTGTTTCACCATGTACTGTGATATAATGTAAGCAGCACGCCCCCTGCCCTGCAGAGCTCCATGCAAAAGGAAACTGAGCGCCGACTAGAACTAACCAATAGCGTTAGACTACTGCTTAGATGCTTCAAATTTAAGGAATACCTCGGCTGACGCAGAGTTGATGAACTTTTCACGGACAAGAAAGTCTCTAAAATATAAATATATGAGAACACAACATGACATGAGAATAATACTTGTTAAACTACCTGTTTTAGCTCCGTTTGTCGGCTACAGAAGGACATAAATAAATAAAAAACGTGAAGCCGCCATCTTAAAAAAATGGATGGAGACACTATTTATGTAATATGCATCGGATAAGAGAAATACTCTGGAAAGAAACTTGAACTACAACTACTTTAATATATTTGTTTTGTTTTACTGTATTTTTCATCATTTTTAACTAGACATCAGATTTATGTTGTTATTTTTACATTTACTTCTTTGTTCAAATATTTGTTTTATTGACTTAATAATGGAATAATTTGTAACACAAGAGTACCTTTATTAACATTACCTGGTGCATTATTACATAAATAAAATACCGGGAATGGTAATACATGCACTAATTGATGTTAATAAAGAGACTGTTATTGTGTATTTTTACCAATGATTAAGAATTTTTGTACTTAAGTATGGAAGCTCATTCCTGCCACACTGATAAAAATGATTTTGTATCTCATTATTATGATTTAGTTATCTCATATTTAACTAAATCATAAAAACGAGATAGAAATTCATATTTATGAGGTAAACTATTTTTTTTTTATCAGAGTGGCAGAAATGGGCTTCCGTACAATTAAAGAATATCCATTTGGCCTTTTTATTCACCAAACTTTATCTCCTTTTTTGGATATATAATTTCACCACATTTTCCATCCTCTTTTTCATACATTTTTATTCTTCCCATACAAAACCTTTAGCTGGAGAACATTTAAAAGAAAAATAACACAAGTAGACACTAAACTGATCATTTTAATGTCATAAATCAGATCTCTCTCAGGCTTTTCTTTCCCAGCAGATTTAAACCAAAAACAATTTGTTGATCTGACAGATGGTTGATGCTGAATAACTGAGCATAATGCTCTTCAAGTTATCTTGAGAGGCAGATTTAAATACAGCAGTAACTTTATACCCCAGAACAAGGCTTCATTGTAAGTCCAGATGGTCCCAGAAAGATGAAGGAAGGAGAGAGAAAGGACAGAGATTAGCTTAAATGTTCAGTTTTCCCTGTGTGTGTGTGTGTGTGTGTGTGTGTGTGTGTGTGTGTGTGTGTGTGTGTGTGTGTGCGTGTGTGCGTGCGTGCGTGCGTGCGTGCGTGTGTGTGTGTGTGCGTGCGTGTGTGTGCCCTTCTTCTTACCATCAGTATTTTATCATCTCACACTCACATCCATACATCTGCCTGTTCTACATCAGAGATGAAAGAACAGCAGGAGGCAGGACACACTTGTACCCATCTATACTTACGATGGGATGCGATGTAACTCCATTACAAAGCATATATACTGTGTGTGCTATCGTGCTTGTAGAGGCTCGTATAACAGATGGAAGCTGTGATGTTCAAGCTTTTAATTGTGCATCTCCAGGGCTGATTGGCGTGTGTAGGTGTAATTTATTGTCAGCATAGATTTAAACATTAGGTTTAGGTAAGGTAAAGTTGTGGAGACTATTAGATGGTACAGGAAGAGATGTGGGATAGTGGGGATAGATCTGTATATCTGTCGGCCGATGAATCTGGATGATCTTTACCGTTTTTTTATATTGGCATCGGCCAAAAGACCTCTTTAGTAGAGCCGGTTTAAAAACAGGCTCATCTGCTGGTAATGAAGGCAACTGGACTTGTTTGGTTTCTTGAAGATTTTTCGCCTCCCATCCGAGGAACTTTGTCAATTCTGACCAGAATATGGGAGTCAAGCTTGTAAGATGTAGCTGTCTATTGTTATTTAACGAGCAGAAACTACTCTTGAGTACTGTTTCTCTCTCCCCCCGGATCGTTGTTGGCATCTGTTGTGAAGGAGTCGTGTTGATTAGATGCAGGAAGGTGGGACCGAGACCGAAACTGCTTAGGAAGAAGATTCAAAGCTGCATTATAGGTACTAGAAAGGTGAAATCTAAGCCCCTCCCCTGTTTAAAGTAGGTGTTTCACATTTGGCATAGATAGCTTCTTTACTCCTCTTTCAAACCATCTATCTTCTCTGATGTGAAGGACAAGGGACACACTTTTGAAGATGACAAAGTACACATTCAGGACAGAGAAGATGGATGGTTTGAGACTCCTTCACAATAGTGGCTAAGGTCATAAATGCAAATTCACATTGGGACATCACAGTGTTAAGATTTTCTAATCCTAACATTACATGGTTTATTTTCAGAAGCTAATGCAGAAGAAAGGTCAAGGAGATTATTTTCTTGTTCAGCCTGCATGAAAAACTCAGGGTGACCCATTAGAATAAGAAATAATCATGAAAAACATGTTTTTTCTGTCAACCACACCTTTAAAAGGTAAAAATAACAAAATTACAAGGAAGACATAGACAGGTCAAACACTGAAGATGCTCTTTTTACCCAACCAAAATAGGTCCAATTGATCACATTTAGTCTCTTTTGCACAATAAACATAAAATCCATTTTTAATAAACATTTACACAGATTTAGAAACAGTTAGGGTCTAGGGAGGCCGTAGGTCTTTATTTGATAAAGTAATTAAACATAAAAATAGCAAAACAATCGGAATGACTGCCATGGTGGTTCTAATGTTAACTTGAGACTCTTGATTGGTGTGAGTGAATGTGTCGACTATTGTATTATTTTTGGTTTCTGGTCTCTTTTAGCCTGCCAGTGCCACTCGAATGGTTCTGTGTCTGAAGTGTGCAACAGGGAGAGCGGGCAGTGTCAGTGCAGAGAAAACGTGGTTGGACGACAGTGTGACAAGTGCATGGTAAGCATCCATTTCCTAATGCTGACTCAAAACCTTCAGCTGTAGTTTTTCAGTTCTACTTGTGGCTGTGGCTGTTTTCGGCTCAGATATGAAGAACTAGTCAACGTTTTATTTACATTTTTTACTTTTTTATTGCATAAAATAAACCTAGAAATCACCAGATAGATCCTTAATGAATGCACTGCAGCTTTAACAATAGTAGACAGGACATTATGAGTAGTATTAGAAATAGATACAAGCTGTTTATCATCGACACACAGGAGAAATAATTTAACTTCTTCATGTTTTTATTTCAGAAATAACTGTGAAAAAGTTCCTTCGTACATGCAGAGCAAATGTGTTGTTGTGTTTTCAATATGTCACATAAACATTTTTTTCTAAACACTTCTCAGAAACATTATTATTAATTTAACATCCTCCCACATGAAAGTCACACCAAGATATCTGCTGGAGGTTTTTACTTTGTTCATTGAAGATATATACGAAGGAGAATTAGGGCCACTGAAAAGAAAATAATTCTGGTTTTTTGACTTCTGAGAAAAAAGTCAAAATTCTTATTAAAAAGGTCAGATTTCTGAGAAATTAAATCTCAATTCTGATGAAATAAAGTCTGAATTCTGATATTAAAGTTCTAATTCTGAGATTAAGGTCAGAATTCTGAGATTAAAGGCAGATTTCCTAGATTAAAGTCTATTTCTGAGATTAAAGTTGCAATTCTGAGATTAAAATCAGAATTCTAAGATTAAAGTCAGAATTCTGAGATTAAACAGAATTCAGAGAATAAAGGCAGAATTCTTAGATTAACTCATTCCCTGCCAGCCGTTTCCTGATCACTAACGGCTTGCGCTGCCAGCGTTTCTCACCGTTTTTACTGTTTTTTAAGAGTCACAGAACGTTGCACGCTAGCATGATGTAGACGCCAAAACAACCAAAACAAAGAGGAGACTCACCTCTTACATCAGGAAGAATCCGCGTGTTTCGAGCGTTATCCGTTCTTTCATAATCCGTTGTTGAATTGTGATCGGCAGACGCTTTTCCGGTTAGCGCCTCACTTTTTTTTACAGGAACGGCCCAAAACGATCTCCTAACACATGGATGTGTTGCTTCCTGATCATGTGATCTGTGACGTATGCGGATGAAGATTGGCTTCAGGGCTGAGATGTTTGTTCTCTCAGCGTGGAGGCTTGTTCCGATGCTCAAACAGTAAAAAAAAAATGCAAATGACGACTTTAGTCGTCATTGGCAGTGAACGGTTGGATCTAAAATGACGACTTTAGTCGTCAATGGCAGTGAAAGATTTAAAGTCAGAATTCTGTGATTAAAGCCAGAATTCTAAGATTAAAGTTAGAATTCTGAGATTAAAGTCAGAATTCTGAGATTAAATGCAGAATTCCTAGATTAAAGTCAGAATTCTGAGAGTTAAGTCAGAATTCTGAGATTAAAGTTAGAATTCTGAGATTAAAGGAAGAATTGTGAGATTAAAGTCAGAATTCTGAGAATAAAGGCAGAATTCTGAGATTAAAGTTATAAATCTGAGATTAAAGGCCGAATTCAGAGATTAAATTTATAATTCTGAGATTAAAATTACAAATCTGAGATTAAAGTCAGAAATCTTAGATTAAAATCAGAATTCTGAGATAAAAGGCAAATTTCTGATTAACTCATTTACTGCCATTGACGAGAAAAGTTGTAATTTCAAGCCCAACCGCTCACTGCCATTGACGACAATAAACTCGCCAATTGCATTTTTTACAGGGTGAGCATCTGAACGAGCCTCCACACTGTGAGAATAAACATCACGTCTCTAAAGCTGAATTTAATATGCGCGTGTCACACGTCACATGATCAGGAAGCAGAAAATCCATGAATTAGCCGATCGTTTTGGGCCGCTGCTGTGAAAAAAGCTTCTGCCGCTCACAGTTCAACAACGGATTGTGAAAGAACGGATAACTCTAGAAACACGCTGATTCTTCCTGATGTTAGAAGTGAGTTTACTCTTTGTTTTGGCAGTTTTGGCATTTACATGGTCATAGAGCACAATGTTCTGTGACTTTAAAAAACCCCCAGTAAAAACGCTCAAAAACGCTGGCAGTCAGGAGCTTTCTGATCAGGAAACAGCTGGCAGTGAATGAGTTATTATAAAAAAGTCAAAATTCAGATTTTAAAAAGTTACAATTTTTAGAATAAAAGTCAGGAATTAGAAATTAGGTCAGAATTATAATAATTATTTTTTTCCAGTCGCCCTAACCCTCTTCCGTAGGTATAAAGCTATTTCCTGTCAGTATTTCAATTTCTCATTTGTCCACTGTCACTGGTCCTTTGCTTTCCTCCCCTCCGTCCATCTGCGCTGTGATTGGTCCAGCCTAACTGCTGGTGGGACGCTGAGCATCAGGAGTGTTTTCCCTGTATGTGCAGTCCCCTCGGCTCAGCGTCCCAGCGCTGTGACACGGAGGGTCACTGCACCTGTCGCCCCGGCTTCATGGGCCGACGTTGTGACTTGCGTCGCCTTGGTTACGAAAGGCGGGAGACGCGGCGACCTGTGGAGCGCATCCCCCTTGAAGCTGTGCAGCAGAGGTGGCGGGGAGCCTCCCGTGTGGGGGGCTGTCCCAGAGGAGCGTACAAACCTCAGACAGGGGTAACACACACTGCATGTGGATGGCAGTGGTGTGTTTAAAGTAGCATGGGTGTGATTTCTATGTGAAAATTCTCCAGATGAGCCGAAATGAAAGAAAACCGCTCGTCTGAGCTGTGCTGCTCGTTTTAGCACCTGGATGGTAAAACATTGCATGGAAGAGAACATAGATTACATTTTAACTTGCATGACTGTTTGTTTTTGGTTTTGCAGATATTGAATCCATCCATTTAAATACAGAAATGCTTTTATATTGTGTGCTTTGATAAATGATCTGTTTTATTTGCAAAATTATCCACAAAGATGTGTATTCAGAGTGTTTAACCTGCTTTTAAACCCCTAAAGTCTCTGTGTTTTAGAGTTCCTGATTGATTTCTCTACTCTTATTATTTTGTTCTCAGCCTGAGACTCATGGCCTAGCTACAGGTGGGGTGTGTGTCCCATGTCACTGCAACTCGTATGGTTCCAAGTCCTTCGACTGTGATGAACTGGGTCAGTGTCGGTGTCAGCCGGGCATCAGCGGAGCCAAATGTGACCGATGCTCCAGAGGATTCTTCAACTTTCAGGAGGGCGGCTGTACAGGTGAGGAGAGAATGTAGATTTATTTTAAGATACTGCTGTTGAGCTGTGATTGACGAAAGAGTGCAGAAGCACTTTTAAATTCAAACATAACTGTAACATTTTATTTTCTACTCGTTTTTTATGCGCACGACAAAATCTGTATAAAATTGTTATAATTAAAGTCAATTACATTAGAAAAGAAGAAAAGTCTGATTATCTTTCTACAAGAAGTAGCAGAGGCTTGTCAATAGGGGGCGCTAGGGCACCACCCTCACTGAGGTGAAGGAAGAAAAATAAATCTAAAAAGTAAATAACACTACTACATATATAGTAGTGTTATCTATCTATCTATCTATCATCTATCTATCTATCTATCTATCTATCTATCTATCTATCTATCTATCTATCTATCTATCTATCTATCTATCTATCTATCTATCTATCTATCTATCTATCTATCTATCTATCTATCTATCTATCATCTATCTATCTATCTATCTATCTATCTATCTATCTATCTATCTATCTATCTATCTATCTATCTATCTATCTATCTATCTATCTAATCATACTCATATTCACTATAAATTTGTCAATTTTAATTAATTGTGTGTGCCTAAATGCAGTCTGAATCATTTACACACCACTTTCACCAGCTGTCTCAACTTAAACAGTGAATTTCCTCCAACAGACTCACTTATATCAGTCCAGGGGCGCTGGGAAAAGCACCCCTGGACTGCAGCTAAACAACCAATCATGTTTGGTTGCTAGGGAGAAGTGGGGAATTTTTGGCCATTCAGCATCAGTCAATTTATGCTCTGGCGCCTTCCGATAGGGAGCCTAAGTCACACCCATCTACTTCTGGACTATGGGTGCCATGCAAGTCAATGAAGCTAAAAACGCAAATTTCTAATCCCGTTTGTTATGTACCATGGATTTCACGTCTGATGTCCGTAAATTTTAAAGACGCATTTTGATGCCAAGAACGCACTTGTTTTTGAAGGGGGGAAACGTTATTTTAGATTTTGTGTGCAAATATGTCCAGTACTACAAATACACATCACCAAATTGAGGTCAACTTAAAATCCTTCCTTTGGGAGGAAAGAACCACCATTAATCTGGCCATGTGGTAATTAGCTGCAACGCTAGGAGAGGAGATTCGGTGGTGACGTCATTTATGCGTGTGCGGACGTCTGATTTGCAGTCAGAGGAATTAAAAACTTCTACAAGCAGGTAAATCTCAAAGTACGTGACTGTAGTGATCGAAACACCCGCCATTACTTTTCCTGTGATCCAGGGCCTAAAGGAAGCGGATTAGAAAATAGCTCTTTTTGCCCCGTTGACTTGCATTATTCATTTATTCGATCTTCCGGAGACCCATGAGGCTCCCTATAGCACCCCTGCTACAGAAAGTAGCTCGCTAGCATGCTAGAAGGGGATGGATCCCCCCGACTAGTCAGTGACTCGATGCGACCTGCTGGGTTCCTCATTTAGGAAACTTTTTTCTGATTGGCTTAATGAACTGACCTGTACTGGAATGTTTACTGTGCGAAGATCCTTGAGACGACTCTTGTCGTGATTTGGCGCTTTATAAATAAATTTGAATTGAATAAACCATGAACCCTGCTCAATGGTCAACTTTCCTGGCGGGGTCACCCATGAGGACAGTGGGAGGGTTAGAAAGTTGTTGTTGGTGCAAAACAGAAAGAAGAATATTTATTTTCACATATGGTCCCACCAATAATCCTTTTAGCAGCCTCCACTGACAAGAAGCTAATAACTGAGACTTCTAGTTTATTTCCTCTTTGCTTCGCTAGATCTCTCTAGTGTCCCATCAACCTCACCTGCTCCTCGTTCTGAATTAGCACACCTGTTTCCACTCATCCAAACAGTGCAGTGCTGAGTGAATGTAAAAGAAAAGTTGTGTGTTTGGTCGCTGGAAGGAAATAAATTCATGATTTTACAGATAAAATAAGGATTTTTGAAAAGTTGTTGCATCTTTTAGATGATTTTCTCCAAGTCTTTAGTCTTTCCTTGTTGCTTTTCTCTCCTCTTGCAGCCTGTCAGTGCAGCCATGTGGGAAATAACTGTGATGCCAACACCGGACAATGTACTTGTCCTCCCAACACAATAGGAGAGCGGTGTGATCGCTGTGCTCCAAACCACTGGAGCCACGATATTGTAATTGGATGCAAGGTAATAAATGTTTGTTATATTTAATCCTGTCACTCTGTGTCTCTTTCTGTTTCCCACCGTTACTGAACTCACTTCTCCCTATTATTTCACATTTCCCTCTTATGTAATTGTCTTATGTACGACTCGTCTAAAGGAATTTAAAAATTGTTCTACAGAGAAGGTATTAAAGGACCTTGAGGCGGCTGTAATGGTGAACCACTAGCTGTTAAAATGCTGCAAGTTTCACTTGAATCAGGTCCACATCTAAGAGTTCAGCAGGAAAAACAAAGAAGCAGAGAGAACTTGAGTTTCTCTTTCCTGCAACATAAAATCAGGATTAAGTCAAATGCTGCATGCCTAGATGTTCTAATCTGAGCTGCGTTTCTGCACAACCGATGGTTTTAATTGTAAAGTGAGCTTTAAACCATCTGTTGGACGCCTGTAGAAAGGTGTTAACCTTGCTATTCTTGGTTCTGTGTGTCTGAAAATTAAACCAGGAGTGTGGCTGCAACGTGATTGGTTCAGTGACCCAGCAGTGCAACGCCAACACTGGCTGCTGCTTCTGTCGCGATTCCTTCAGAGGAGAGAAATGTGACGAATGTCGGATTGGATTCAGAGACTTCCCTCAGGTAAATATTTTCTTTTGTTTTTGAATCCAAAACACTCAAATGCTAGAACCCACACACATTTTGTGATATTTAGTAGAACCAGATTAGTAAAAGTTGACTTAAAGGGACAAGTAAGAATTTTAGTTACCTAATCAGTCTCAGTCGTGTTGGAAGGAACTTTACACTGAAACAGCTTTTCTTAGGTGGCTGGGAGGTTGTAGACACTGCACCCTGTGGTGCTCTATGAAGTGCACTTAGAGGAAGTCCACATAAGGCTTCGTGTGTGTAGTAAACAAGTCTGCGATGAACTGCAGAGTTGGGTCCGTGAGCGTTGCATCATCGACCTGCACCACTCGTCATTTCTCCATCTTCCTAAACGGTGATGCCGGTCGCTGTTTGTGCTAATTTGCTGCTTGAAATTAAATTAAAACTGACATTAAAGTGTTTTAAATTAACAATAGATTTCATCAGACATGTAATGCATCTGTCCAACAGAACTGGACACGATAATACAATATCGTAGTTATATTATTTACTAAAAATGTTTGTGGAAAGTGTTCTTGAGCCATTTTTCTGCCTACGTCTACAAAATTCATATGCAGCAGTGGATGGTTGCCAGGTCTGTGCCGCCAGTCATCAAAGAAAGTATTTCTTGTAACACTAAGTGGACACACCTTCTTTTTAGTTTCTCTTAGCCTCTAGCCTGCTTGACCAGATGTTAACGTGGAGCTAACAGTGAATTGGAAGCAAATGGTTGGCTCGAACATCTCCAGCTACTTTATCAACAACAAATGTATCTACTTATTAACTCACCATGTGACTCATTTTCACTCGTCATCTACAATCTTAACACTGATCTGTAACCGGCAGCAGCTGCTGGACTCGTTTGTTTTGATACGTGGAGTTCAGTACCCACTTTTGGCCACAAGGTGTCATTCTTACTTCATGCACCTTTTGAATTGTGTTGATTTATTTTTAAAATAAGTTGTCAGGACAAGCCTCCCTCTTATTTGCACATATTTGAAGACTACACAAACCCTAATGTGAGTTAACCATCTGTTTCCCACAGTGCATCCAGTGCCAGTGTAGCATCGCAGGGTCGGACAGCCAGACCTGCGACCTGGAGAGGAGGGCGTGTGCCTGTGCAGACCGAACAGGAAAATGTAGCTGCAAGGTAATGGCTACGTGTCAGCAGGACATTCAGCATGAATGTTCTATTCTTGGCATTTCTGTGGAAATAAAGCCCATCATATGTTAATCCAGATTAGATCTATTCTCTAGGTGCCACATTCCTGCACTGCAGCTATTATAAAACCATAAATATCTGATATGCAAGTTATGAATGAAATTTAGTGAAGATTTAAGTGTCCCGACTCTCTTTGAAGAACCTGCACAGAAAGGCTGCAGCTGGGCACCAAGCATGCCAGCTTCCTGCTGTGAGGCAACGCACCTCCATGCTGCCCGGTGCCAAAATGGGACTGGAGAAGCAAAGTGTGATGTGCATGAATCCTTGTTTAGCTTCACTGGATCGTCGTAGACCCGTAACAGCAAACACTACAAATGAAACTTCAATCTGGGACTGGATAAGTTTTATTTGCTATAATCATGTCATCCTGATGTTAAAGTTCAGCTCAGACTGACACTTTAATCTCAGATGTAGCTTTCTTATCATAATACACCTCCTAGGGTGTGCATGTGGCACGTGCACACTAATGCAGACACAAAAGCATTAGATGACGTAATAAAGGCTGCAGATCATGTTTGTTTTTTTTTCCTCAACAGGTTCGAAGTTTGTTACCTACAACAGTTTCTTCATCCTTCAGCTTTTTAAATATAAATCAGTTTTTCTCCTACGACAAATCTGGTTTGACTTTTTTTTTAAACTTCATTCGGTTTAAAATTCCAACAATCTTGCACAGAAATGAGGACTAAATTAATTGAAGAATGGAGCAAATCAGATGAATGACGATTCTTTTTGAGTTTCTGGACTTGCGGGTGAATAAAAACAACGCTTGAAACGAGATTTGTGTGTGTAATGTGTAAAATAAAACCTTTTCAGAGATCAGTTGGGTTTTCTTGAGCATAATGATAAAAGCAGAAGGGATTAGGTTTAAGAGCCAAAACACCTGTGCTGTGCTTCCTGACCCGTACTTCTCTCTCCACGTGTGTTAAAGGTTTAGATTGACCCCAAAAAGTTCAGAAAGTTCAGTTTAATTTCAACCTGCTGTAAGAAAATAAAGCAATGAATAATCTGCTGCTTCCTGCCTGATTGCTTACGCACATTCTTGCAGTGAGAATGAAATCCTCTCCAGGAACGATGAGTTGGTCTCCTGCTGTGATACACGTCTGAACACAAATTAAAATATCCGGACCAAACTGAAGGTGTTCTCCAGTTCCCGTCTGTGAATCTGAAAATATTTCAGATTTTCCCAAAAGATGTTAAGCTGCTGGGTTCCTGAGTGGAGACGCAAAGGGATAACTGATCAGATCTTAATGATTGTAATCCTGCAGTCCAGGTAGTGTAAATGTAATTTTTACAGGTGATGATATAAAAGATCTAAGATGTAAAATAGTGAGATTAAAGCTTTGTTCTCACTCCTGTTTCAGTCTCGCAGTAAATAAAGTTGACTGTGGAACTTGGTGTCCTGTTTGTGGCTTGTGGCGTTCCTCTGGGACCTGTGTTTGGAAACTTTTAGAAAATATGATAATGGGATCAAACAAGCCCAGTTTTGATATTAATAAAACTGAAACTTCAAAACTTTACATTTTCCACCTGAAATTTTGTGTGAGGAAGTTTGTTTTACTTATTTTTGCCTCTAATGCAGGGATTAAGTGCATGAATGTAGGGCAGGGTGTATTGTAGCTCCTGTGATCTATTCTGTATTAAATCACTAATGGATTAAATTTGGTTTAATGGTCTGAAAAGAAAGCATTTAAATTACTATGAACATTTGGGCTCTGCTCGTCTTTCTACTGCAGGGCTATGTTTGCAAGATCTAAATAGAAAGTGTATGTTGAAACTAACATGCAGCATTTCTTTGTGTTTTATTGTAGGAAAATGTTGAAGGTGACAACTGTGATGTGTGTAAGCCTGAAAGGTTTGGATTATCGGTGAAAAATCCACTGGGCTGCAGCAGATGTTACTGTTACGGGCTGACCCACTCCTGCACTGAGGCACAGGGACTTGTAAGGATGCGGGTGAGTTAACGCATTTTAATTGATCTAAATTCAGCGTTTCCTTTGGATCATCTAAAAACCAGCCAAGCAATGTCCAGCAGCCTCACTGTTAAAGTTTCTTTATCACACATGTTCACTACGGAAGAGGATTAGGGCCACTGAGAAGATAAAAAGACGAGTTGAAATTCTGACTTTCTTCTCAACTCTAAAAGTGAGATTTCTTATTCTTTTCTTTGCAGTGGCCCTAATCCTCTTCCGTAGTTCACATTGTCCTGCTGTGCTTTTGGTTTTATACAGAGGTGCCCTAACTGCCTGGGTCATATTCTTAATGCTGCGTCATTTTATAGCATAAAAAAGTTCTTATGATTCTTATATTTAATTATTAAAAATGTATTTTATGGTAATGAAATCCTAAATTTCCTAAAATATCAACGTCCATCTTTTATTTTACCCTATGGAGTGTTAGCATCCTTTAAATTAGCTGAATTAGATTTTTGCTGTTCCAATAATAAACTCAGTCTTTATTAAGCAGCCTGATAGCAGCGTTTGTGAAACCAGATCAGAAGGTGGTCTATCGTTTTGAACAGAAACTTGGCACAGTTCTGTTCCTCTCTGCTGTGCTTCAGCGGATTTAGAAGGCCCCTCCCACAATCTGATATGCATGGTCAATGAAACACGGTATTTAGAAATTAACTGTTTTTCTTTCAGTAACTTGGTGCTTCCGTGGGAAACTTTTTTGCTAATGTAAGATTTTTTTACCCATGTAAGGCCGATGTTTTGGCACCGACACAACATGGCTTCAATACTTAAATGATCATAGCTCTTAGCTTAGCTCAAAGCATCGTTTGTGCTCTCATCCAAATGGTAAAGATTCAGAAATATTTTAGAGTACGGAAAAGGATTAGGGCCAATGAAAATAAAAAAAGTAAAGAGAATTCAGACTTTTTTTCTCAGAGTTTTGACTTAATCTAAGAATTCTGACTTTAATCTCAGATTTCTGACCTTAATCTCAGTATTCTGACTTTAATCTCAAAATTCTAACTTTAATCTCAGAGTTCAGTCTTTAATCTCAGAGTTCAGACTTTAATCTCAGAGTTCAGACTTTAATCTCAGATTTTTGACATTAATCTCAGATGTTTTACTTTATTCTGAGAAATCTAACTTTAATCTGAGTTCTGACTTTATTCTAAGAATTCTGACTTTAATCTCAGATTTCTGACCTTAAAGGGACGTTATGGAAGTTTGACAGCCAAAACATGTATAGAAATAATAAATGTCTTCTTCATACATTCTCCTGCAATGCCCTGGTACTGTAGAATGAGCCCTGGCATTTTTACTGTGATTGCCTGTTTTTCTGTAAAATCACAGAAAAAGAGAGCTGCTCGGGTCGAGCAGGCTGCTTCATGCGCGTTCACGCTCAGGCATAGCCCGTAGCATTTGCTATCAGTAGCTTTAGCAGCAGAGAGAGAGGCAGTGCCACTTTGTCGCTGTTCCTAACGCCTAGTGACAAACCTAGCTACATTTCTGAGGACCTTAGCTACTTTCTGTAGAACTTTCTTCTAGATATTTCCTGCAAATTAGCAACAATATTGCCATTTTCGCTCCGAACAATTCTTTGGTTTGACATTGTTTCAGGTGTCATCAAGGATATAAATGTTACAGATACTTTGAATGTTACTGGTGTGTGGCTCACCTAGTAAGATGTTCTGACTCTCACGCAGAAGACTTGGATTCAATTCTGGATGTGAACTTGGTTTATTTAGAGTTTATTTTTTACATTAATGTTATATTTTATTACAGTAAGATGCCCAAATGCTTATTTGAGACTCGCCGAACGGTGTTGAATTCACAGACAACAAAGATGTGGGTTCAACTTTCATTTTGGAACAATTTTTCAAGCAAGGGAAGGGAATGATCTGAGCATGCAGGAGAACTGACCCATCATAAACCTTTGTCGGCTGTGCTGAAGAGAAAGGTACAGAACCAAATTATTTAATTAATTAGCTGCGTGTTCTCCTGCCCTCTGTCCTCCGGGCCACACACACACGGGACTGTCTCAGCTGTTATTTTCGTCAAGGAGTGTGCACATACAGCATACGCGCCTCGTGCACGAGCCTACAATTGAAGCTGCCATTACACTTTTGGCCTGAGGGGGCAATCACGAGCATAAAAGTTCAAAACTCCGTAAAGTCCCCTTAATCTCAGTATTCTGACTTTATTCTCAAAATTCTAATTTTAATCTCAGAATTCTGGCTTTAATCACAGAGTTCAGACTTTAACCTCAGAGTTCAGACTTTAATCTCAGATTTCTGCCTTTAATCTCAGCGTTCTGATTTTAATCTCAGAGTTCAGACTTTAACCTCAGAGTTCAGACTTTAATCTCATATTTCTGAATTTATCTCAGAATTCTGACTTTATTCAAGCGTTTTAACCATACTTGTTCACGTAATTAACTTTTTTTTGCTGTGTATCCAGTAGGTTTTTAGTCTTATATTAGATTTGTGTTATATTTTGTAAACAATGGAACGAATACCAGTCAGAAAATCTTCTAGAAAGAGACAATGACTCTCTAGAATTATTGAGGACAATCCAGATGTGGAAAATAGTTTTGCCCATCACGTCCACGTCTTACTTTTGCTCTGCTCAAAAGCCTGGGTGGGAAAAGATTCACTCTGTGCAACAAGCAAACACTTCCTGGATGTGCAAGAAGTGCAACACTGGGCTCTGCCTGCATCTGGACAGCAGGAAGAGGGTTCATTTATTTGATTAAAAAAACTGTTTTACCCACAACAACACCCTAAAGATCATGAAGACCATCTTTAATTTCTTACATGCTTTTAATGTTTGTTCGTGTGAAGTCAGTATTTGACTGTTTTGGTTAACTCAGTTGTTCGAGCCACTGTTTAATATTTTTGTTATCAAAGACAAACGTGCACCAGAATCTGTATCACTACAAGTGAGTGATGTCATGCAGTCGGACAGATGAACAGGTTTACATTCGAGCTCAGGTGTTTTCAATAAGCACCTCTAGCTGATGTGTCCATGGTAACCGTTAGAGTTTTTATTCTTTAGGATGGAAAAGCATCATTCGATCAACAGCCTGTCACTTTATTTATGGTGTCGGAGCTGGGTTCAGGGAGGGAGAACTGGTCGGAGAAATACATAAAAACTGAAAGATTATTGGAAAGAGGGAGATTTTTTCTGAACCACTGAGTCGTGAGATTACAGCGAGTGGGGTGAGAAAACACATACACACACACACACACACACACACACACAATCTTGACTCCACCCATTATGCAAGCATATCAGGATAGCATGGAAGCTAGTGCTGACAGACGTGTCCTAAAATAACTAAACCCTGTTAAAAATCAACAAAATATGTTGTTAAAGTGCCCCTTTCTAAACACAATGTGTCTTATTTGTCTGTTCAAAGTAAATTTCCTATGTAAATGCTGTTCTACTCACCATGCAAAGGGCTTGTTTTGCAAAGACTCAAACGCTGCTTGCTGAAAACATAATCTAAAATCAATCTCTAGTTTCTGACTAAAAGTTTGTGTTGGACACATTTTTAAAAGAACGATTGTAATTTGGTGCAAATCCTAACTTGACTTGTTGCAGTGAGGACCAAGGCAGCGTTACAGCAGTTTGTGTTTTGGTCAGAAATAAACCCATTGTGCCTGCCTGTATGACCGGACTGAGCAGGGGTGGTTCTAAAGGGGCTCCAGGGTGGGCCAATTAATAGAAGCTAACTGTTAGCAATAGCTACTCCACCACACAGCAGAACTCCTCCAGGCTTGTGTCATTGGTGGAGATCAAAGGTCAACGTTGCAGAGCTAACAGTCGGTGGTGGAGTCGTTTTGCTGTTAGCCAATCAGAGGAGAGATGTCCACAAATCAGGAAATATGACTAAATCCTGCCGTCTGAAGCTCAGCTGTGATGTGGCTCACCTCCAGTTCCTGGTTTTTTGCCCCTAACCGCCACACCCCACCCCCACCCTGAGTAGACATTCATTCATACGAGAGAACACTGCAAATGTATTGGTGAGACGAGCGTTCCATGCCTTTAAATATGATCACATGTTCTTGGTTTGAGTAAAGCAATCTTCCAAAGGGGTTGGCAAACGATGAAATGATGAATCTAACTGATAGATGAATTAGCTAAAATAAGATCAGCTGTCTAAAAACAAACTTTTATTTTTACTGACTGACTTTTGCAGCATGGCCTCGGCCTGATTTAGTGACTTCTAGGTTTAAGATTCTGTCTGCTCAACCAAAACTCCATTTTTCATATTGCTTCAGATATTATCCACACAATATCCACGAACCAACACAAACCGAGTCCGGGACTCAGGCGTGAGCAGATCTATTTTTAAAATGCTCCGCTCAGCCACAACCCACAGTCAATAGTAAACTGCCTTATTATTCAAGAAATATTGGAATATCAACATATGAAATAGGAATGGAGAGAATTAGAAAGAAAGGCTGGGGTTTTCTCCTGAATGCCAGTAATAACTCACCGAGGAGAGAGTCAGCTGATGCTGTGAGTTTGAGGCTCGGGTCATCGGAGTTTATCACAATAATCTGGGCATAACCACAAAACATGTCCAGAACAATAGGTTTTAATGCAATCATATTAGAACTGGTAGCAAATGCTTGAATCTATAACCTTATTTGATGTTCCGGTGCATACCTCCATATGCAGCAACATAAAAAAATAAAAGTCCAGCTGAGAAAGAAGATGGTTGATCTCTGTGTGATCTAACTCCAGTAACTCCATTCTAGTTATGGTCAGAGTAAACATGACTGCAGAGTTTTCTTTACTTGTTATTTATGAGTGGTTGTCGGTGAATGCTCAGTAGCGCAGGTTTCAATATCATTAGGTATTCTTTTGTGTAAAATTAAATCCAACGGATTATTGTGTTGAACACAAAGCCTTTTGCACTGAAAAAGACAAGTTTAATCAACCTAATTGAATGGCTTCAATTGGTAACAAGCAATTGAATTAAGTTTATCCAACCGAAATTATTAAAATTGCACTAATAATTTAAGTTGGATGAACTTAATTAAATTGCTTGTTACCAATTGAAGCCATTTGTTGAGTTCGATCAACTTTTTGTTTTCACAGTGTGGTTAATGTTAGGTAAGGCATCTATATTTGTTTAGTTCATTTCAGACAGAAGCAATATAGTGTTCTTTCCAGGCGCAAGAACAGCAAAATCGATGTGGCAGCATAATTAAAATATAATAAAACATATATTTAGATTTAAGAATCAAATAAAACTCTAAGTTAAAGGGTGAGCAGTTACAGTGCAGAAGGTGCAACATAAGAAACAGTCATTCAAAGGCTGATGAATGCATAAAGTTTGAGTTAAAAGTTACTAGAGTTGGGGCTGGTGTGTGCAGCATCGTAGCTAAAAGCAGCTTCACCCTGTTTGGTTCTGACCCGGGTTCTACCAGCTGAATGTTTCCTAAGGATCTCAGAACCCTGCTGGTGTGTATTCTGGCCCCATGCCCTTCAGTGATTTATAAACTAGTAGAGGCACTGAGAAATGGATTCTGTAGTTTGCTGGTCACCATTGTAGAGGTTTAAGAACAGGAGTGATGTACTCGGTTCTCTTGGTTCTTTTGAAGACTTTATTTAGTAATCTTCATAAGCTACGACCTCACACACGCTGATGCTTTTAGTCTGGCTACATACATTTAGAACCAGGCTAAGCGGTCGGGTCAAGGCACCTATCCCAAACTCTTGAGTGCATTCTGATGGTGTATGGGACCACCTTCCTGTAGTCCCACCACCTGCAGGAGACACCCTAAAGGGGCTTTATGGCTGAGTTTGGGACAGAGCCGTTGATCTAATGAGTGAAGCTAAGAAACTCAGTTTGAGATGGAACAAAAATACTCATGAAACATTTTCAGCGCTGGTTTGATGTGAAACATCACGTTTACCTCTGACAGTTAACACTGAGGCCAGAGCAGACGGTGCTCCCCCTGGTGGATAAATCCAACACCGTGGAGAGGAGGACCGGCGTCAGCTTCCAGCACCCGGAGATTCTGGCTCATGCAGATCGGGTCACTCCAGGTCTGTCTGAACCCTACTACTGGAAACTGCCAGAGCAGTTCACAGGCTCTATGGTGAGAATCCAAAAGCTGTTGTCTTTTTTTTATTGTTTGTTTGCAACTAATGTCTTTAGTGGCAATGTGCACCAAGAAAAACAATCACCGGTTACTTAAAACAAAATGGAAGCAGCTGGGATGAGAATCAGCTCCTCTAAATCCGAGACCACGGTCTTGATTCGGAAAAGGGTAGAATGCCTTCTCCAGGTCAGGGATGAGGCCCTGCCTTAAGTGGAGGAGTTTAAGTATCTCAGGGTCTTGTTTACGAGTGAGGGAATGAAGGAGTGGATTGATGTACCGGTCCGTCGTGGTGAAGAGAGCTGACCAGAAGACGAAGCTCTCGATTTACCGGTAGATCTATGTTCCTACCCTCACCTATGGTCATGAGCTTTGGGTAGTGACCGAAAGAACGAGATTGCGGATACAAGTGGCTGTAATGAGTTTTCTCCGCAGAGTGGCTGGGCTCTTCCTTAGAGATAGGGTGAGAAGCTTGGTCATTCTGGAGGGGCTCGGAGTAGACCCGCTGCTCCTCCACATCGAGAGGAGCCAGTTGAGGTGGCTTGGGCATCTGGTCAGGATGCCTCCTGGACACCTCCCTGGTGAGGTTTTCCGGGCACGTCCAACTGGGAGGAGACCTAAAGGAAGACTCAGGACACGTTGGAGGGACTACGTCTCTCAGCTGGCCAGGGAACACCTTGGGATTCCCCCGGAGGAGCTGGCCCAAGTGGCTGGGGAGAGGGAAGTCTGGGCCTCTCGCTTTAGGCTACTGCCCCCGCAACCCGACTCCGGATAAGCAGATGAAAATGGATGGATGGAATGAGAGCGGAACACACGGGGTAGGGTCAAACCTAAGCCAAAGTTGCAGCCTGTGGGTGTAAAACTCCAATAAGAGAGTAAGCAGCAGTAGAGCATAAACAGTACACATTTGTTTTTCACCCTCCACTAAATGTAGTTGGGTTTGGTGTCTTTGGTGATGGGCGCATAACCAGAACTTTGGTGATCTTGGGAATTCCAACATTACTGCTCAACAGATCACAGCTTACGGTGGGCAGCTGAAGTATGCGGCGTACTACGAAGCCAGGGATGAAACGGGTCCGTCTTCCTACGAGCCCCAGGTCATCATTAAGGGTGGTCCAAACCGTAACGTCGTTATCACGCGACACATCCCAGGGCTTCAGATCGGACAGCTCACCCGCCATGAGATCGACATGACAGAGGTACAAGACCAATAAATACAAATAACCTTAGGTTTAAGCTTTAAGAGTACTTGAAACCGTGTGTGTGTGTGTGTGTGTGTGTGTGTGTGTGTGTGTGTGTGTGTGTGTGTGTGTGTGTGTGTAGCACGAGTGGAAATATGCAGATGGTCTGTCGTTGACTCGAGAGGACTTCATGGACATTTTGTTCTATGTGGACTACATCCTAATTAAAGCTTCTCATGGCAACTTGATGAGACATAGCCGGTAATACACACACACACACACACACACGAGCAGCATCCTTACGAGGACTCGTCCTACCCAGTCTTTAAAGGTTGGATCCTTCCTCGACTGTCTAGCCTTCACATTTATTCGCGCCCCTGTCTCATCATGTCTTGTTGCCTAGCAACTGTGACGGTGCTTAATATAAGTTAAACCTAAATTTAGCGGTAATACATAAAAAATGTGGGACCTGTATTTTTATTAACCTATATGTGAACGAAAAGCCTTAAAAACAAAACTGCTTGATTTTTAATACTAGATAATAGTATTCCCACGTTTAAATACGTAATCGTTTCCCGCTTTGTCCGCCATTACGAGAGCAAAAATCTCCCGTTTTATTCCCAATAAATCCCGGGAAAGTCTGTATTGATGAGGATCCATCAGACTCAACCTGGAACTTCGGGGGACACGAGGACGCATTTTGAGTTTCGAATTCGGACAGCCTTGTCACTTTGCTGCAACCCAGTCAGCCTTAAAACACTCAAAGGATGCAGCCCCAGGATTCAGACTCGCCCTAAATTCATTAAATTGTGTTCTTTCTGGGTTTGACACGCCCTCAAAGCGGGACCAAAGGAAGTTGTTACAGCTGCTGTATGATTTAATTTTGACTTGTGCCCTTTAGGATTTCAGAGATCAGCCTAACTGTGGCAGAAGCAGGAACGCCAACAGAAGAAAACCAGAGAGCCCATCAGATAGAAAAGTGTGACTGTCCAGCCGGATACTCCGGACTCTCATGTGAGGTACTCCAAATATTAAAATCTAGTGTGTGCCAGTGCTCCAGCCATGTCAGCAGCTGGCAGATGAAACGTTTCCGGGAACGCTGCCTTTGTGCAAGTTTAGAAAACAAAATGTCAGAGTTAAACTCCTTCAGTTAAATAAAAACAGCTCTGGATGAATTAAAAATCATCACTGCCATGTAGATTCATGGAATTGGGATAAATGACACATGTAAGTATTTCTGCTACATGCCGGTGCCTTAAAGATGTTTTTCTTGTATTAATCGCTAAAAGAAACAAAGCATGTCTATAATTTAAAAGCCAAGTAAACAAACTGTAGCTAAACGTAAAAATGCTCAGGTTGTCCAGGGCTCGGCTGACAGATGGCGGTTCTATTTGTAGCTGCCGTCATTGCTAATAAAGTATTTTTAAACGGGCGTTTAGTGCTAGCAGAGGGAACAGATGGCTCTTTAAATGGACTCCATTAATTATTACTGAACAGGAGCGAGGAAGAGAGCATTACCTTGCACGTCTGAGTGTATGAACTGATCTTTATGTGAAGGTGTGTGTGTTCAAAAGTTACTGAAGTGGAAAACTCTTAATCGTGTGTGTGTGTGTGTGTGTGTGAGAGAGAGAGAGAGAGAGAAAGAGAAATGAAGAGCAGTCAACTGCTGCTTGGAGAAGTGACCATTAGTGATAATTATGTTGGTACACCGTGTGTGTGTGTGTGTTTAGGGATGCGTTTCAGTAACGGTCACAGCGTGAGGTTATTCGAGGAACACATGCTCAATCAGAGCTGATGGTTTATTTCCTTATTTTGACGTCTCTTCTCTCTGGTCTCTGTGCAGGAATGTGCAGCAGGTTTCTACCGTCTCCGCTCCGGGTCGCTGGGTCCAACTCCAGCCTCCAGAGCGCCCACCGCTGCTGGCATGGGCAGCTGTGTTCAGTGTCAGTGCGGTGGGCACTCGTCCACGTGTGACCCTGAGACATCCATATGCCTGGTAAATGAGTGAGAGCGTGTGCTCTGCCGCTGGAGACGTGGCCATATGCTGAGTGGTTTCTGAAGAAAAGAGTGTGATGAGAAAGTGTGTGTGTCAGAATGATGTCAGGTACGGCAATTAGCCCTGATGCTAATTAACAGCCACCTGGCTAATTCAGATTTAGTGTCACTTTCTTTCCTGCAGATGTAGCCTAAATTACTTTAATACTTTAACTGAACCAAATGTTTCATTTTGAATTTATGTCTTAGCAAAACCAGCTTTGTAGTGCTTGTTAAAAAGCAAGTCACCCCCTTCCTGAGTATTAATCCACTCACACTTCCTGTTTGAAAAATGCAACAAATGCTGTTGCCTAGCAGGCAGAGAGGGTGGAGCCACTAACAAATACACACACACAGGCTCAAAACGACATTGTGACATCATATGGTACCAGCTAAAGTTCTAGGGCACCTCTTAGCCAATAGTGATGGCAGATTTAAATTCAAATGCAGTGCAGAGTTTTTACCTGACAACGGCACAACACTGACAGTTTTAGGCAGAACATTAAAATTTTAACAAAAATGCACTAATGTGCAAAACTATTGACCACACGTGTCTGCAGCACGATTAGACGCATTTATATAGTTTATCAGAAAAAATGAGTTGATTTGGGGGTGATTTACTCTTTAAATGGGTGTTAGCCCTTGAATATTACCTACAAATGAAACTTTGTATTCACTATTTTAATGGCACTCAAACAACGGTATGGAAGCCGATTCCCGCCACTCTGGTAAATAAAAGTTTTGTCGTCATCGTCGTCGTCTTCCTCCGCTTATCCGGGTTCGGGTCGCGGGGGCAGCGTCCCAAATAGGGAGCTCCAGACTGTCCTCTCCCCGGCCTTCTCCACCAGCTCCTCCGGCAGGACCCCAAGGTGTTCCCGAACGAGACTGGCGATACTTAAACTCCTCCACTTGTGGTAGGACCTCTCACCCGGAGTTGGTAAAAGTTTTGTATCTCATAATTATCACTAAGAAATTTGTCAGATACTATTTCATAATCTGAGATTGAAGTCATAGTGAGATGTGAGATGTTTTAATCAGATTGGCGGGAATGGGCTTCCATATTGAATAAAACACAATTAGACATATTAAGAACTTTTAGTAGTTTTTACTTTGCAGGGTTTTAAGTAAAAAGGGCTGAAAAACCAAATGTTGCAATTTTTATTTAAAGGTGCAGCATGTAAGAATATGAGAATTTTACTGTGAGAAATTCCCAAAAGTCTAATGTTTCAGTCATTTTGGAAGGAAGTTTACTCTGAAACATATTTTATATCCAGCTGCTGGATCGTCAATTTTTCTCCTTTCAAAATAAAAGGAGGCGTGACATAACTACTGTTTACCATCAGTGAGTGTAGGGGTGCCGTGTCTCCTGCCAGCTAGTACTGTAGCGCCAACAATTATAGATTGATGATGGGCGGCAAAAAGCTCCAGAGTTGTTTAAAGTGGTTTCAGTAACCACATTTTACCACAGGATGTGACTTTTACTTCATTTCTACATTATGCACCTATAAACTTTATTTAAACCACAAGTTACAACATTCATTGATTCAAAGCTCATTTAACACGTTAAGGCTACATAGAGAAAAAAAAGCTAAATTCATCTTTTGTTCATTTACAGTAAAAGGTAGTGACGATTAGTGTTGTGCTAGTTACTGAAAAAGTAACTATTTAGTTACTGTTACCTTATTCTGAAAGTAACTCAATTACTTTTATTAAATGGTCAATGGACTGTTTTTGGTATCATGTCCGGCTGGCATGGCGGGTAGTAATGAACAAAAACACGCTAGAGTAACTGTCGAGTAACTTTATTTAAAAAGTAACTCATTAGATTAAAAGTAACAGAAGTCCTGTGCCAAATATTAGACTCAAACCTACAGTTAAAATGAACCTTGTAGGGAAATATTTGACTTTAAATAGGAGACTTGGTGTAATAAGTGCGTCTTAGAGCGGATGGTGAATAGATTTAAAAACACGAGCCGGTCGTGATTCTAGACCGTTCTGACATTTTAACCAGATTAACTTTTTGATTATTTTTTTTGTCTGAACAGTTCTAATTCTTCCACTAGTTATTTAATCTCTTTTCTCGTCTAATTCTCTGTTTATTCAGGCATCCTTTGTCTCCTTTCATCTTTGTCTCCTTTCATCTATCACTGTTATTATTTTAGTCTTTAGCTCAGCCTTCCTTCACCGCTCTCTCATTTCGTCTTAATTTCTCTTGCACCAGTTTGTTTCTCTCTTTGTCGCTTCCCTCCCCCTCATTTCGTTTCTTTCCCACTTTGCCTCCCAGCCATGCTCTTTTTTTCCCTCATTCCTACCTCGCTTCCCATAACAACGTCATTAGCATTTTCTAACCAAGCGGGCTAAATTGAAAACACTAAACGAGTTTGTTTCTGTGGTAATTAGCAGTAACGAGAAACTCAGGAAGTTAATGGAAATGACTCGCCTCGTTAAGAGGCAACTTCCTGTTTTACCGACTCGAGTTCCCATTTTCAACAAACAAGTCGAACACATAAGATGGGACCTCGGGGAGGTGAAAGAAGAGATTGGTGGATTTGTGTACAGTAGATTTTATAAACCCTGTGTTTCTGTGTGTGTTTATTGCTTGAGGGTGGTTTATGGAGTGTTTTATTTTAGCATATTTAAAGAGATTTTCTTAAATATGTGTAGAAAGTTTTAAGAAAGGGTTAAAACACCTCTATGTGTGTATGTATAATTTTTCTTCAAACATATTTTTCTCAGTTTGCTATTTTGCATCTTCCCAACAAAGATGACCGTTTGTAGAAAACATTGTTATTAAACTCTTTATCATAGTAAATTGTGTCTGGGAGAGAACTTGTAGCTAGCCCTTGGTGTGTGGTTTTCAGGAGTGGAGGTGAGGCTCATTATTGTTTGTGAGGGAATAAATCTTGTTTCCAGCGGGTTCCGGCCTGGAATAAACGTCTACAGAATGAAAGACCCATTTAAAAAGAGGGACCGCAGGGCGTGTTCCAGCCACATGGGACCACACTCCTGAGCCTCCCTGGTGAAGTCTGTTCAGGGGCTCTGGAGAGAATCTTCCGTTGGATAGTCAAACCTCGGATTCAGGAGGAGAAATGTGGTTTTTGTCCCTGAACAGCTTCATACCCTTAGGGGGTCCTGAGAGGTGTGTGGGAGTTCGCCTAACTAACCTACATGTGTTTTGTGGATTTGAAGAAGGCATCCTCCTGGAGAATAGGATACCAGGACCACTGATATGGGCTGTTAGGTCCCTGTATGACCGGTGTCAGAGCTTGGTCCGCATTGTCGGCAGTAAGTCGGGCTTGTTCCCAGTGAGAGTTGAACTCCGCCAAGGCTGCCCTTTGTCACTGATTCTGTTCATAACCTTTATGGACAGGATTTCTAGGTGCAGCCAAGGTGTTGAGAGCATCTGTTTTGGTGGCCTGGGGATCAGGTCTCTGCTTTTTGCAGATGATGTGGTCCTGCTGGCTCAGAACTCCGGCTCTCACCGGAGCGGTTTGAACCAGCTGGGATGAGAATCAGCTCCTCTAAACCAGAGACCATGGTCTTGATTCGGAAAAGGGTTGAATGCCTTCTCCGGCTCAGGGATGAGGTCCTGCCCCAAGTGGAGGAGTTTAAGTATCTCGGGGTCTTGTTTATGAGTGAGGGAAAACTGGAGCGTGAGATCGATAGGCGGATTGGTGCTGCATCTGCAGTGATGGGCATTGTACCGGTCCGTTGTGGTGAAGAGAGAGCTGAGTCAGAAGGCGAAGCTCTCGATTTACCGGTCGATCCGCGACCCACACCTATGGTCATGAGCTTTAGGTGGTGACCGAAAGAATGAGATCGTGGATACAAGCGGCCGAAATTAGTTTTCTTCGCTGGGCTCTCCCTTAAAGATAGGGTGAGAAGCTCGTTCATCCAGGAGGAGCTCGGAGTAGACCCGCTGCTCCTCCACACCGAGAGAAGTCAGTAGATGTGACTCGAGCAACGGGCAGTTAGGATGCGCCCAGGACGCCTCCCTGGTGAGGTTTTCCAGGCACGTCCAACTGGAAGAAGATCTAAAGGACGACCCAGGACACGCTGGAGGGACTATGTATCTTGCCTGGCCAGGGAACGCCTTAGAATTCTCCTGAAGGAGCTGGCCCGTGTCTGAAGAGAAGGAAGTCTAGACCTCCCTGCTTTAGGCTGCTGTCCCCGCGACCCAACCCCAGGTAAATGGGTGATAATGGACGGACTGATGTTCAGCTCACTGGCATAGTGGAATGAGTGTCTGCACTGAGTCTGGGAGATCAGGGTTCAAATCCTGGTCGGGTCATACCAAAGAACAATGCCTCCCTGCTTCACACTCAGCTTTAAGGGGTTAAACCACCCAATGGTTCCTGAGCGCAGCCACAGCTGCAGCTCACCTCTTCCCAGGGGATGGGTCAAATGCAGAGAACAAATTTTGCACACACATCAGTGTGTGTGACAACTAGTGGGACTTTTTAACTTCTAAATGTCTGATATTACAGTTACAGACGCTGAGCCTCAGCCACAGCTGGCATTAAGATGACTGCTTACACTTCTGCTGATGTACTCTGATGTTTAGTTGGCTTCTTTTGATATAACGCCTTCTGAATAAGCATCTTTGTGTCGGTCTGCGTACCCCAGCTGCAATTCTTAAACTCACAGCGACATCTTCCATTTGCAGCCAAACACGCGCCTGGATGTTCAGCTGGTTGGAGTCTGAGTGAAATGTTTTATAAGTTACAGAAACAAGTGTCGTCTTAATAAAGGTCATGTTTGGTGTGTTTGACGTTAGAACTGTCAAGACAACACAGAGGGGGATCATTGTGAACGTTGCGCTCCCGGATTCTACGGTGTGGTCCAAGGTTTTTCTGATGACTGCAAGCCCTGCGCCTGCCCCCTCACCAACCCGGAGAATAAGTAATCGGATTCCTTTTGTTGCTTTTATTTATTCGTATTTCTAACATCACACGAAGTATCACATGGTGGCGTTGTACAAATCCTTGTTTCTGTTTAGTTTTAGTCCTACCTGCGTAGCTGAGGGATTCGACGACTACCGTTGCACCGCTTGTCCCGAGGGATATGAAGGGAAATACTGTGAAAGGTTAGACGCATTTTAAAAAGTTCATAAAATTAGTTCCGCGTTAAAGTTTTGGGAACACAAAGTAACCATCAATTAGCTGACAATTATTATGCGTATTAGTGGACTACTAAGTCTGAATTGGTCACTATTAAGCTATTATTAGGTGCTTATTACCAATGCTGTAATTCTAACATTAACAGGCCATAAATTGAGTTTTATCATAATAAGCCATTCATGATTGGTTTGTTAACTGAAAATAAACGGCTTGTTGCTGATTAACAAACATATTAATTAGCTGAAATTAATAAGTGGCTTTTAACAAATTCAAGGGGAATGAGTTATTCTGCATTAATAACCAAAAATATTATGTTCTGGTATTATGTAAATAAACACCAAACTCCACGTGTTAATAGCACCTAAACAACAATCAATTAACCACTTGTAAGCAAGAATATGTTCCCTATTCTAAAGTCAGATTTTGTTCATACCTAATTACTAGTAGTTTAATATTAATTAACCACTTAAAGGCAAGAACATTTTCCCCTTGAATTACTTCGTTAAAAGCCACATATTGATTTGAGCTAATTAGTATGTGCGTTAATCAGCAACAAACTGTTAACTATCAGTTAGCAAACCATTATGAATGGCTTCTTTAGATAAAACTCTTAATTTATGGCCTGTTAATGTTAGAATGATGGCATTAGTAATAAGCTGTTAATAAGTGCTTAATAATGACTAGTTCCGACTTAGTAGTCCACTAATATGCATATTAATTGGCAGCTAATTAATGGATAATTTGTGTTCCCTAAAGTGTTACCAAAATATATTTTTCTAATTCTATATTCTCTTTAGAGAAAGGTGATAACTATTTTCTTTGATCTTACTTCCTCCAGGTGCTCCACTGGTTACCACGGTAACCCAAGGATGCCAGGTGGTCGCTGTGAGGAGTGTAAGTGTGCCTCATGGGGGGCGTTGCCCGGACCATGTGACCCTGTCACGGGCCAGTGCCACTGCAGGGTCGGGGCCTCGGGGGTTGCGTGTGACCAGTGCATGGATAGGCATGTGTGTGGACCATCAGGGATCATCTGTAAGACTAACACACCTTTATTTTTTTACCTTTTAATGCATATTGTGTTTCCTTACTTCTCTTGAAAGGTACCAAGCAGATAACAAAGTGATGTTTTACTGTAAATGCAGACTAAATGTAGTGTTTGCACACTTTTCCTAAGTTTGCTTTGCAGGGGTCCCTCGAGGAAGATGCAACCCTCTGGGTTAACATCACCACTGTTGCTGCTTAGCTGTGCACAGCTGTGGGGAAAAATACACTAAATCACATCACTGCAAATTACAAACCGAAATCAAACGGTAAAAAGGGGTTACACGGTTTCAATCGAGGCTTTCCTGTAAAAGAAAAGTCGCATAAGTGCCAGCAGCAGCAGAAATAAAGAGCACAGTTTGCCGTGTGCAACTCACCATAAAAAGTTGGTTCATTTTCCAGATTTTGCAATATTTAGACCTTTAAAAAATGCTGCATCCAACCAGAATAGATCTGAAACATGATAATCCTAATCTGTAACATGTATAGCTATTTTACTGCGTTTACTTTTGAATTTGATTTTTTGAGTCCAGTAATTTCAGAGCGTCACACCTGAACATCAGTCCTGCTCCCCTTATTAAACCACACTTCAGCCTCCAACTAAAGAACCTTTTTTTTCTGAACGTAAAATGCTTTCCTTGCGGGGTGCCACACATCCACCCACCGGTCTTTTCCTCTTATTCTGTCCAGCGGCTCGCCTGTCTCGCAATGTCACCCAGTGCTGATATGCAAATCCAAGGCCTTTTCTCTTGTTGCCATGGGAGACGGGACATTGTGGCAGAAGTCAGATTCAAGTCATTCAGAAAGTAATTTCAATGTCATTTGGAGCTAATTTAAACATTTTTAAAATTATGAACATAATGGCCAGGCCAATTTGGCGCCATTAGCATGTCCGGAGGTAAGTGTTTGCATGTGAATGAGAAGAAAAGGTCAGAAGAAATAGGTAGATGTGAATTCGTTGCTGACAGGTCAACGAAGATAATTGCTTGTTCACGTCTTTGTGTTCAGGTGCTCGTAAACTGGAGGTGCCGCCACGGTGCCCTGACATCAAACCGTTCGCCTTGTGTCAAAAGCTTGCTCGCAAGTCCAGCTTGTGATGGTTTACACACAGTGGAACACTCAAATGGCGGTTGACTGGTGGAGGAATGGCACTTAGTGATTCTTTTCCTGTCCGCCAGACTTAAATTCATTCTGTTACTCACTACCACGCACTGAGCACTGAGGAGAAATATTCTCATGTTGCCCAAAGCGATTTGAGAAAAAAACTGCAGCTGAAATTTAAGATTATTTGTCGCTTTACATCTTGTCGGCGTTGTTCTGAAATGGGATTGGCCTTTGCATTATTGGGTTCTTTTTTCAACTCAGGAAACATTTTTTTTACCTTTTTTGCTGACGGTTTGGACCACTCTTGTGGTCTTCTTCAGAGCTAGCCGCTAATGGCGGTGTCACTTCCTTCTCTGTTTCTCAACAGGCAGCAGAGGACACCTAATAATGCAATCAGAAGTAACACACAGTAGGAATACACTAAAGATGTGATTCAACTGTTAGATTCAGATGTTTCATATGAGCATGTTCAGGTCTGAGACTAGCTTATTATATTATTCAATACATCAGCCTAAGAAGACAAACTCTTATTGTGAAGGCCGCATGAAGACATGCGTACAGACGTGTGCATTTCTCATATCAGGATAGCTCAAATATTTTCATATTAAGTCTTTAAATGTATGTAGTAGACCTGGGACGATAACACATTTTGCTGGATGATATATTGTCCAACAAATTATTGATGATAAACGATATTGTTGACATTATCGAGACCAAAATAACCACTTATGTAATATTATCGTAATAATGCAAGTGCACCCTTTAAAATGCAACAATTAAAGGTTTATCTAACTTAAGTGATATATTTTCAGCAGTAATCAAACGTTTGCGCTTCGTTTGTTTCCTTTGAGGTTGTAGAGGTCTACGTTATTGACAAGATCATTTCTGAAAATACCGATCCCTGTACTCTTCAGAAGTTTGTTCCTGTAAGGGATATTTTCGTCCTTGTTCTTTTATCCATCCTTTCGACTCTTGTTCTGCCTCAACTTCAGCTGCTGCTTCCCCAAGCGAAGCGAGTCATACACCTAAAGTGGCACCAAGGGGGTGCGGTTGACCCGCAGGTCACGTGTCTCACAAAGACCGACATATTTAGGCTGGAAAATTTGAGTTAATTTTCATGTATCTTACGATTAATTTATTGATCGTCCCAGCCCTATTGTATGGAATAAGCCCAAAAAAAATCACTTTAAAAACCAAATGAGCTAATTCATATGTATTTATGTTTCAAAACAGATTTTTTATTTTTAATAGGGGTTGGACTTGATTACAAATAAATCTAATTAATTAGAGGCTTTGTTATTAATTAATCTTGATTAATCACATTTTAATTGTTACTGAGGCACAGCTGATCCACACTTTAATGAGTTTATTTCTGTAACTACAAAGTCTGATTACTTTGGTCTCAGAACGGTGTGTATGTTTGCATGTGTGTGCGGTTTCAGCCTTCATGGTGTGTTTTTATGTTTTTATGCGGTCTGTGCATCAGTGGTGTTGAGTTCCTAAGAACAAAACACAGAAGCATCAGCAAACACCACCATTACAGGCTGATATGCTCAGATATAAATAAAAAAGATGGATGTTGTGGGTTTTCTTTTCTGTAGCCTGTGATGACGAGTGCTCGGGTTTGCTGATCAGCGATATGGACCGGCTCTATCGTATCATCACCGACGTCACCCTGACCTCACCCCTGCCACCTCCTTATAAGGTTTTATACCGCTTTGAGAACATGACAGAGGAGCTGAAGGTAAAAATAATTTTAAAAAGCTTTTTTTTCTTTGCTGTTTATCCAAAACCTAATTTTTGTTTTTCAGCTTTTAATTAAAAACCGTTATATCCTCATGTTTGTATAACTTTTTATAAGGAACTAACATATGCCTAATTAGGAGCCAGTTAACATGACATATTTTGTTTTTGCATTGCAAAAGTCAAGTGTTATGGCTATCTAACAAGTCTTTAACTGAAGAAATATAAAAATGATTGCTTTCTAAATGGGTTTGAAGTAAGTGTGAATTTTCTGCTGCTCTGACTCCTTCACATCTCACCCCTACAGAGCCGATCGGGTGGATCTAAAGCCATTTGCTGTAAAAATCCTAATTCTTTGATCTGTTTCTCTCCTGAAGCACATGCTGTCCCCTCAGAAAGCTCCCGAACGATTACTGCAGCTGGCTGACTCTAATATGGGATCACTGGTTGTTGAGATGGACCAGCTCCACAGTCGGGTACAGATCCTCTTGTCTTCTACTTCACTTTAGTCACTTTATCTGCTTTTTGTTGCATCCCTGTTTATTTTGCGACGTAGAGAAAAAAAAGGCTGTGGAGGTGAATCTTTTATAGGTTTCAATGCAGCACAGGTGGTTTTTAGACACATTCCTGTTACATTAGTAAAACAAGCTCCAACTTCCTCTTCAAGGATGTTGCAGATCTGTGTGTAATGATGGTTCCCACATTGCTGTTCTACATGTTTACAAACATTTGCTTCAGTTAGCTCATGTTGGACTCTGAATCCTGTAGCTGCTTGTTGGTCAGTAAAAAAACAATTCTACTGTTTATATAAACTTATTAACCCACTTTGTAATTTCTCATATTTGTAAAAAGTGCATTGTGCAACAGCGGTGCTGTGTAAGAGGAACCTTTTTGACAATTGGCTTCATACTTTTTCAAAACGTGGTTAGTTTAATTTTCTTTAATTTTGTGTTTCTGAGTCTGTGTCTATGGAAGCCCATAACCGCCACTCTGATTTTAAAATAAGTACTTGTTATTCATAATTATGACTTAGTAGAGCTGGTTGATTATTTGTATTTTAATCTCATTTTCAATCGAGGTTTTCAACAATAAAAAACAAAACGAATGGTTTACTCTCGTGCTGCTCCAAGTTACAAATTGGGCTTAACTCCCATTCATTGTTGCCAAGTCAGCGACTTTGTCACCATTTCTTCCCTGGAGGTTTCTTCCTGTTAAAAGGGTGTTTTCCTCTCCATGCTTGCTTAGTATGAGGATTGCTGTAAAGACTCTGACACTAGTCAGTGACTCGATGCAACCTGCTGGGTTCCTTATATAGGAAACTTTTTACTGATTGGCTTAATGACCTGACCTGTATTGGAATGTTTACTGTGTGAAGGTCCTTGAGACGACTCTTGTCGAGATTGGGCGCTTTATAAATAAAGTTGAATTGAATTAAATTTCTAACAACTTTCCAGACCTCCTTAACAACTCTTTTTTTTTTTTTAACCAAAAGCTCCTAGTGAACAACTAAGCAACATTTAGGAGGAGCCTTGGCTACTTTTTGTGCACGTTTATTGTCTATATTCCTTGCAGGAAAGCAACCTGTCTGCACTCTGGACTGTCCTTCCAGACGTTAGGAAAGAGAGTGATGGTGCAGCTTGATCACATCACATTTAATGACCAGTTTAAAACAAAAAGTCTGGAATCCTAAAAACAATGTTTAAAAGCCACAGTTAATGTTCCATAAATTTGTGTCAACGCTAATTAACTCATTCACTGCCAGCGTTTCTCACCATTTTTACTGTTATTGTAAGTCACAGAATGTTGTGCGCTAGGATGACGTTGACCCCCCAAACAACCAAAACAAAGCGGAGACTCACCTCTTACATCAGGAAGAATCCTGCGTGTTTCGAGCTTTATCCATTCTTTCATAATCCGTTGTTGAATTGTGATCGGCAGAAGCTTTTCCGGTTCGCGCCTCACTTTTTTACAGCAGCGGTCCAAAACGATCTCCTAACACATGGATGTTCTTCTTCCTGATCACGTGACGTATGCGGATGAAGATCAGCTTCAGAGCTGAGATGTTTGTTCTCTCAGTGCGGGGGCTCGTTCCGACGCCCACACAGTAAAAAAAATGCAAATGACGACTTTAGTCTTTAATGGCAGTGAACGACTTTAAGATTGTCGTAAATAGTCTAGATCTCAATTTCAGTCTAAATAATCATGATTAGCATTTTTGCCACAATTAAGCAGCGCCATGATTCAGCTATCTCGTAATTATGAGATAGCTCGGTGTCACGCTCCTTACTAATCTGTTGTTACAGTAATGTGGGATAAAGAATTGTCTCTCTTTACACTTTTTGCTTTAATATTAAAAATAGTTTCATGGTTGTCGGTGAGGAGAGTTAACCAAACACACCTTAAGAGTGGACGGGAAAAAGTAACTTCAGGCTGTCAAGCTACACCCTTTTAAGGCCTCAGACTTTGACATTTGTTGACAACAGTAGCATCCCCAATACCCCATCACACACAAACACACACACACACACACACACACACACACACACACACAGCTTAAATGATATAGTAGGGTCTTGTCAAATCTCAACACTACATGTAATTACCTTCCCTCTCTCACTCACACACACACACACACACACACACACACACACACACACAAACAGTGTGTGTTTTATATCGAGTGTATTGACGTATTTTTCATGCCTGTCAAAGTTTCATCCATCTCTCCCGTCCCGGTCCTTTGAGTAAACGTGTGAGGTTGTGATTTATTTTGGTGTCATCCATCTTTGTGTTTGCCTGCATACAATGATATTGATGGTTTACATTTATTGTGAAGAAACTCCTTTAATCCATCTTTTTTCTAACATCCAATTTGTCATTCTTCTTTTCTTGCTTCATTGTTTGCAAAAATCCCAACATCTTCATTTATTTAATGTGTGTTTATTATTTTATGAAGTTCCCGTGTTTTGTTTGTGTGTGTAGGCCACTAAGGTGTCTGCTGACGGAGAGCAGGTGGAGGACGATGCTGACAGGATTCATAAACGAGCTGAAGACCTGGAGCAGTTCATCAAGGACACACTGCTGGGAGCCAAAGGTAGCAGCAAAGATCAACACCTCTCCACCTCTTCCTGCCAGTAAATCTGCCCAACATGTTGTTCTGGATCTTTTGTCTCACTTTGTTTGTCATCAGAGCACATTTCATGATGTTTTATTAAATTTAAGGTTTTCCTAGAGGGAAATATGTGTTATTATATTGCAGAAGAATGAAATATAAGTAGATGAAACTGTGAATCTTATAAAGAATGTAGAAAAAATGTTATTGTCAGTTTCTAGTAAGGTGTCAAACTTTGTAGCCATTGAGTTAGTATTTAAACGCTTCCTTACTTCCTTCTTGCCAGCTCATTAAAAGAAAACCCAAAACGCCGCGGCTGATGGGCCAGCTGCCAGCGCTCTGCTGCTCTGCAGCTGCTGGTGAAAATGTTGCCGGACTATAAAGACAGTTTCAGCAACTTCACTAACCATCACCATAAAGAGTCACCCACTAGGAAAACCGTGTGGAACATCATTTGTAGCAGATTAGTGTCCCGATGCTCTTGGAATGTGGGTTTATGTTTCACCAACATTTGTCACCACGAGCATCAATGATGTTGTTTTTTCTGCTGTAGTGATTAATATTGACAGCTGAACACAAAGTACAACAATGGTTTACTATAGTTAAAACAAACAAAAAAAGGAAAGCACACATTGATGCAAAATCACAACAAACCATATTTGGCCTTAAATTGTCCAGACGGAGTATCAGGATTAGTACCTTCTTCATCACATGTCTACTGCCCTCTGGTGGAGGAGTCACAGACGACAAAGGTCCTTTTTATTTCTTAAGCTGGCCGACACTGTGCGACTTTTTCACTCGCAGCACTCAGCTTCAGCTCAAACTGTAAGACTTCCTTGCAGAGCAGATCTCACGAGTCATGTGCTCACACTGTACGTGTGGCACGAACTACCGCAGCTAAAAATTAGCCAGTAGATGACGCAACACGTTGGAATTACAAGCACGAAGTAGAAAACCCCCCAAAGTAAACACCAGGAAAACGAATGGCACGCGTTTGGCTCAGAGCAGAAAAGCGCCTGCATGCTCGCTGTTAACCGCAGTGATGCCCGTGAAAACAAGACGTTTGCCTTTGGCTCTTCTTGCCATCATGTGTGTCGATTCAATTCAATTCAAGTTTATTTATAAAGCGCCAAATCACGACAACAGCCGTCTCAAGGCACTTCACATAATAAACATTCCAATACCGTTCAGTTCATTAAGCCAATCAGAAAAAAGTTTCCTATATAAGGAACCCAGCAGGTCGCATTGAGTCACTGACTAGTGTCAGAGTCTTTACAGCAATCCTCATACTAAGCAAGCATGCAGTGACAGTGGAGAGGAAAACTCCCTTTTAACAGGAAGAAACCTCCAGAGGATCCTGGCTCAGTATAAGCAGCCATCCATCACGACTCACCGGGGAGGGAGAAGACAGAGCAGACGCATAAATTCTGCCCCTGCTTTCATGTTTGCGCATGCTCTGTTCTGATACTGGTTCTGATACTTTTTGGGGCGTGGGTCCTCACAGCGCCGCTTCAACAGTGCAATATCCTCACAAGGGATGAGCAAAATATCAAACACGCCAGAAGTCCGTGCGAGCTCACGATTGTTGATCGGTAGCTGGTCACATGGTGTTAATCGCCTCTTGCAACTCCCTGTATACTACATGACGCTCGGTGCAAAACTCACCCCGATCTTGTGGATTTTCGCACAAGTGGAAAATCGGCTCACAAAAGTGAAAAAGTTGCACAGTGTACGTCCGGCTTTAGTGCTTTTGATGAATGAATGAATATTATTAATTTACAGTTCAATAACATGCTGCATCGATGTCTTCTGTACTACATGTGTTAGTCATGTGTTTTATGTTTGCCACTAATTAGAAGTACTAACTGCAAAGTAGGTTTGTATAATCCTACTGAACACAAAGCCAGGGTTATTTAGCCTAGGGAACTAGATGCTCCATTGGACCCCTAGCAGCATTCTTGAGGGCCAATCACAGCGCTTTACCTGCTTTGTGGGCCATTCAAGGCACTCCATTGGTTTGTTGGACGGGATGATGCGACAGAGTGGAACAAGATGGCGACAGCTCGTTAGAAACAGCTTTTATTTGGACGATTGGGATTTGGGCTTTCTTAGAATCAGGAGCAGAGAGATGTATTGAAGTACTTTATTTAGAAAAATGATTTATTCTTGCCTTCAGCGGACCGCCTCGTTGTGCGACATCCATTGCGGTGAGTACGTCATGTTGTTCGTTGTCCAATAGCATGCAGAGATCATGTGAAAGACAACGGTAGTACCCGCCCCACGACCGAGAGTTGTCAGTGGAGCGTTCCCAGACTAAATTATATATTTATTTAGTCTGGCTCGCCAGCTAGCAGTTATTGACACAAAAATCATTTCTTTTTTGCCACAATCACCTTCATAGTGTCGTCTTATATTGGCTTTCCTACTAAATAATGGATATTTAAGTCCCCTCCATAGGCTAGCTCAAGTTTGTCTTCTTAATGGTAATACTTTATACAGATAAAACCCAAAAATATACCTTCATATTTTCACTTACCCTCTCAGGCTCTGCTGTGGTATCCATTTTCACATTCACCACTAGAACACCCAGATTCTTGTTGCAGCTCTTCGCTGCTTTTATTGCAACTCTGTCTGTCCATGTTTTGCTCATGTGAGTGATCCATCAAGCAAATTAAGTTTAGTAGTTAGTTGGTGTGTACATGAATTGAAGCTGTCTAATAGTTTCTCAGAAAATATACTAGTACTTAGGGGTGTAACGGTTCACGAGGGATGGTGAACAGTTTCGGTTGGGCCTGTTCGGGTTAGGGTCCCCCTGGGACAATTTATGTAAGGTATTCATCCTACAATGAAAAATATGGCAGGGAGTAAGCTCGTTATTTAATACGAGTCTTAAAGCCCCAGTGTGTGATATTTTTACCAGTTTACTATCAAATCCTGTGTTTCCAGTTCACAAATGTGTCCTTTTTCACTAATATTTCTCACCAACATCAATTCTAAATATTCCTCTCAACTTGAAATTATACATTATTATATACATAAAACTGTGGTCGAAGCTCCATGGTCCGCCATCTTGAAATACTGTAGGTGTTTAGGGACATACGAGCTCCACGTTACCCGTTTGGACTATGACTATAACCTGAAAGAACCAGCAGAGGGCAGCAGTGCACCCTGGAAACATGGAGTCTGCTAATTCAACTAAGAAATAGAAAAGAATAGCTACACCGTTGCTGTACTTGTTAGTCTGAATTAAAAAAAAACAATTAAATCAAAAGACACATAAAATTTGTCAATCATGTCCAACATAAGGAAGCCGCATATGTTCAGACCCCCGCCCGCTATTATCTGGACGCCAGCCTCCGATTAGTGTCTCTGACTCCCAAACTCACCTCAAGTTGTTCATCCGTCTTCTCCTAGTGCCAGAACTCCAGACCCGGTCCCAACGTGTCCGTTCCAAAGTCCTTCTACTCAAATCTCCCTTCAGTTTGGTTTTAGATCTAGAATTTCCCATTGCACCTAAGTTATTTTGTTCCCTGATTTAGTAAAGCAAGCTGGAAGAGCTTCGATAATTTCTAATATGAAAAATATCAGAAATACAATCAATCAAACTGCTTATGAGAGCGTATATTAAAATGGTTCAGATTTGGCAAATAGTCCTCCGTTCACAGCCGGGTTTTTAACACTTTGGCACAGATTTAAAACCACAATGCAGCACAGACGTCCGATATCTGTGAATGGACAGCCGACATCAATATCTCAGCAACCATTCACAGGACCATAAAGATCTGCTTAACCAGAAGTAGCAAACCCGATCAGAAATGGGACGCAGCCCCGATACCAGATGCACAACAAATTACGAATAGCACACAGCAAGGCCGAATTTAGACCGACTTGGGATTCTTTGGCCAACTGTAGTGGTGATTAATTTTTGTGTACCTTCGTTGCACCATGAAGTATTTAAACAATCCCAGCGACAGTGTGATTTTTAGCAACTATCCTCTACACTCGACACCAGCACATGGACTCTGTGCTGTGTGTATATAGCAATGGTTTTAGGTGCCCCTGCACATTCACCTGTACTTACCACCCACAGCACTGTGGGCTGACACAGACTAATTACAACCTCCTTCATTCAAAGCCAGGTCTACAGCCACGGTTCACAGTTCCAGTGCAACCCCTAGCTGGACACAAAAATATCTTTTCATGCGTGAATGGCAGTCACCACAATCAGCTTAAAAACACTCTGCCAGCAGTTAAGGAAAAAGGTGCAAAATAATGAGGTACTTACTCTCCCCCTGAGTGGCAGACTCGCCCTGAGTCCGAGAGCGAGAGCGTGTTAATGGAAGTTCGTCTGTAAAGCTAAACAGCCGGCCGATGAGGCAATTCTCAGCCCCCCGGACTTTGATGAGGAAGTGGCGCCATGTGGCTCTCCAAAGGCAAACTTCCCACTGAAGGGCTCTGCTCTCCCGGGTTTCGGCACCAAAAATGTTGGGTAATTTCTATATTACTCCCATATTACCCTCAAGAAATTCTAAGCACACCCACAGGGATTAGATTGATAATTTGGTAGATTGTAAACAACCCTTAAACAGACAACAAACACATACTTTGCAAAGTGTGATACTTTGCAAAGGGTGAGAGAATCAATACACACCAAACGAAAGGCAGTTTGCTCTCACCCCGAGCCTGAAGCTCTGGAGAGAATTTATTTGCAAGAACACACACACCCATACATTCCTCAAGAACCCCCTTGGCCTCAGGAATCCACAGAAGACAAAAGGGAATCTTCAGATAATAGACCAACGAGTCTCTTGGCCAGGGCAGGACGGCGTTCCTGCATAAGAGATTCCCAGTTTGGCTGGTTTTGGCCTCTATATAATAGAACAAATGCGCCTAAAGCAGAAAGGAGTTGCTGTAAACATTTAAATGTAACTAAGTACCTTAAGCAGAAAGGAATAGAAAAGAATTCCTGCAAACATTTGGAGTGAGGTAACTCTGTTTGACAATCAGTTTTTACCTATCAGCCCATTACTCTACAATTTATCATAATAACATTATTTATTCCGGACAGGAACGTCTCCTCTGTCTCCACCACGTAACCTAACTTGTTTGGTTGTTTTGCGCTTCGGCAGCCCGATCGTGCAACAAAAATACTTTTTTTCCGTGTAGAACTCAGGGAATCCCCCCACATGCTGAGGACGTAGCATGACCACATATGGTTAATCGAGGATGTTCCTGTATGGAAATGATTGAGAACGGACACAAGCACATGGGTGCGCACAGGTGGGAGGAACGTGTGTACTAGAATCCACCACATGTTTCGTAAATCAGGTGTTTGACCATTTGTACGAACATTCTAAATTTCATTCATAGGAAGAATTTTAGGAATTTTTTAACAAATGTCTGATACATGAGGCCCCTGAAACGGCTCATTCTGGAAGGTACTGAAACTTGGAAAAAAAGATTAAGATCACTTTATGTGAGAGGGATTTAGTGCAAAGAACTTAAAGGTTTAAGGGTGGATCATCTTTTAGCATTATCCTTCAATAAACATGTTTTGTATTGCAGGGACAGCGGTAGCTCAGGAGGTAGAGCGGGTTGTCCAGTAATCAGAAGGTTGCAGGTTTGATCCCGGCTCCGACCAGAGAATGCTGCTGTTGCGTCGTTGGGCAAGACACTTAGCCCGCCTTGTCTGCTGGTAGTGGTCTGGGCTGGGGAGAGGGAAGTCTGGGCTTCCCTGCTTAAGGTTGGTTTATGCTTGAAGCATCCGCGAGGTTCCCATGGCTCCGTGGGGCGAAATTGCGTCATTTATCAACCACGCCCCTCCACCGCGCCTCCTCACGGCCCAAAATTTCCGCACCACGCACCTAGGAAATTTTCTAACCACGCGGACGGTCGGACGCGGAAAAACATGGTGGACCAGCAAGAACTAGTATGGCAGAGGTTCGTAAATACAGACATTTGTATGATTCAGCTCTCAAAGATCACCGTGATCAACATGTTGTTAACAATTCTAGGAGAGGAATAGCTCGCACTGTCGGAAAAGACGAGCACGCTATTAAAAAATGCTGGAATGCCATGTTGTAAACAACAGTAATTTCTACTTCTACTATGGTGTAGTGTTGGATGCATGCTGTAGAGCTCCATGCTGCCCCCTACAGTTTGGGAGAATATTGTCTCACCGCAGAGACAGGACGCATGAACCATAAACGCTGCAAGTTGTGAAGCTCGTTCCATCCGCGAGCCGCATCACCAAGTGGAAAGTGAATGCATCAAGCATAAACCAAGCTTAAGGCTGCTGTCCCCGCGACCCGACCCCGGATAAGTGGACGACAATAGAAAAGGATGGATGGAGCTTATGAATGAAGAGCTAATGAATGCAGGAATACCCTTTGGTCTTGGCTTCATTCCGATTAGCTTCTCAGTCATATAAGACATCTGGTTTTCTCCTAACTGAGGCCATTCAAGCAAATCTAAAACATCGGGAATACCTTTAATTGAATTTTTATGTGACTTGTGGTAACAAAAGCGTTACTTTACCAGACCAGCTTTACTAGACCAGCTTTGCTAGACCAGCTTTGCTAGACCAGCTTTGCTAGACCAGCTTTACTAGACCAGCTTTGCTAGACCAGCTTTACTAGACCAGCAGTACCAGACTAACATGTTCTGACTTGCTGTGATGAAACTGTCCTCTCCTCAGCTCCCTGGCCCTTTGCCTAATCACACCATGATTATTTGTGTGTGTGTGTTTGTGTGTGTGTGTGTGTGTGTGTGTGTGTGTGTGTGTGTGTGTGTGTGTGTGTGTGTGTGTGTGTGTGTGTGTGTGTGTGTGTGTGTGTGTGTGTGTGTGTGTGTGACTTTCCAAGAGACCGTGCCGTGGCTCACTGAACGATTGAGAGTAGCAATTAGAGACTTAATTAGTGCCTATCACAAACACACACACACACTCCCTCGTCAGTGTGCACACATTAGGACAACATACACGCATAACGAGTCAGGATAACTGTACACCTCTTCCTCTGCTCTGTGCGCTCATGTTGGCGAGAAACAGTAATATGATTCTATCCACGTTTAAAGTGTTAATTGGTTTTTAAGTCCTATGTAATTTTATGGCTGTGACACACACTCAAAGACTAATACACACAAAAGAGACATGCACGCACACACACACTGCAGCTGCTCATTAGCATGATGGCTTTACGTCTGTCTTGGCTCTAATCACTTTATGTTTACACCTCAAATAAGTGAAATGCAGCGTCGCCACAACGACAAACACACAAATACAAAACGATTTTAGTCGTTTTAATCACAGCATGTTTACATTTCAAAATCTGTTAATCAGCACTGCAAACACACCTTATAGGAGTTTCCGTGTTTTTGCACACATGCACTTAAATGTTCCTCATTAATTTTCTGAGCTGTCTTTTATTCAAGTCAGCCTTGATGTGTTTGGTTTATTTTGATTCAAAATTCTAACCCTTAAGGTGACAAAGGCAAAGTTGATGCGTATTTTCAAAAATTTAATCACTGATTGGCTTTTACTTTATTTTCATAAATACTGAGCCAAAGTTGGAGGTTGTAGAAGCTGAGAGCCTTTTAGGATTCAGAGACATCACCTGGGATTGCTCCTAATTTGGTCTGTAAATTGGTAGATTATATTCTTTCCTTCAGAAAAATCTATAACTTTTATTTCTTTGTATTAAATAAGACAGTAAATGTATTTGTTCCATCAAAACTTAAATACTCTGCTCTTTTTGAAGATTACTGACTGATTACTAACTTGACATATTGGCAAACCCAACAGTTATTTACACTAAAAAGGGCCCAGATGAGGCTCTTTTTCATCAGGAAGGCAGATGTGAGCAGTCACCTCATCTCCTAGGACTACAGAGGACTAGTGGAGAGCATCCTTACTTCTGACATCACTGCCTGATATGGCAGCATCACCCAGGTAGAGCAGAAGGCTCCCCGGAAAGTTATTAAAACTGCTGAGAGGATTATAGGGATGGTTCCTAACGGCATGGAATCTGTTTACACAGCCCGCTGAATAAATATTGAGACATATTAACAAAGACCATCTCCATCGTGGTTGTGTCCTCCTCAGAAACGAGCAGCGTACAGTCTGACGAAAAGATCACACTCACCACCCGCTGCCAAAGCAGTCACGATATACTGACGTCTGGGCAAAGTCCCAAAAGGGCTGAATGCATAAAGGGACACTGCAGCTGAGAGGACTGGACCATCGTGTCTCCTGGACAGTTTCCCTCTCCTAGATGGTACCCTGAAGATCTGACAATGGAAACACGTCCAAAGCAAAAGCTTTGTAGACATCTAAAGTAAGCTGTGAATGCCAAAGAGAGGCCTGCACTTATCTAAGACTATTGAGAAACGTGTTAACTTTATTTAAGAACTGAACTGATGATTTGTGTCTCGTGTCCTGCTGAGACGCAGCAGCTCTCAGCTGCACATCTTCCTCCTGCTGCTTCAGTATCTGATAGAGGCCTGATCCGAAGCTGCAAGCAAGCACTCTGATGGAGTCGTAAACATTTCTGAGCGGGGCCACAAGTCTTTCCTCCATAAATGTGTTAGTGATGAATAAATAAAAGTTCTGCTGCCAAGAGATCAAAGCCAGTTTGTCAGAAAATAAAAAACTCTGTAAACTAAACTAAACCACTTCCAAAGTTTTGCCTTTTCATTAAAAAGTTTTGTTTCAGATCAAACGTAAGACCTCTTGTATCACCGAAACCTGGTACTTCAAATAGTGACAATTTCTTCATTTTTCTGTGTAGAAAACTAAAATTAGATTATTCACTTTAAAAAGTAAAAATGTGTTAAATATACCTCAATTCCAAACATTACATCTATTGTATGTTCTGTGTGTAACTTCATAATCCATTACTTTGTTATGAAAGTAATGGATTTAATTATTTCTTAATATTAGGTGTAAATTTTGAGTTAAATGAGATAGTTTACATTTATGTAAAATTGAATGTATTCCTATTAGTAATTTCTATGAATGTATTTATGTATTTTGATAATTCCTACCTATTTCCTTTTGTTCTCTATTTAAATGTTCTTGCATTAAATTAGGTAATGTAAAAAGTTTTCATTCATAAAATTGTACTCAATTCTATACCTAGTTAAATGTAATTATTAATATTTGTTGTAATGTGTTTCCTTAATTTTCAAGGTCAACTTTATTTATATAGCGCTTTATGTATTTATATAAGCACTGAACAAAACAATGCTCCAGTAAAACCTTCAAAATGATGGTGTTTAAAAAAAGCATATGATAAACTATAAATGAACTCAAATGTATAAAATAAAATTAATTTTATTGAGTAAATGGGGGTATTTATTTATTTATTTTTACTGTGTATGAACTCAATCAGTTGGGTAGTAACCGGAAGAAAGAATACAGGACGCCTCCTGGACGCCTCCCTGGCAAGGTTTTCTGGGCACGTCCAACCAGGAGGAGTCCCACAGGGAGGTCCAGGACACGCTGGAGGGACTTTGTCTCTCACCTGGCCAGGGAACGCCTTAGAAGGAGGAGCTGGCCCAAGTGGCTGGGGAGAGGGATGGACTCAGTGTTCTCACAGCTGTCCCTTTTCGTGTGTTCATCTAGACCTTCAATCCAAGGCTGCTGAGCTGAATGAAACCCTCTCACGGAAAGATGGAACGCCTGACAAGAGCCTGAGTGAGATGAAGGAGGAGATCCAGGCGATGCTAGCTGAGATGAGAAAACGACAGCTGGGAGGAAAGAAAAGCATCGCAGAAGAGGAGGAGAAGTATGAAAAGACACACACACACCAGAGGGACTACACAGATTTTGGTAAAACTTTGTCAAAAGACAATTTTAAATGTGAAACTTGGTGTGAACCGGCCACTGGTGTTAATTTGTTAATGAACATTGAGTAATTGTGTGCATTTAAGGCGTTTTAATGAGTGCGACGGTGGCTCAGGAGTTAAGTGCTCGCCCCGTAATCGTATGGTTGCAGGTTCGAGCCCCGCTCAGTCTGTCGCTGTCGTTGTGTCCTTGGGCAAGACACTTAACCCACATTGCCTGCTGGTGGTGGTCGGAGAGACGGGTGGCGCCTGTGCTCGGCAGCCTCGCCTCTGTCAGTGCGCCCCAGGGCAGCTGTGGCTACATCGTAGCTCATCACCACCAGTGTGCGAATGTGTGTGTGAATGGGTGAATGACTGATTGTGTTGTAAAGCGCCTTGGGGGGTTCCAGGACCCTAGAAGGCGCTATATTAAATACAGGCCATTTACCATTTACCATTTAACCTTTTTCACCATCAGTGAAAAGTGGACAAACTTTAAACAACAAAAGGAAAGTTTACTTTGTTCATCTCGTAATTTTTCTGTTTAAAGGCATACTTGGAAAGCTGAAAGAAAAAAGAAAAGAAATTAATAAAAAAGAAAAGAAAACTAAGAAATAAATTATGAAGGATAAACAAAAAAGAAAAAAATTGAAAATAAAGAAAATTAATTTCTTAAATAAAATAAAAGGTATACTTGGAATGCTGAAAGAAAAAAAAGAAAGAAAATTTAAGGAAGTACAAAAAAAGGGAAAAAATTTGAAAACTTTTTGAAAAAAATAAAGAAAATATATTGAAAGGCATACTTTGACATTTTTCATTTAATGGAATCTTTTCCTGCACCAGTTTGTGCTAAAATGACTCGTAACAAGCTCATTCACGCTCGCAAAAAAATTAGAGCACACGCCGAAACTATCGCTGCACGGCCTTCGTGGCGCTTCGCTGCTGATGTGACCGAGACCGTAGGTTAACAAGGGCGCCAAATAGAAGAGCTCAACGGCACTTCCACGGCTTCATTCCACGGCGCTTCACAGCGCATCGTTGCGATTCAGGGGTACAATGTTAAAAAGACGAACGCACAGCGAAGAGATTTATTTAGATTTTGGTTCTACTAAACGGACACTAGGGGGAGGTAAAAGCAAGCAAAACTGCCGAGTGTGCCTTTAAAGCAGTCTGCTCTGATCACCTGCAGACTTTATAACGTAAAGGTTTGCATGTAAGTACATTTTATTTATATAGCACTCATCAGACAGAAAACCACAAAGTGCTTCTTCACATGGATCAAAACAAATCAGTCATAAAATCAAAATGATCTTAAACAGACATAGATTAAAATCAGGTGAAGTCGTTAAATTATAAAATACCTTAAAACAAATTAAAGATGATTACAAATTTGAGTTAAAAATAAGAAAATAAAAGATAAAATATTTAAGGAAACTCATGCTAATGCATTTATACAGAAACGAGCTTTGAAGTTGTTTCAACATTACTTTATACGCAACAACCTTTTAAAGAGTTGCACCAGAAAAATATTCCTTCAGTGCAGTTCTTCGTCTGGGTTTTCCTCTCGTTCATTCGCCAAACACCTCTGGCTTTGGGCAGAGAGAACGAGAGAAGTGGAGACGAAAAAGAAACTTCCTCAGCCTTTAGATTACTCGTTTGTCGACCAGCCTGTTGGTTATTCTCACTGAAGATTTCAGTCTGTGCAAAAGGCAGAAAAAACAACGAATGTGCCGTAAGTCTTAATAAAATGAGAAAACCTGTCAGTTAAAATCAGTTGTTTAAAAACTTTTATCTGAATCAATAGTCAGATGGATAACAGCCGGACAACCTCAGCCTTTGCTTTATTTATACATGTATTTCTGTTACTCCCCACAGGCTTCATTAAAGTTTTATCATATCCAATCATTACGCTCCGTGTATCCCTGAACTGTGAATTCTCCTCGGAGTGAAGTTAACCAGAGGACACCGGATCGTTGTCATAATTTAAGATTTTAATTCAGATGTGTGAGTGTAAACGTAAGGCGTTTAAACGGGTTTAAATGTTTCTACTGAGCCAAATGTTGTTAAAAGAGCAAATAGGAAGAATGTTTGGTGTGAATGGAGCGTTACTTTGAAAAATGGTAAAACACTTTTTCTGATGTCACTTTTTTGCGTTGAATGAAAAGATGATTTTGTTGTCTTGAGGACATAAATCGCTGCATGTTCAGCTGTGGAAGTTTAACTTTGTAAAAGAATATTTAAAATTTGAGCAATCTTTTTATCAAACCGACACAATAAGAGCAAGTTCAACGACAAAACATTTTTTCTTCATTTTTAAAGAATAATTAGTCATCCTGAGTTGTTCTTGCAGGCTGAACAGGAAAATAGTCTCCGACACCTATCTCAGGGTATCCGCGGGTCCTTAAAAAGTCTTAAATTTGATTTAAAATACATTTTCCAAAGGTCTTAAATTACCAAAGCCCCAATAAACGAGATTCTTTTATTACTATAAAATTTTTGTGAATTTCTAGTTAGTGTTCAGCATTTTTTATGTATGATGTTGGCGTAAGCGGAATCGTACACATTCAGTTGGTTGTGAAAGGGGGCTATTTTTAGATGAGCACATTAGCTGGTTAAGCTAGTGGGAGCTTGCGCCATGGGGAAGTGAAAGTTTAATGGTAACTGGATGGTTAATCCCACGTTCGTGACGTGGTTAGCACCGATTCCAGGCAATAGCTGGAGATTATAGCTTAAATTTAACTTTTAAAAATAGCTTAAATTTGGTCAAAGTGGCCTTAAAAAAGGTCTTAAAAAGTCTTAAATTTGGCTCCCTTAAACCTGCAGATACCCTGTATCTGCATTAGCTTGAAGTGAGCCACATCACAGCTGAGCTTCAGATGGAAGGTTTCAGACTTACTTCCTGATATCTGGACATCTCTCCTCTGATTGGCTAACAGCAACACGACTCTACCGCTGACTCTGTTTGCTCTGCAACGTTAATGTTATATCTCCACAAATAACACAAGCCTGGGGGAGTTCTGCTGTGTGGTGGAGTAGCTAATGCTACCAGTTAGCTTCTACTAGCCGAGACGTTCTCTGCTGTTTCCTGGACGCTAAACCAACAACAGCCTTCCCCGTCGTCAGTCCAGATGGGTGAGTCCATGAATGTCAGTGACAGTGTGACGTAGATCTGTCAGGCTTTTCTAATCCTAGAGTTTCACCGTCTGTTTTCTATCAGAAGCTAATACAGGAGGTAGGTGTAGGAGACTATTTTCATTTTCAGCCTTAAATATCATCACTTGCTTTTAACCTTTCAGCAGTGGTGAAAACATGAGAGAATGAGTTAAAATATGATTCCCAGCCTTCCTGTTTTCTCCTTCCAGCCTGGCCGAGGAGTTGTACCAGAAAGTCAAGCGACTGTTCGGAGACCCCCACCAGGCCACAGAGGACCTGAAAGCTGAGGTAACCATCTTCCTGTTCTTATTTTGTTTTTGGGATTCACTAAATAACTGAGATTCACTCGAAACCTCCCTGCCTGCTTTCCAAGATTAAAGAGAAGCTGTCGGATCATGAGGCGAAGCTGCAGGAGGCTCAGGACTTACTCAGCTCCGCCCAGGGAAAGACGAGGCAGGCCGGGTCGCTAGCTGAGCAGAACCGAGCCAACCTCACGCTCCTGGAGGTGCAGACACACACACACACACACACACACACACCATCAGTTGTCTGTTTTTGAGATTTTTGTGGAAAACTTGGAGCAAGAAGCTGCACAGGAAGTGTAGCGCGTTGGCTAATAAAACCTTAAAAAGCTGCCTGCTTGTGCACCAGATGTGTCACAGAATAAAATTCACCTAATAAGAACAAATATATATTTTTACATATCTGCTGAGCTGCATCCACATTAATGTGACTTCCTCTTCTCTGTTTAATCAGATTTTTTAGCTTAAATGAGAGAAAAAGACGACTCTGATCTATTAGAACCACAAATTCAGCAGCAAGCTGGGCCTTCATGTACCTTAGGCTTAGTTTTAAATGTTTTTGGCTTTTCTGGGACAAATACCTGAATTAAGCTGCTTTATTTCTACTTATTAATCAATTCAACTGGATCTTCTGTAGATTTTAGATTATTTGAAATTCTTTTACACACGATCTAGCCGTGAAATTCAGTAGGAGAAACTGTTCTAACAAGCTTTTATTAAAGTAATTATTTTTACACGTCTAAAAGGATTCATCTCACACACACACACACACACCATGCTGACTTTTGCTTATAAATAAAGCTTTTTTGTAGTGAATAAAGTGAAACACAGACCAACTACACACCACACTCAGCTGTGGTATTTTCACGTATTCTTTAATCAGGTCACTAATTGTGAGTCCCCTGGGTCCACGGTCTGCTTTATCCAGTAACTGGAATCACCTAAAAAGGTTTTCACTCTGCAGAACAGAAAGTCCCGCGGTGATTGCTTTGTCATTCTCATTCGCTGCCAGACGTTTCCTGATAGGTAAAGCCCTTCGCTGCCAGCGTTTCTCACAGTTTTTACTGTTTTTTTTAAAAGTCACAGAACGTTGCGCGCTAGCATGATGTTGACACCAAAACAAAGCGGAGACTCACCTCTTACATCAGGAAGAATCCACGTGTTTCGAGCGTTATCCGTTCCTTCTTAATCCGTTGTTGAATTGTGATCGGCAGAAGCTTTTCCGGTTCGCGCCTCACTTTTTTTTACAGCAGCGGCCCAAAACGATCTCCTAACACATGGATGTTCTGTTTCCTGAGCATGTGACGTGTGACGCATGCGGATGAAGGCCGGCTTTAGAGCTGGGATGTTTGTTCTCACAGTGCGGGGGCTCGTTCCGACGCCCACACAGTAAAAAAATGCAAATGACGACTTAGTCGCCAATTTTGTCGTCATTGGCAGTGAATAAGTTAAAGGACACGAGGTTTGAGTTTATGAGCAGTGACATAGTCCCGCACGTGTAAACAACGTCATCTTTAGCCAAGTTAAATATTTGTCATGATGGGCGCAGATAAAGCCTTCCGTCAAAATGCCTTTGGCTGTTCATCGGCTGCTAACCAGGCCTTTCCACCCAACACGTACGTGGCGTGTAACGTAATAGATGCGTTGACCACAAGCTCCCTTCCAACTGGGAACGTTTCAGACCCTCAACTGCCATGCAGCTTGTACCGCAGAAGAAGTACAATGCCACGCGCGATTTCGGCAGTTCACGCGGTAACGATCAAGGGGAAAACTGGCAACATGTACCCAAAAGGGCTGTGGTTTCTTTTCTGTTCTGTTTGCTTCAGCTTCGGAAGTTTCACAGGAAATGACATCCTTCTTTCACTAGTTAAGTAGCTGGAAATCTGCATGTGACTTTTATTTAGAAAGTTTCTAGATTTTTTTTCCCACTGCTTTTGTGTTTTACTTCCTGTCTGGCCCGACCTGAACTGCAGGATGTGTTCCAGAAGCGTCTTTATGCTTCCACTGGCCAGTGGAAAGGAGCCCGTCCAATACAGAGGTGGCTTACTGCCCGTAAGTACGTTTTCCACCAGTTTGTGAACGGGTGAGGTTAGTGAATGGGCACGTTTCCACTCGTCGTGGAAGCATCCCTGAAGCTTAGAAATGCGTTGCTTACGCTTCCAGTTTTTTTTTTTACCCTCTGCGTTTCCAGAACAGGTCAAACTCTGCAGTTCAGATCGGTTCAGACAGGAAGTCAAACATGAAAGCAGTGTAAAACAACTGGAAACTTTCAAAATAAAAGTCACATGCAGATTTCCAGTTGATTAACCGAGTCAAACATAAAAGAAAATAACCCACAGACCTTTTTGGTACAGATGCTACCACCTTTCTCCTTGTTTGTTATAATGTGAACTTCCAACATCACACATGGCGTTGCAGTTTTTCCGTGATGCCGCAACCTCTGTTATGCATCTGAAATGCTCCTGGTGGGAAAGCAGCCCACGAATAAACTGTATTACGTAAGACACCACAGACGCATCCGGGGGGGTGGGGGGTATGCTGTTAGTCTAAAACTCACCAGATTTAGGAATAAAAAGTATCGTGCACAGATATTCCACGTTTTATCGATGTTTGGCCCAAAAAACTTCAAAACAATTGCAGGAAATGATGTCACAAAGGAGTGCCTCTCCTCTTGCGCCCGTTCAAAAAGGCTTCTTGGTTTCATTTCCAGGAATCTGAAACGACTTTTGTAGGAGTTGGAGATGAATTCCTGAACAAAATGAGAAATGTCAGATATTTGTGAGATATCTGTCCTGACCTGGCAATGCATAAAACATTTCAGAACTGTGTGTTTCCAGCCCTCACAGCCCCATGAGACTCTGTTCTGGTGTGAGTTAGATTCATGTGGAGCTGCGCTCTGGTTCAAACCTGGAGTTATTTTAGATCTGTGTTAAATGTCCCGTCGCAACAAAGCCAGAAAAGCAGGAGCCTAAACAATGGTCTGTGTGCTTTATATTCATGCTCATCGATTAAATGTGGTTAATATGTTTATGTGTATGTATTTAGCAGACACTTTTGTCCAGAGCGACTTACAAGTGAATATGGACGCTGGAAGCTTCAGCTCTAAAAGCTCAGCTGGTTGTGTCCAAAGAGAAGATGCTTGTATAAGATCTGAGCTTGTTTCCTTGTAGAGGAAGCGCTCTGCAGCCGGCGCGATAAAGCAGGAAGCACAAGAGTCCCTCGGAGAAGGAGAAAATCTGCTGGAGGAGGCGAACCAGCTCTCCGACAACATCAACAAGGAACTAGAGGTGCAGAAATAATCCTGGATCTTCTGCTCACTGTTGCACATCACGCCTGAGGAAAACTTTTCAGCTACGTCTTAACCTCGTCTGTGCTCTTTTCTCTTTAAATGATTCACACGTTCATTGTTGCATGTCCTTGGAGCAGCTGTGCATGAGCAGCGTGGTTCACATCTTCTGGTTTGCGTCTTTAGGACTTGGAAGAGATGAGCCGAGACCTCGGTCCTCTTCGTGATCAGCTGGAGGACAAAGTCCAAGGCCTCACCGACGGCTTGAGTGGTGATAATTTGGCGAAACAGGTGGACGAGGCAGAAGAGCACGCCAGGCAGCTGAACGAATCTGCAGCCCTTCTAGACGGGTAAAGGCCTCACAAACAGAGTTCTTTATAACTCTGCGTTTATTTTCTTTTCACCCTCTCATCCCTCCTCCTGTAGTATTTTGGCTGAAGCTAAAAACCTCTCCTTCAACGCCACCGCTGCCTTCCACGCTTACGCGAATATCAAAGCCAACGTTGATGCAGCGGAGAAGGAGGCGAAGGTCGCCAAACAGAGGGCCGGCGAGGCGCTGGCTCTGGTGAGAGTTCAGAAACACCATTCAGAATAAATGGTTTCCATGGTTACTGCATGTTACGGTCATTAAATAGTGCTGAATGCTGACTTGTACACACACAGAATACATATCACATACAGGAAGTGTCCAGAATGGAGCATCCAGACCCTGAAGTGTGCTCTCAACACAAAAATGATCATGGCAGACACATCAAAGTCCCTTTATTTTCTATTTAGTACATCTTGTCTTCCACACACACACTATAGTCTCCATTTATTCTAGTTTCTTCAGTATTTTTCTCTACTTTTTACTGTGTTTTTATGTTTCTGTTGCCATTTATTCGTTTTCATGTCTTATTTTCAGCTGAGAGACTCTTTATCTGATTATTTGTAGTATTCACTTTTGTACAGTGTACTTGTTCACACACCAGCCTTGTTCAATTTGTATTTTTTATATATTTCTTAACAAGAAAGCACAAAAAGAAGCTACGGGTTGTTGTGGAGGTTGATTTAGCAAGGCAGCTTTATTTAGAGCAGGGCTTCCCAACCGTGGTCCTCAGGGCACACCGTCCTGCATGTTTTCCATGTTGCCCTTTTAAACCCCAGCATTTCCCTGCTGCCACACACCTGACTTAAATAAATGAGTGATTAGCAGGCCTCTGCACCACCCGACATCCTTCTGAGGAGCCAATCAGGTGTTCTGAAGTAGAGACATGGGGAAAATGCAGGACGGTGTGGCCTGAGGACCACGGTGGGGAAACACTGATTTATAGCACATTTCAGACCCCGAAGCCATTTAATGTTCTTGTCAGGAGCAAGAAAACATAAAACTGTACGTTTTAGAATCAGATTAAAAGTACACAAGTAAAAGTAGATGATGTTTCATTACTGAGCAGTTACAGTGCAACATGAGAAACGTGTGTATCTACATAAATACATACTAGACAGTTGTGTAATCTGACTGAAATTGCGGAATTAAGTCAAAAAAGGGTAGAATGCCTTCCCTGGGTCAGGGATGAGGTCCTGTCACAAGTGGAGGAGTTTAGGTATCTCAGAGTCTTGTTCACAAGTGAGGGAAAGCTGGAGCGTGAGATCGACAGGCGGACTGGTGCTGCATCTGCAGTGATGCGTTGTATCGGTCTGTCGTGGTGAAGAGAGAGCTGAGTCAGAAGGCAAAGCTCGTGTTTTACTGGTTGATCTACGTTCCTACCCTCACCTATGGTCACGAGCTTTGGGTGGTGTCCGAAAGAACGAGATCACGGATACAAGCGGCTGAAATGAGTTTTCTCTGCCGAGTGTTTGGGCTCTCCCTTAGAAAGGAGGCCCTTGAAGTAGAACCGCTGCTCCTCCACGTCGAGAGGAGCCAGTTGAGGTGGCTCTGGCATCTGGTCAGAATGCCTCCTGGACACCTCCCTGGTGAGGGTTTCTGGGCACGTCCAACCAGGAGGAGACCTAAAGGAAGACGCAGGACACGCTGGAGGGACTTTGTCTCTCAGCTGGCCAGGGAACGTCTTCGGATTCCTCCGGAGGAGCTGGCCCAAGTAGCTGGGCAACGGGAAGTCCTGGCCTCTTGACTTAAGCTACTGCCCCCCACAAAAAAGCTCATTTGTGTCTAACGAGCCACACAGGAAAACTAAATGATGTTTAAATATTAGCCAATGCCTAGTATTTATTTATGTAGATACGTATTTATACACTTTTGAACACCTTGGAGCTCCGTAATATAGATCTGGGTGTCATCTGCATAACTATGATAGGCTGTGTTATTGTGCATGACCTGCCCCATGGGAGGATGCGGAGATTAAAAGCTGCGGTCCGCGAATCGAACCTTGGGGGACTCCACGTGTCATGTTGTTCTGCTCATGTTTGTGATCATCAGTAGAAACAACATAACCCCTGCTGTCAAGATAAGATATGAACCAGCTAGTGTCTGATAATCCCACCCACTTTATGAGCCTGTCAAGAATAATAGAGCAAAGCAAAACGTTGATTTTACATGAAGGAGCTGTGTGCAAAAATGTGTTCTTTTACTAATAATGTTAAACAGATCTTTTCCACATTTCTGCATTGTTGTGTTGTCAGGCTTTAGGTCCTGATGTTCCAGTAAAGGAAGCGGCTCAGAGAGGCCTCCAGGAGAGCGAGACACTGCTGAGCAAAGCCAGACAACTGGAACACGACGTTAACGGTACCACTGAATACTGGATGTGTCAAATACGACCCCGGTAATGTTAGCATCTCACTGGGCTGTGACTGTTTCTTGACTAGTTAGAGATACAAAGGTTCAGTTTTGGTGCTTTGGTGATAAGTTTCGTACAATAAGGTGATGTGGAGCGTCGGCTCGAATCTCAACAGTCTTTAAAAAAAAACATTTATTCACATTCTGTTAAACTGAATTATGGCTTCATGGTGTTTTCCACATGGCCGCGACAACTCGGTGAGTTTTAGCACAAACGTTTTCAGACAGCTGGATGGTATTTTAGGATTTTGTGAGGATTTTTCTATTAAAGCTTCTGTGAACATCGATAAGAGTAAAGTTTGGAGAGCTGTCGTGCGAGGAGCCGTTTATGTTCCCAGGGTTGCCCAATCCTGGTCCTGGAGGGCGGTTTCTCTGCTCCAACACACTGATTCACCTGTGCTGCGGTTCTCCGGGCACTGCAGAAGCCTGCTAATCACCTGCTGATTGAAAGCAGGTGTGTTGAAGCAGAGTTGAAACTAAAACCTGCTGGACACCGAACCTCCAGGACCTGGATCGGGCTCCTTAGTTCTATGGAGCTCCCTCAGGAAGCTCTTCTCTCATTTACTCTTTACTTTTAGGGAAGAGATGGTGTGACTATAGTTGTGAGCACAGCATTGTGCCATTATATTTACACTCTACCTGTGTGTGTGTGTGTGCGTGCGTGCATGTAGAGAATGCAGATGATGTGGCGGGGCTCAAAGGCAGAGTTAAAGCAGCGAGAGACAAAACCAGGGACCTCTTCAAAGCTGCTAATGGAACCATGGTGATGCTTGGCGCCATCCCCAATGGTAGGTTCACTCAAACATACTGTGTGTGTGTGTGTGTGTGTGTGTGTGTGTGTGTGTGTGTGTGTGTGTGTGTTTCTGCAAACTGGTTTTCTCTCACACTCCTCCCCCTGACTCACTCACTTACTCTCACACACAAAGAGAAAGAGAGCGCTAATACAGGTCAGTTTTCCCAGAGATTGTAAAGTGATGTGACATTTTAATATTTGGGTGAAAAATCCTGCTGGTTTGAGATAAATTGTGTACATGTGAACAGTTTTCCACTCTTTGCTTGGTCTCCAGTTGTTTCTTCTAATTCTTTTAGGTAGTCCTATAAGGGTTAGGGTTTGTTGTTCCTTTAAGCTGTTTCCATGAAACCTTCGAAACATTGCAGGAAACACTTTTTCAAACAGGATTTTCCAAAACTGTCACCTCAGACAATTGGATCTGAGGTTGTGCTTCATAGTAAATGTCACAATTTTCCAACAGTGTCACAGTTTCAGAGTTATGCTGGTTTTCACTTTACACCAGTTGTCTGCTGTGCTTCTGGTTGGACTTCAGCAGGATTATAATCTGTGTTCTTTAGTCTCTACAGTCAGAGAGATCGATCAAACACTCAAGTCTGTGTTGCTGCAAAGCTTTAAATCTAGCATAAGTCTGACCGAAACAAGAACGGATCAACAAATTATTCATAAATCTGTCTGAAGATCAGTCCTAGAATTATTCTAAACTCTACATAAACGTCACGTTAATCACTTATTGTTTATTTTACGTTCCTAAACAGATACAGCCGCTAAACTAGCAGCTACAAAGGCTGTAGCAGCTGAGGCTAACGCCACGGCCACAGATGTCCTGGAGCGCCTCAGGGACTTGAACCTGCGGATCGGTGGCCTGCAGCAGAACTACAGCGAGCTGGAGGACACCGTCAATTCAGCCAATCAGATTATCCAAGACCCGGAGCAAAACAGTAAAGTGCTTCACTGTTAAATACTAGCATCGTTTATATGAGTCATTCTACTGGAAGGGTGCCAAAATACGAAACTTATATTTTTCTCAACAAAATCAAGTCATAGATAAATGTTCTAAAAGGGCATTAGTTAATCTGAAGGATTTTATTTTGTTTGTAAACCAAATGACTCAATTTTTCCCATGTTCCTATTTTACTGAGCCCGAGTTGCTATTGCTACAATGTCCAACCCAACCTGGCTCTACGTGAAAAAGTAATTGCCCCTTAAAGATGTGGAACACTAAATAAACATTTTTACATCTTATTTCTGATTTAATCAGTTTTTCATGCAGGCTGAACATGAAAATAGTCTCCTACACCTATCTCCTGCTTTAGCTTCTGATAGAAAACAGACGGTGAATCTCTAGATTAGAAAATCCTCACAGATCTACGTCACACTGTCACTAACATTCATGGACTCACCCATCTTGACTCACGACGGGGAAGGCTGTTGTTGTTTTAGCGTCCAGGAAACCGCAGAGAACGTCTCAGCTAGTAGAAGCTAACTGTTAGCATTGGCAACTCCACCACACAGCAGAACTCCTCCAGATGTGTGTTGTTTGTGCAGCTAAAACATCAATGTTGCAGATCAAATACTCAGTGGTAGAGTCGTATTGCTGTTAGCTAATCAGAGGAGAGATGTCCAGATATCAGGAAGTAAGACTCCAGATCCTGGGTGCTTCACAATGCCAAGGAACCTCGCCTTTATGTCTTGGCCCCGCCCCAGTTGCCTAGGAGATACATCATCGGGAGCCGCCAAGACATGTTCCAATGTTCATGGTCTACCGAGGCGTGTGTTCTCCATTTGTTAGATTAGACGTTTAGCTAGCTGAGCAAGGATACACGGGATGTGTCTTGTAGCCTAGCCTTGGTCAAAAATTGCCCAGAATACACCGCGGTATTTTCAAAAGGACGGCGGATCAGAAGCCCGCAGCTACTTCGGGGACAGTTTTCAAGTTTAAAAATAAGTCAGCCAATTTCAAATGTTTTTTTAGATCCAAAGAAGTTATTGATGGTTGGTTAGTTGCTTAGTAGTTGCAGCTTCGGTGGCTAGCAGGTAGTAACTCGCTTATATTTTTAATTTAATAAACATATACACAATTTATATCGAAACTAATACGTATAAAATATAAAGTTATCTCCCGTGTCACGTGATGCAAGTTTGTTCCATTTAACCATTTTCCGTTGACCAAGGAAGGACAGTGTCCTCTTAAGAAAAGCGCCTGGTCTCGCAAGACATCGCCTCGCAAGGCCAGGCGCCTTGACATTGAGAAATACCCTGTCGTCTGAAGCTCTCTGATGTGGCTCATTTCTAGTTCCTGAGAAAGGCGCACTGGAGCTTTTTTTTCTCAGACTTACAATTCCTACTGGAGACCACAGCGCATGAGTGAAGGACCTCTTTATTGTAACAGGACTGAGTTTTTAGCATAGAATTAGCTAATAAGGCATAGACAGACAGGAAGGGTCATTGAGCGCAGGAGAGCATTGCAGTGTCGACACCATATTGGATGGGTTTTCTCACTCTCCAAAGTCGATGAAGAGTGGGCAACCACCCCCGTTTTTGTTGAGCCTACGGTTACAACAACTGGTGTGCCACTCTAAACGGATCACGTTGGATTACCAGTGACTTCTAGCCTACCTGGTGGGACTTCAGATTTTCATTTATTTAGCTTGAATCTATATGTTAACTATCATGCCATACAGTGTGTCTGATTTAGTGAAAAAGCTTGATAAAAGGTGTTATTAGTTGGGTAACACCACTGGGGGTGAATGGAGACCCATCTAAGATGGTCGCCGACCACTACGGCAGCTCCAGTCCACGGGGCGTCTGCGTATATATGTCTGTCTAGCCACATGGCATGTTTACTAGCAGCATGAAGACACTGAGCAACATCTAGTCATTCGTCATAAATGTGTTTTTAAACAAACACCTAAGAACTAATTTATGTAACAAAGTAGATGTTTGAGATTTACACCTTCAGTCTTTGTTTTATTTTTACCAAATATAAAATGAGAAAACCTACTTTTGGTCTTCCCGTGGCTTTTAGATGAAGCAACTTCCTGTCATGCGTGTGACTTCTGGAGTTTTAGAAGAGGTAACAGGACTGGGTGGAAACCCAGGAACATAACTAAAATGTGTATTTTACTATGAATATTACAGATTGCGTTTTCTTTTGGGTGTATATAGTTCAAATGGGATATTTAGTCAAAGCTTGACTGTGTGTCTCAGTAAAGTGTGATTTTATACAGTGGGTACAGGTGACAGTAGTTGGTCATGAATCCCTTCAATCATGAATCTGAAAGTTGAGATTCGATCACAAATGGCTAATGTTGCTTAAGAAGAAAGTGCGTCTTCATTGACGGGGACGGAAATGGCACCCATTGATGGAATGACCCATATAAACCCTAAGCAGCATGAGTAAATGATCATTTTAAACCGATTCAGGTAAAGAAATTTGCTTGAACTTACAAATATTGATCAGTGAACAGATTTTTTGATATTTTTCTCTCTCTCTCTTTTTCCAATCCCCGCAGCAATCAGTATGTATATTTCATTTACCTTAATAAAACGTGTTATTTAAAAGTGGCGCACCCATCCCACATCGTTTTTCTGTAACCTCACAGATTTCCTGTGAGATTGTTTTTTCTTCTAATCCCAGCTTAAGCAGCACTTTGTCAGCGAGGTTTAACCACTAAAGACTGACTCCATCGGTGGTATTGGTGCTCCATCATTAACAGTAGTTGCTTCTATTAATGCCTCCTTTTGAAACGAGCATGAGTTCTCAGCTCCTCGCAAGGCACAGAACTCCTTTTAATTCTCTTTTATTCTTTCTGCTGTTTCATCTGCTCTGAAAAATGAAAGCAGGTCTTCACCAACGCTAAGCTAATCGCACATCAGCTTTTTCTCTTTTGCTCCTCTGCTGTATTCCTGTTCCTCCAGGTGCTCCATCTGCTGCAAGCTTTGACCTTTCACCTCTGATGTACAGTAGAATATCACATATTTTATTAAGACTTCCTTTGTACTCAAAGCACCGGATCTGTCTGCTCCGTAGTTCACGCTGCAGGAGCTAAAGTGAAAGACTTGGAGGACGAAGCTGACCGACTCTTGGAGAAGCTGCAGCCAATCAAAAAGCTGCAGGACAATTTGAGACGCAACATTTCCCAGATCAAAGAACTGATCAACCAGGCCAGGAAACAAGCAAACTCGGTTAGTTGTTCAGCACTTTCTGTGTTTTAAGTTCTTACTAATATCTTTAATTTTTGCAGACTGTGTTGCAGATATAATTTTAATTACCGACTTCCTTTTTTCTCCAAATTCTTGAAGTTTTAGTTATGAGTCATAAATCCACCAGTGTATTTATAACTGTTGTAAAATATTAAAATCTTTAGGAAAAAGCTTTTTTATTTATCTTTTAAACTTGACATAATAAAAATACAACATAAAATGTCCTTTTTGTTTCCAGATCAAAGTTTCGGTTTCGTCTGGAGGTGACTGTCTCCGTAGTTACCGCCCTGACATCAGGAAAGGCAGATACAACACCATCATCCTGCACGTTAAAACCACCACACCTGACAACCTCCTCTTTTACCTTGGATCTGCTAAGTATGTAAGTACAGTTTTAATTTGTGATGTGTTTGCATGCAGAAAGGATTGAGGGGCACCTCGGCCATGTTTGTATGGTTTTAAATCTGCATGAGGTTGAGGCGGACACTAGGACACACCGTGGGTGTTCAGATTAGAAGTGGACAGTTAAAGCGTGATTATTCATCTTGGACACATTTATTCACATTCAGCTGCAGATAATTCAGTATAATTATAATAAGGTGTGATGTGTAAGATTGAAGGAAGAATGACATCCTGTGGTCAGATGTGAGTATTGCAGTCCATTTTTCTAAACAAAAAAGGTTTAGACAAACGAGTCGTACACAGTAAGTTTATAAGTAGACAAATGCATTGCCATTTCTGGTGTTAGCACTCTTGGGTGTTTTATGGTGGAGAGCACTTACTACACTTACTACGGTAGTAGGCCTCCAGCATTAGAGGAAGTGTGAGACATAAATATGTAGACTCCCCGTGGACTGGCGCTGCCTACTGGACCTGCCAGAGTGGCCTGTCGCCATCTTAGATGGGTCTCCGTTCGACCCCAGTGCATTTATTTCTACTCAGGAAGAATTTTACCCAACTAAAACACATTTTATAAAGGCTTTTCTTAAAGTCAGACACAGGGTATGGCACGATAATTAAAATATAAATAAATCCCATCAGGTAGGCTAGAAAAATCAATAGTAATCCCACTTGATCTGTTCTAGTACACCGGTTGTTCCAACAGCAGGCTGCACAAAAGCAGGCATCACCCAATGGGGCGTCTTCATATTCATGTCTATGGTTTACCGTCTTGCTGTTAGCTTGCTGTTATAGTTCTGAACGACTAATTAAAGGAAGTAAAACGCCACGATTTACTCATTATTCATTTCACACACATTTATCTGTAATATCCAGTTGTTGGTCATTGAAAACGTAGCTAGAGATGTTTTTAGAGCAGAGTATTGCTTCTGATTCACTGTTAGCATTGTTAGCTTAGCGTTAGCCTCTAGCCTGCTTCACCCAATATTAGAGTGAAACAAAAAGATGCCGTGGCTCTAAGAAATACCTTCTGGGTCATTTCTGTTACTGGCTTCGGTTCGTTTAATAACTCTGGAGCTTGTTGCCTGCCGGGGTGGAATTACAAATGCCGGTGCTGCAGCATTAGCGTGGCGCAGACTCAGCAACCTCATGGCTCACTAATTGCAGACAGTAACGATGTCCTATAGTTTTTTGAAAGGAGATAATCGAAAACCTCCAGCTGGCTGAGAATGAAATCTTTTTCAGTAAAACCTTCCTTCCAACATGATTGAATAGACTGTTTTTTGATTATTTCACTGTAGAATTCTTACATATTGCTCCTTTAGCATAATATGAAATGCCAAATTGTTGTATATTTAAAGTAACAGCGTTAATTCTGAATTCCTCCATCCTGGATTAAAAACTAAAGAAACAGCAAGATAGCCCAAGATTTAAACTAATCATAAATGAAAAGTAAAACTGTGAGATTATTTTGAGTATTGGTTTTCTTGATAGAAAAGCAGTTTTATTTAATTTATTTCATCTTGCCGTCAGAGCAGATTGTCGTTTCTGAATAACAGAATTCAGATGGGATGTTTTTTATTTTACACAAACGCCAGTAAAGCTGCTGGTGCTCAGCTGACTGTGATGTTGGTTTGCATGTTGAGCAGGGGTGGTCCTAGAAAACTCGGGGGGGGGGGGGGTCCTGTTATCTTTTTGCTGACACTATAAATTAACACATTAATCACAGTTAATTTCAGAGGAAAGTAGGGCTGCAACTAACAACTATTTTAATAGTCGACTAGTCACCGACTATTGAAACGATTAGTCGACCAATCGGATAATTATTACATTTTTCTTAAATTTAGCATGAGATTGCTTTAATTATGTGACAAATGATAATAAACACAAGAAAGATGGGTTCTTCAATGGAAAATGCATATTTTATTGAACTTTGCTGCTGATAGGCCAATTCATACTAAAAGTAAAAAAAATGCCCTGTCTAACACCAGTTAGGCACACAGCTCAGTCAGTACAGACATAAATACATAAATAAAATTAAAATACTTTTGTCAGGTACAGTCGGTCATAACATTAAATTTCTTTTTTTAAAGTGAAAATACGTTTAAAAAAATGTACAACGTACACCCAAAACAAAACGTATTGGCTTTCGTGTTATTTAAATCTTACCGAGGCGAGTCAGACTCTGTTTCATTCAACTGTCGGACGTGCTTTCTCGTTAAGTGTTCAGGCATCACCGAGCTGCTGCCGTGATACACAAGGACTGCTTTGCAAATAATGCAGGTCATCTTTTTATTCACCAAATCCAGGCTAGAATGCTCCCAAACTTTAGATGTTTTGGTACGCATAGCTGTGGTGTTGGACACCGCTATTTCTGTTAGTCGGCGCGTAGCAGAGAAGCTATTGCGCATGTGCGACTCTCTGCAGAGATTGTAATGAAGTGAGATGCCTCACTCGGTCGGAAAAAACACATCTGGCGACAACGTCGACAATGAAATTCATTGTCGACCATTTCTATTGTCGATATTTGTCGACAACGTTGATGAATCGTTGCAGCCCTAGAGGAAAGACAAGTTGTGTGCAGGTCTTAAATCTAACAAACATAAAGCAGCCACACACACACTGCCTGAGTGATTTGTCCAATATGAGATTAATTAATAACTCTAAATACACACTTATATCTTCGCCTAAAACACAAAACACTGCTGTTTTAACCCTCCCACTGTCCTAATGGGTGTGACCCCGCGAGGAAAGTTGACCATTGAGCAGCGTTGATGGTTTATCCCTTGAGGTCCATGTGGCAGGAGTGAGGAGTAAGTGTCACCTCACCCCTGCCACGTGGACCCAAGGGATAAACCATCAACCCTGCTCAATGGCCAACTTTCCTCGCGGGGTCACCCATAAAGACAGTGGGAGGGTTAAGATACCACTGATATTCCCATTATTTGTGTATGTATGTGCGTGCGTGTGTGTGTGTGTGTGTGTGTGTGTGTGTGTGTGTGTGTGTGTGTGTGTGTGCGTGCATTAAAGAAGAGCAGAAATTAACAGGATGTTGCTTTTTACTTCAGCCTGATTTCCCCTGAGAAATCTTTGCTTCATTTGACTGGAAAGTCTTGAAACCATATGTGTGTCTCAATGATACTATGATACAGTGTAAGCAATGCTTGTGTGTGTGTGTGTGTGTGTGTGTGTGTGTGTGTGTGTGTGTGTGTGTGTGTGTGTGTGTGTGTGTGTGTGTGTGTGTGTGTGTGTGTGTGTGTGTGTGTGTGTGTGTGTGTGTGTGTGTGTGTGTGTGTGTGTGTGTGTGTGTCCCAACGTGACTCACTATTATTCCCTTGTGCGCACCAGCATATGAATTATTTTCTGCATGAAGTTCAAAGACAGCAAATGAGGACACATGTTAATATTCTTGTTTTTTCTCATTATCTATAAATAATAAGATTATTAATCAAAGTCTCGCTGCATCCTGTGGAAATCCACGACGATGTAATAAAGTTGGGCCTTTTGTACTTCGGTGTTTTCTGATCTCATTGGTTCCATGTTTTCAGTCCTAATCTGAGTTTTTGAAACACCGTTCTACATTGTTGCTCTCAGATAAAACTGTCTTACTGTGCTGTAGAGCTATAATAAAATAAAGTATTAAAATTACAAATTTAACGTTTACATCCACTGTTTCACAGTGAGTGTGTGAGTCGTACGGGACGTTCTTTTGAGATCAAGACGTTTCTGTGGAATATCTGGATTAAAATCCAAGTCTGCGACTTTAATCTGCAGAAAGTAACAAAGCACATTTTACTTGCATGTTGATGTCAGAGAGAAGGGTCTGGTTCCATTTCTGGCATCGCCACCTTCAGACGGTGATGGATCAGTAATGAAACTCCTCTCCTCCCTTGTCACTTCTATCAGAACTGCTGTGGCTTCTCTTCGTTGTGCAAAAGGCCGACATCAGTGATGGTTTTGACCATTTGACTTTATTCTGATGTGAAATTTAAATTCCTAAGCAGTCAGCTCCTTGTGTAAGATCTGAGATGAGGGTCAGGGTTAGGGCAGTCTCTAACATCAGAGACTGCTGGTGCAAACCCAAAGGCAGCTCCTTCAGTGTGTTTCCTCTTCCTCAGGTGGACTTTTTGGCCTTGGAAATGCGGAAGGGGAAAGTGAATTTCCTCTGGGACGTGGGTTCAGGTGTGGGTAGGGTCGAATATCCACATCTCACCATCCACGATGGGAACTGGCACCGGATCGAGGCGTCTCGGTAAGCAGCGCTCACACAAACCAGGGTTCCTCTGTGTGTGCACCGAGTTGTGTCGGGATGCTTCACAGGAGACTAAAACCCACCAGAAGGTGCTCTGTATTGTGGACATAAGGGATTTAGAAATGTATAAAAGCATTCAGCTTATTTTTGACATTTTCTAAAATGTGTCTTTTCCCTTTTACATTATTTAACAAATCACAATAACAGCCAGGTTAAACCAGCAGGAGACACTTCATCTAACTCATGCTGGTGAAAAACACTTTTCCTTTTTCTCCTTCTGGGAAATCCAGAGTTTGCAGCCTTGTCAGCCTTTGGCACGTTGTTACAAAGATCCACTGTAATCACTTTCCCTCCCTCTCCGGACGGTAAAGAATAACTTTTCCACCTCTTCTCCACCTACAGTAACGGTCTGAACGGCACCATATCCATATATCCTCTAGAAGGCACCAAGGCTGGCATGATGCCGACCCCGGCCAGTTCCAACTCACCCACGGCTTTCACCATCTTGGACGTCGACCAGAACGCCTACCTGTTTGTAGGCGGGATATTTGGCACCATCAAGGTATCTGTCAAGAACTTGATGATCCGTTTGTTGGGCTTTTCTTGTTAATTTGTGTGTTTTTCTTTTAGAAAGCAGAAGCAGTGAGAACATCAACGTTCTCCGGCTGTATGGGAGAGACCTTCTTGGATGGTAAACCCATCGGTCTGTGGAACTACAGAAAGAGAGAGGGGGACTGTAAAGGTTGTGTTGTCAGGTACACGAGCAGATGCTAGATATTTATTCTTGTTTAGCATTAACATAAGCTCTCTGTGCGTCTGCGTTCTATTAGAGGCTGAACGCCTTTAAAGTTGTGTGGAAACGCATCTAGTAAAGTTGTGTATCTGCGTTCTCGTAGCCCTCAGCGGACCATCGGTGAGGGAACAGTTCAGCTGGATGGTGAAGGCTACGCTGCGGTGGGAAGACCGACCAGGTGGAACCCCAACGTTTCCACCATCACCTTCAAGTTTCGCACTTTCTCCTCTGACGCTCTGCTCATGTACCTGGCCACAGAAGACATGGTAAGAGTGATAGCTTACGAATAGATATTCCAGCCTGAGAGGACACTTCAGACCTGGAACTCAGAAATGTAGACAGTTGAGGACCTTTCTGGGAGAGAGGAAGGCGATGGGAAAATATTCCTTTTGGACTTTGCTGAGACTTCGCCATGTCGTCTCAGTTGCAGCGGTGACCAAAAGGTGTCCACGGACATCATTAACTATTTAAAATGTCAGTTTTTTTTAAAGTACGCCATAATTAATCCAATCGGAGGTCTGAAGAAGCAGCTGTGTGACGTGAAAAGTGGCGTTCATGTTCATGATGCTCTGTAGGAGACCATGATGTGGCATAAATTGTAGAAACAGCGATTCCCTTCCATTCCGCTTCACCAGCAGCTTCTTCATCTTTACGAATGCCGCTGATATCATTTCCTACTCGGTTACAACCAATCAGAGTGAGTTAAGCACAAGTCTTGCTACTGGGCGTTTCTGAGCAGATACCCCAGTGCCGGTTAGGGTTTTGGTTCTTAAAATGACTCAGACAGCGGTCCTTTCAGGCCGGCCCGATGAGACTGAGACACGTGGATGCAGGGTTAGCATCAACTAAAATGACCCGGATGTTCCGGTGGTAGAAATGTTCCTGTAGGAACTGTAACGGAATGAAAAGACTGTGTTTTCCCTTCTTTGCTCAAGACTAGTCTGCATGAGAGAAAGTCTCAAGGTCTCATGCATTCCTTCTAACCTGCTTAGTTTCAGCTCAACAGAAGAATGAAGAATGAACTCTTTTCTTTTAATTAATCAAAGAACTCTATTTTAATAAAGCTAATCCATCAAAGTGTTAGTCAATAAATAAGATGTGACCGATCTGTGAAATCAAAATAATAATTACCTCATTATAATCCTATAGAATATAAAGGTACTGATTTTAAGTGTTCCAACAGGACTCATTTCACGTAGCGTTAAAAAGACATAACACATTACTTTCACTGATCCAATCAGAATCTTACAGATCTGATGGAGGCGTGGTTTTGATGGTGTTTGGTAATATTTCATTTGACAATAAACCATAACATCCGAAGTATAAAACTATGCCACGTCATCTCTAACGACAGTTCACAGCATTCCAGAGAAAGTGACGGAGTGGCCAATGCTGATCTAAAACTCTTTAACCGAAAGAACAACGACAAGCTGAAAAGAAAAATTTGTTGCGATTCCAACGGCGGCAACAGTTCCTTTCAGAATAAAAGTTGAACCATCAAGACCCAGGCTTGGGTCTCACCAGACGCCAACAAACTTTTGTGTACCCGGAAGTAACTCAAAGACGGGTCTGATCGGAACCGCGGCTTTTCCTACCGGCTCTGTTCCAGGGAGGGTCAAGCTGGACCTCGATATTCCGGATCTACAGAGGACTTCCTGAAGGGTAGGTAGACCGGCAAATGGTGCCTCATGTGCTTATGGACCTCCTAACCAAAGCTTAATGCGAAACAACACCTTCAGTTCCCGTCAGAACTAATCGCTTCCTCGGATTTGCTGGTTCTGATGTAACATCACACGTCATCCATTCACCGTCTCATCCATTTTAGTTACACCACACATTTAGTTTTAAAGTCAGTCTAGTTTAATTTGTTAGTAATAAAATTCTCAACTTTTAAACTTGACTCTCTTCTGTTGTCTCTGAGTGAATACGGAGCGGTTATCTAATCCCTGCAATAAAAAGTTCCAATCTTCTGGTTTAAATAACTCAGATCCGTAAGGTGGATTTCATATTTCCTATGGAGTCCCACGTCTTATGGTTCATTAAATAACTGTAATTCAAATTCATTACAGAACCAAACATAATGCACAACTGGTCCTTAAAGGCCTCACTTTAACTAAAGTATCCAGTCAAAGCCAAAGGGAGCTTCAGCATTTTCAGCATCACGGTCTAATCCAGCAGTTACACGGATCTGATCTGTTTCATCATTGCAGAAGGACTTCATGTCCCTGGAACTGTCGGAAGGAAAAGTGAAGGTGAACTTTGACCTTGGATCAGGAGTCGGCGCCGCACTTTCTGCTAGCCGCCACAACGATGGCCGCTGGAAAGCCCTCACCATGTCTAGGAATAAGAAACATGGTACATGCAGCGAAGGGAGATGTTCTCTTGGAACGTTCTGTTGCTTATGGTGTCTCTGTGCTTCGCTACAAAGCCACCGTGATTGTTGTGGACATTGACGGCGGCGCAGAGGAGAGGATCACGGCCTCTTCCCAGGGTTTGGCCACCGGTCTGAATCTCAGGGAAAACCAGAAGATTTATTTTGGCGGTTTACCAACAATCGGAAACTACAGGTAAACGAACGGAGTGCATCATCTAAAGATGAATGTTTGAATAACTTTTAAAGATTTAAACTCGTAAAACCTCGTTGTGCCAGGTTGTTACTTTGAATTGTGTTTGAAGTGTTTTAATGCCTCTGTATGTTTTGTCTTAACAGCATGGCCGCCAGGTAAATAAAACAGGCTCATAAATAAAAGGTGCTGATAATTCATCACTGCATGGTGCTAGACACTGCTGAGCCTTGGCAGCCCACACAGTGGTTTATTTTATCATTTGTGCTTCTTGGATTGCACATAAAGGTTTTTGCTCCTTCAAATGGCAGCTAGGAACCGTCATTCTGTCCGTGATTAATGTGAAGTTGATGTGTGTTGGTGTTGATGGTGCTTGCCATCTTATTGTGGTTTCCTTTGGAGCGGGCTTTTGCAGAACCACACGCTGGTTGCTATTGAGATCTAATAATTCTCTACAAACCGGATGCAGGAAAACCCACAACCACCTTATTAACATAGACAAACATCACTTTCAGATTATTCTTCCTTTTGATTTCCAGGCTTCTCTTTGCTGCTACAGACGTTATCGTGATGCAATAGTTTCACTGCTGCAGTAATCCTGCAATTTTCTTTAAAAGCTTCACTGCCAAGATTTTGCATTGTGTTTATTTAAAATATCATCTCCCCTTTAGGTCAGAGGTGACTCTGAAGAAATATGCAGGTTGTCTCGGAGACATTGAGGTCTCCAGAACTCCGTACAATCTCCTGAGCAGCTCAGATTATAACGGGGTCACTAAAGGATGTGAGGTGGAGGTAAGGCTGACCATTAATACAACATGTTATAATAATGAATAGATGGCATTGCACAGAGCTGACTCGTGGCACTTATGTGATGTTTGAGACCCTGAAATGTACATTTAGTCAGGCAGATTAAGGGCTTGTATTAACTACCTCCCTCTTACTAATACCAATCTATTCTTTATTTGTTATTTTTTTCATTTGAGTTTTTGATTTCTTTTTTCATTAACCTACAGTCGTACTTCTTAATTGTACATGGTATCCGCGGGTTTTTAAAAAGTCTTAAATTATCTTTTCCAAATTTAAGGCCCTAAAAATCCTTAAAAATTACAAATGATCCTTAAATCCAGTTTCCAAAGGTCTTAAATTACCAAAGACCCAATAAACAACATTCTTTTATTTCTATAACATTTTCGTGAATTTCTAGTTTGTGTTCAGCATTTTCTGTGTATGATATTTGCATAAGCGGAACCGTACACATTCAGTTGGTTGTGAAAGGGGGCTATTTTTAGATGAGCACAGTAGCTGGTTAAGCTAGTGGGAGCTTGCGCCATGGGGAAGTGCAAGCTTAATGGTAACTGGATGGCTAATCCCACGTTCGCGACGTGGTTAGCACCGGTTCCAGGCAATAGCTGGAAATTATGGCTTAAATTTAATTTTTAAAATAGCTTAAATTTGGTCAAAGTGGCCTTAAAAAGGTCTTAAAAAGTCTTAAATTTGGCTCCCTTAAACCTGCAGATACCCTTTTATAAAAGAAAATACAAAAAGAACGACTTGGATCATAACTGAAGGAACGTTCCCTTCCTTTGTTCTTGCAGAACCTGTACACAGTCAGTTTCTCCAAGCCGGGCTACGTGGAGCTGAGTGGCTTCTCCCTCAACGTCGACACAGAGATCAGCCTGTCATTCGGCACCCTGAAAGACACGGGGACTATCCTGCTGGCAGTGGGCGGAGCTTCACCAGGCAGCCTGCAGGTTAGAATTAAAGAAAAATCCAGGAAGGGTTTGATGGGATAATAAAAGAAAATGAAGGTGGGATTATTCTGGTGAAAATATGGTTCCTTTTGTAGAAAATCGTTTTAACCGACAGAGCTGGCGTTCACAAATAAATACGACAAAGTTCTAAATGAAAAGGGAAAAACATGGACCAATAAAAGCACAATTTTTTATTGTTAATAAATTATAAAAGGTAGGGGGGGGGGGGTCTAGTCATTTGAAAATAAAGCTGCAGAACTTCACCGTGATGTTGCTGGCATTTTAAATGTGCTGAAAATGTGCATTTCTACCTCGTAGACCTAAAACTTGTCACAAACTTGTCGTAAGCACCAACTCTCTGATTCCAACTGAAAATGGTCATCTCTTATGATTTATGCTTATATCATGATGCAGACCAGTGTACACAAACGCAGACGTAGTTCCAGGAGATTAAAATAAATTGTCGACACCTAAATGATGTAGTTTTTATCCTCATTTAGGTTCTAAAAAGAGATTTTTACAGTGTGTTTGTCATCAGATCTGGGCAAAGAACGTCTTTGAAAAGAAAACTGAAGGATTTGTCAGTTGGGCATCACCTTGACTAGTGGTTTAGTTTGCATAACTCATTCACTGCATTTTTTTACTGTGTGGGCGTCGGACGAGCCCCCGCACCGTGAGAACAAACATCCTATCTCTAAAGCCGATCTTCATCCGCGTACGTCACACATCATGTGATCAGGAAGCAGAGAATCCATGTGTTAGGAGATCGTTTTGGGCCGCTGCTGTAAAAAAAGTGAGGTGCAAACCGGAAAAGCTTCTGCCGATCACAATTCAACAACGGATTATGAAAGAACGGATGACGCTCAAAAGTGCGGATTCTTCCTGATGTAAGAGGTGAGTCTCCGCTTTGTTTTAGTAGTTTTGGCGTTGACATCATCATATCGTGCAACATTCTGCGACTCTTAAAAAAAACGTAAAAATGTTGGCAGCGAAGAGCTTTACTGATCAGGAAACGGCTGGCAGTGAATGAGTTAAGTTAGTATTTCTATTATTAAGCAGGAAAAAAAACTATGTTTTTTACATTGGCTGAAATCAACTTCACTGAGAAATCGTTTTTATTTGTTATTTTGGAAAATGATCGGTAACTCTGAGTTTAACATGCAGGCAAAATGATATTCTACGCCTGTTTACTGAATTAGCTGTCGATAGAATATAAACAGGGAAATGCTTGGATTAGAAAAACCTGACAGATCTACGTCACACTGAAAAACTAGCATTCATGGACTCACCCATCTTGGGACACAACGCTGAAGGCTGTTGTTAGCTTAGCGTCCAGGAAACCGTGGAGAACATCTTGGCTAGTAGAAGCTAACCATTAGCATTAGCAACTCCTCCACACAGCAGAACTCCTCCAGGCTTGTGTTATTAGTGGAGATGAAATATCATCATTACAAAGGTAGAGTTGCGTTGCGGTTAGCCAATCAGAGGAGAGATGTCCACATATCAGGAAATAAGACTCCAAGCTGCCGTTTTCTAGTGCCTGAAACGGGAGCGCCTGAGCTTTTTTTTCCCACAGACATCGACTCACAAGGCATTGACTTGTACTGGAGACCACTGCAGATACACCTGGTCTGTCATGTAGGCGTGTTGATGGATATATTTATATAGCTGTAATAACACCGAAACTGAGCTCCGCATTGGTGTGATTACCCACATTGTTACTTAGTTTGCATCTTTTCATCTTCCCCAGTCAAGAAAACCTCAAAATAAATGGTTTTGCCTGTATTCTAATTTTTTTGAGTGTTTCCCAACAGGCCCGCAGGGCGAACCTGCTGAGCCCTCAGAGGAGACGAAGACAGTCGGGAGAGGTGGGTTCACTCAAACGCCTCCATGAGAGAATGACTTTGTCCTTTTTAATCTAACCGGTTAAAGTTTAATCTACGTTTATTTTACTCATTAACCTCATTGTAAGATTTCAGCTGATGAAGACAACTAATAGAAACACGATCGCCTCAGAGTCCACGGACTCCTGTTAATCACATATATTATTACACTCAGCCTAGTGGTGCTTTTGTAGACGTGCACCTGTTTCCACCTGTGTGCACGTCTGAGCTCAGGAGGACAAAGGGTTACCTACAGCTTATCCATCATCGCTGCTTGTTGGGCGCATAAATCAATTTTTACTAACCGTGCTGGCAAGCGAGGTGTGTGTGTGTGTGTGTGTGTGTGTGTGTGTGTGTGTGTGTGTGTGTGTGTGTGTGTGTGTGTGTGTGTGTGTGTGTGTGTGTGTGTGTGTGTGTGTGTGTGTGTGTGTGTGTGTGTGTGTGTGTGTGTGTGAAGGTTAAACGAGGCTAAAAACACCATCAACTCAAGTTGGCCCTGACTAATGGCTGGTTTAGAGAGGGACAGAAAGAGGAGGACAGCAGGGGGAAGGACAAATCTGGGAGGAATCCAGGTGGGAGATATAGAGGGGAAAAAAAACGGCTAAAAAATAATTATAGTGCAGGAAGGTGATGGGAAGAGGAGTAAGAGGATGGGTACGGAGGTTACTAGAAGAGAAGCTCGAGTGAATTCAACGATGAAGAGGAACCCAAAGAACTCGACGAAGATGAAAGATAAAAGTCTTTGGTTGATTATTTACAAATGTGTGAAAGAACAATGTGTGTTTTTATGAAGTAGATTGTCACCAGAACGCGTTTGGTGTTCTAGAAAGACAATCACCTAAGTGTGGGGGCATGCAGAAGTTTAAAACAACACATTTCAGGTCATTAAAACGGGTAAAGTTCAGTCTTTTACAGATGAATTTTTATTCGTGATCAGGCAGAAGTTACCCGCATTATATCAAATCTGCTTTATTGCACTTAAGACCTTAAATTGTTTCAAAATAAATTCCTAGTATGAAATTACGCCTTTACACAAAGGCTTTCATAACATCACAGGAACAAATGCACTCGTTTTCAGTAAATACTTCAACCTTGGGGTCTGCAGCGTGATGTCAACGATGAAAGGAGATTAAGAAATGTGAATGGCTCTAGGGAACCTAAGGCTCCTCCCCTTCCGGTTGACTCATGGGTGTCTGAGCGGCAGGGGTGCCTCCAGAAAATTTTGATGGGGTGGCCAGATGGAGCCAAATACATTTTTGGGGTGGCACACCAAATTGGTCCTTGTGGAAACTCTTTGAGAGTTTAGCCTGTGGTGATGTATAGCATAGCTCCTTTATTCATTTTTATTTAAAAAAGAAATAACCGTACGTATCCAAAACGTTTCACTTAAATTTTAAAAACACAAACATTTCAGAAAAATACATTTGTTATTTAAAATATTATTTCAAATTAAATTTAAAAAGGTATTTTTTCTGGTTAATTTACCTGTGTTGCTGTGTTCACAAAAAATATGGAGATAAAAACGTTTTTAAAATGGTACCCTTGCTGAGCGGCGCTATAAAAGCAACTTCCTGGTTCTCTTTAACTTACGCATATGTTGTACTTCAATTTAAATGAAAAATAGTTGTGTTTTCAGACTGTCGTTCAATTACAGATTTGTTAGCTTGTAAAAAGACTACAAATCAGATGTCGCATATATGACATCACTGCAGTCTCTTCTCCACTAGCGTAGCTGCTACGTACCACACGGCCAGTTTATAGCAGTGTTCTATTTAACATTTGATGCTCCTGTCGTCCTGGAAGAAGGATTCAAAGCTCTGTAAACTCGAAGCTTATTTTTCTGGTTCGATGTCAGTTTGGTTGGACGAGCATTTGTAGTTCAAAACGTCTTTTCACACAAAATGCTTTCTTGGCATCAGAATGCGTCTTAAAAACTCACGGACATCATATGTGTAATCCATGGCTCATATCAAACAGTAGTAGGAGACCCATGGTCTGGAAGCAGATGGGTGTGACTTAGGCTCCCGCCGCTGAAGGCTCCCGATAGCTCCCGCCGCTGATCACCCTCAGCTTATGGAAGAACCTGAAAGCCGCGCCTCATACCATGCATGCCCCAAATAGCTTTGTAGTGCTAATGGACAAGTAATGTTTTTGTTAGGTTCCTGATCTCCTCAGCCTTCATCGGGTTCTGCGGGAGCTGCTAATAATTATAATCTAATCTGCTGTGTTCAAGCAGGGAAACTTTTATAACGGCAGACATCCGACACTCATGATGCTAGCACACCCATGCTAATGCTACAACAGGCTAAAACAATAGTCTGATGTAGCGTGCGGTTGCCCGCTACGCTGATTACTTAGCTCCAACACACAAAAGATAAATCTCTTTTTGTTCCCCTCCTTCCACATTTAGTTTGAAGTTTACAGGCTGGCATTAAATCATTGCAGGTCGAGTTAGCATTCAAGCTATGTTAGCGTGCTAAGCTGTCTGTGTGTCACCCTGCAGTGCATGCTGGGAACTGGGGCACATTCTCGTTCATTGACGGCTCCCTCTTGTGGATAGACAACACTCTAGGCTTGTATTGATGATTTGTTAAACTGTAGGGATTAGGGGAGGGACTTCAGGGGAATATAAATTATGAAACATTACCTGCTGTATAACAGGGCCAGATAGTCACACTTAAGCATTTTTATAAGACTTTAAAATGTTTAAGCAGCTTTGAAATGTTTGTGTTCGGGTTTTGTTTTATGTGCACGGTGCATGGTCAGACACTCTGAAACAAATTTAAAGCACATTTGCCAAAAATGCAATATTACGTTTTCCCACATGTCCCTGACTCTAATGGCACCTTCCCTTGACAGCACGTGTGTGTTAGTCTGCTTTTGTTTGACATGTGTGAGCGTGCACGTGCAGCCTTTTGTACCGGCGTGTGAGATGGCGCACGTTGTAGCTACATCTCAGTTCAATTTGTCCCCGACCTCAAATTGAAATTCCATTTTCAGGTGGTAAATTGTCTCCCACTTCGCCCTCTGGCACACACTGAATTAAAATTCAAATTAGCCTGACCCTGCACCGCTGCTCTGTAACACCTCAGTGACTGTCTCACTCTCACTGTCTCTCCTCCAATCTCTATCCAGCTTGCTGTTTTGCTCTCTGCCCCCTCATCTCACTCTCCTATTATCTCCTCCTCTCGGTTCCTCTCATCTCTTGTTATCCTTTCCTCCTTGCTCTCCGGTCCTCCTCTACCTCCCTGTGCTCCTGGATCTCCTCATCTCCACTTTCCTGTTTTCTTTTTGATTCCAGTGTTTTTACTCCTGCTTTTGTCCAAACGTTTTGTGGAGGTTTAGACAAATTAATCCAGAGGTTTTTACTGTTTCATGATGAGATAGTTTTATTGATTCTTAGAAAGGGAGCGACATATTTGTGAAAATTGTGCAGATGGAAACTACAAAAGACTTTTACTACAGTTTCTCTTCATACTTCATAGTTTCAGGTTTTAATCTACTGAAGTGGATTAGGGCCACTGAAAAGAAATAAAGATAATTCTGACTTTTTTCTCAGAGGTCAAAAAGTCAGGATCTATGAGAAAAAAGTAAATATTTTGAGATTAAAGTCCAAATTCTGAGATTAAAATAAAATTCCTGAGATTAAAGTCAGAATCTGAGATTGTCAAAATTCTGAGATTAAAGTCAGAATTCTGTGTTTGTCAGAATTGTTCAAATTGTGTTTAAAATCTAAATTCTGAGAATTTAGAATCAATGAAAAAGTCAGAATGTGCGAAAAGTCGAAATTCTGAGATTAAAGTTAGAATCTTTGAAAAAAAGCCAGATTCTGAGAAAAGTTAGAATCTATGAAAAAGTCAGAATTCTGAGATTAGAGTCAAAATTCTGAGATTAAAATCAGAATCTGAGATTAATGTCAAAATTCTGAGATAAATGTTAGAAATCTGACTTTTTCATAGATTCTAAATTCTCAGAATTCAGATTTTAAACACATTTTAAACAATTCTGGCATTAAAGTCAGAATTCTATTGTCAGATTGAAGACCTAATCATCTTCCATATAAATACTAGAGGGTCACATAAGCGTTGTCTCACCTTGGGGACAATTTAAAATCACCAGTAAATCCAACATGCGTGTTTTTGTTCTGGGCAAAACTCCCGCATGCACATGGAGAGCATGCTAGCTTCATGCAGAACGTCTGCAGCCAGATGTTGATCCTGCAAGGCAATGGCGCTAACGACAAAACGGCACACCCAAGCTAGATCCCTCAATGTTAAACCTTTATTAAGCCGATTCTGCGCGTTTCTGGTTATTGTGTTGAATAATAAAACTAAACGTTTTGCTCTAATTAAACAGTCTCTGTCTCCTGCAGCCCTACATCTCAGTCATGCTGAACAAAGGATCTCTTGAAGTCCTGATCTTCACCGGCAGCCATAACCCACGCCGAGTCATCCGGCGACCTGAGCAGGGCGTTCTGAACGATGGCAGAGAGCATTCGCTGCGTATAGAGAGGCTTCCTGGCAGGTTCGCTGCTGTTTGAATGTTTAGTTTTAATCTGAAAACCGTTTCACCTGCTTCTGTTTCTACTAGATTGTTTGCAGTCCAGGTGGATGAGGAGCCCAAAAGGGAGGCAGCACTCCCCAACGACCAACCGATGAGCTTGCAGCGTGTTTTCCTTGGTGGTATTCCTGCAGAGGTGGAGCGGACATCCAACAGAGCCAACATCCCGTTCCAGGGATGCATATGGAACCTCATGGTTAATGCAGTGTATGTAAAACCTACATTTTCCTTTTGTAAAATGGGTTTTTGTGTTAATGGGACCAAACGATTGTTTTCATTTCAAAATAAAACACTTTTGGGGCTTTTCTGTTCCGCATACATTTACCCTTTAGGAACTTTTCCAACTTGAACTCTGAGTTTTAGTGATTTTTTTAAACCTCTTTAAGTCGTGAAACACACAAAAACAATTAAACTGTGTGTACGGCAGATTGAAGGTGAATCAATCAAAAACAGAAAGAGTTTAGCACATAGACCTGTTTGGATAAACATAACTAATATGATCGAGACCAGTGGACCATTGTAGTGTCAGAAGCATAAATGTAGACTAACTCTTATAGTTTATTATCTTTAGGTGTTTGTGTTTACTCAGCTTTTGCTCACCTGGCAGGTGTCATATGAGACAAGATGTACCTTTGAGGAATTCTTTTTGAGAAAACTTCACATTTTATTTGCTACGTTGTTCATTCAGGCTGCAGTCTCCATCACGTTTCGTGCATCATTTTACATTTTTCCAGGTTTGATTAATGGAAGGTGAAGGGTACACATTTCTGACAGCATTCCCACTATTGGAATGAGAGAGGAATGCTGCAGAAAACCGTTATTTGTGTAAATCTGAGCTATTAAGTTGGAGATGTGGATTCTTTCCCATAAATTTACTTAAATGAGTAATTATTCAATATCCTCTGATTTAAAGGTGTGGATCACTTAGTTCTGATTATAAAAAAGTTTTTCATGCAGGCTGAACATGAAAATAGTCTCCTACACCTATCTCCTGCATTAGCTTCTGATAGAAAACAGACGGTGAAACTCAAGGATTAGAAAATCTTGACAGATCTACATCACACTAGCCACGTTTACATGCGCATATTTAATTGGATTGAATGCCCAATCAGATCGAAAATTCTGCATGTAAACATGTCAGTCAGAATATTCAGATCTGATTCGGCCCGATCGGATTGAAATTTCAATCCGATTGAGAGGTGGTTTATTCCGTTCATCATTCCGATTGACGTGCATGTACACAGCCATTCGGATTGTTGGGGTAAAATAATGCCCACTGCGCATGTGTGCAACAGCGAGCGGGCAAAAAACCCAAAACCCAAAAAGAAAAACAGCTCAGGACCTTGCGAACTGTTGATACTCGTTTAAATCCAAAGTCTGAAGCAAAGACTAAATGATTGTGTGGTCTACCGTCATATCTAACCCGCTTGTTCCTCTCCCAGCTTGTCAGATTTCTCCCAGCCGGTTTCCTTTGAAAACGCTGAAATCGGCCAGTGCCCTAACCTGGCTCCACCACCTCCTCCTCTTCCTCTGCCGGGAGAAGAGGAGCAAAAGCCAGCCACTCCTCCTCCTGCTGTAAGTGTCTGAGGTAGAAGCACATATGTTATGTTGACATTTAAACAAGACTAGACCCGTTTCCTCCTGGATCCAAGCATAAAGTTCTGTTTTTTCCAGTTTTAGGGACCTTTCCCGCAGAAACACGCTCCTCCCTGTGATGAAATGCTGCCGTGGCCCCTGAGCTAGCCTCACCATTTATCACGCCGCACTCACACAGCCCATTACCTCTGCTTTATAGTCCCTTTAGCCTTGAGTCACTAAACTCCACCTTTGGCAGCTTGTCAGGTAGTGCAGAGCCATAGCATCACGCTAGGCTAACCATGCATGTCATTTATGCTTTATGGGTGCTCAGAACTAATATTTAGCCGCTATGCTAAGAAGCTGCCAGGCAGCGAGTTATAAAATACTCTCTCTCAGCATCGAGACAGACCTCACATATTTAATAAATGTGCTACATTAGCCGTAGGTTATCAGTTACCCACTTAGCCGCTAAACTACACCTCTTCAGGAGCATTGATCACAGAGCAGTGAGCCAGAGAACTGTGCCACCTCAGCTATATGAGGGTTGTTGCTTTATGGGCTGAGTTCGTCCGTTTTATGATGTAGACTGCAGACATCCTCCTAAGTCCCCATTTCTAAGATAAACGGTGCTTACTGCTGCAAATTAACCTCGTTTTACCCGATAATACAGGAAGAAACTGAGGTGCAGCGGCTCGTAGGTTTGCTTCTGTTCCTGCAGGGGCGCCTCCAGAAAATTTAGATAGGGGTGGCCAGATGGGGCCAAAGACATTTTTGGGGTGGCGCACCAAATTGTTCCTTGTGGTAACTCTGCGAGAGTTTAGCCTGTGGCGATGTGCATTGCTCCTTCATTCGTTTTAATTAAAAAATAAATAAACAGTACATATCCAAGGCATTTTACTGAAATTTTTCAAACATTTCAGAAAAATACATTTGAATTTTATTTTAAAATGTTTTTTTTTTTTGTTTAATTTGCCTGTTCCTATGGAGATAAAAACTTTTTTAAAATGGTGAGCAGCAGAAACGTCTGTTTCATTTCTGATTATTTATTCAATAATTGTATTTTTATAATTATGTCTTGAATAAACAAGATCAATTTATGGTTTCAGTGAACATTAATATGATTTATTAACACTGGCTTTTTCTGGAGGGGCCAGCAATTTTCTAGGGGTGGTCATGGCCACCCCTTGGGGGCGCCATGGTTTTCCAGAGCATCAATTGCTCTGAAAATATTTTTAATAAAAATCACTTGAACTGATAAGTTTGTCCTAATTAGAAGTGGTAAAGATTCTGGGAAAACCGATGATTTTGTTAACCATCATTTAAAACATTTTACATATTTAAGGGACCGAGCTTAAGTTTCTAAGATTTCTAATGAAATACAAAACACACACAGACAGAAACCGGTTGTTTATTTCATGACTGGATTATCGCTGCGACCAAACTCCTGTAAAATAACAAAAAATATTCAGTTACACTTTGAAGTGATTGGGATTAAATTACATATTTTAAGTCTTAACGGGTTTGCAGGTTTCTTCAGTAACAAGCTTTTTAGATAACACCACAGCTTGTTGCTTATTTTATGTTTTCCATCTCTGACTGCTGCTAAAAGCTTCTTCTCTGCTTTTATCCCACCTATCCACAGGAGGCCACGCCCCTTTCTGCTGTAGCTCCACCCACTGCTAGATCGGATCCTGCCACAGACCTGGTACACACACAATACCTGAGCCTCTCGTTGGTTCCAGTTTACAAAAGAGAATTAGCAAATGCATATTTGGCTGAAATAAAAGATGTTTTAGTTTTTTTTTTTTAAGTAAAATCTGCATTAGGGTGATTTAAAACTGGGTTTTTGTTATCTGATGCTTTTCTCACCTACATAGTATAACGGGACAAATGCACGAGCCATTTTAATGTTTGGTTTGTGACTAAATGCTGATCCAGTTTGGAAAGTCCTAAATCCTAGATTTGCATGATGCTTTTTCTAAACTGAAACTTTTCCACCCAAAGTTATGAATCATCTTTGACTGTGGAAATTTTTGACTTTCTGGACTTCCTGCAACACAAAATTCAAACTCTGAACGTCACACAAGCCTGATTCTATTGCTGCGACCTCCAACAGAAAATCCTGAATGGAAAACTGTCCTTCCTTTGTTCGCTTGATGAAAAGACGCAGAAGGGATGAAAGAGTGATGGAGAGAAAAGGTGCAGCCTTGGAGGAAGGGAATAAAAAGGAGGAGAGGCTTTCTGAACAAAGCAGAGCCCATCTTTTGTTGGCTTAATGGAAAGATGGAGGGGAAGAATTAAAGGAAAGGAACAAGTGACGTTTCCTTTTTGTTAGATAGGAAAGAATGAGAGGAGGAGCAGATATGAGGACAGAGTGAGATAAGAGGTGAGTGTCAGCTGTGACAAAGCAAGGTCACAGACGGGGGAATGTCTTCACTTGAAAGGAAACGAGAGAGGGATGGGGATGGAGCTTTGTCTCAGAGGGAGAATAAAGAGCTGTGATACTCAGAAGACAAGAGGAGGAGAAGAGGGAGGCAGCAGGTGGAACATCAAGAGGAGAGAAGAGTGTGTCCACGTGGACAAAGTGAAGGGAAGGCAGCATTAGGGGAAATGGATATCGTAAAAGTAAAGAAACAGGATTAAAGATTAGAGAAGGAGGTTGTAGGAGACTAAACCAGAAAAGATGGATTATAGCAGGAAACGGGAAGTTCTCAGGTGAAGAACAGAAAAATACCTGAAGATGGAAAATCACAGAAGATACATAGAGATACGAAATAAATGGTTTGTTTTGAGGGTGGAGGTGAGTTAAGACAACACTGACACCTTGTGGTCATCAGCTGAACTACACGTATAAACAAGTATAGTTGGACCTTTTTCATCTTTGAAGGATTTCCAATAATCTATCAATATTTTTTATGTTGTATAACAAAAATTAACCAGGTGACTAGGGTGGATTAAAACTACATATGGATCTGTAACTTTATGACCTCGTATGAGTTAAGTCCAGGTTCAAGACCCACCTATTTAGTTATTATAGTTTTATTTCTTGTTTTACATGAGTATATTTTATTACTGGCTTTGCATGTTTTATATGATTTTATTTTAGCACTGTTTCATTTTATATTATAATTTTACTGTCCATATGAATTTCTTTATTATTTTCTTTCTTACTTTTGTAATTTATATTAGCTCTTTTATTTTCATATCTTTACTCATTTTAATCCAGTGTTTTCTCTGTAGGGGCCTTCTGCCCCGGGGGACGGTGGTCGACTGTTACTTCCTGGGCGCTCTATAGGTAGTGTTTAAGTGGAGGTGGGGGTCTACGCTCTCCCTCCTCTGAGCGCCCTGACCTGATGCTGCCGGGGCAGATGGCCCCTCTGATGGTGTTTCCTTGCCTTACCTTACTTGGCTCATCTGGACTCAGCTGAATATACATTTTTACTGGTGTGCGTGTGTGTGTGTGAGAGAGAGAGTCAGTCAGTTCAGTTAGTGTTTTTAAACTGTTATGGGAATTTCAGAATCAGAAAAACTTTATTTATCCCCGAGGGGCAATTTAAAAAAATAACAGCAGAGCAGCATGATGTTGGACATACAAACATTGAATAAATAGGCAATAAGGAAGTAATAAAGCAGCAAGAAGATGGATAAAACAGTAAAATATGCAAAAAAAACACTGAGTAAGTGAATAAAGTGACTAAAGTGTCATCTCTATAAAAGTTAAATATATGGAGAGCCCAAGGAGAGTGTTAATCGGGGGGGGGGGGGTTATCTGCTGGAGTTAAAGAGCAGAATGGCTTTGGGGACAAAGGTGGCTCTTCTCCTCTCAGTCTTAAAGGAAATGCAGTGTAGGCGTCACCCAGAGGGGAGCCATTGAAATGCAGGGTGAAGAATGTGAGAGGGGTTGTGGAGGATTTTGGCTGCCTGTCTCAGGGCTTGTTGATAGAAAACCTGAGCAAGAGTTCTGACAGGCAGGCCAACGATTTTGGAACACACTGATGCAGTGTGCTGCAGTCTGTTCCTGTTCTGGAGGCTAAGGGAGTCATTTGGGGTCATTTTAATTCTATAAAGCACTTTGCTTGAAAATGCTTTATAAATAAAATCTGATCTGAACATGACCCCTAGCAGCTCAGGTCCCCCATCAGCGTGACTGGCAGGTCTTGAACCGGCGCGTTGATGGGAGGAAATGACCCGTTCTGTCCAATCTCCAGGATTCGTGTGCTTCGGCTGAGGCCCCGGTGGTGCTGGAGCAGGCCCACCAGTTTGGACTGACCAGGAACAGTCACATGAGCTTTGCATTTGATGACACCAAAGTCAGAGAGAAGTAAATGTTCTTGCTGCTTTTCTGTCCTCCAACATGTCAAACCACCATCAGGTTCTTTGTTTAGGTCACAGCTGACCCATGTGGCCCCTAAGGACCTTTATTTTTGTCCCAGGGTGGTTCTGGAGCTTGAGCTGAGGACGAAGGAGCAGTCGGGTCTTGTCCTGTACATGGCGAGGATCAACCATGCCGACTTCGTCTCCATTCAGGTTTGATGCTGGTTTCCACTGCTGGAGCTTACAGATGTTTTAACGGGACACTCATGTGCATGACTCCTGTAGGGGCGGGACTTGAGGTTAACTCATGCTTATTGGTAGGAAGTGACATCACCAAATGACCACCATTTCTAAACTAACACAGAAAAGTTCGGTGGACACATTGTAATTTATGTGGCTTCACAGTTACCATAAAAACAGCATTAATTCACATAGCTGCTCTCCTGAAGAGACAACCGCTGAGCGGACCAAGCCATCGTACGTTCCGTATCAACTATCCTGAGTGTTTACGATGTTTCTTGGCGGATTCAGCGGTGTAGCAACTTTCTTCAGAAGCATGTTAACAGCTAAAAGCTGCCATCAATGTGACCATCTCTGTCCTGCAGGTCAAGGACGGACAGGTCTGTCTTGGTTACGATCTTGGCCATGGAAACACTTCTGGCTGTGTCCCCTTCTCCATTAATGATGGCAGCTGGCACAAGGTGGGATTCACCTTCAGCCTCTCTAGGTTCCTTACATGCAGTGACAGAATGATGACGTTCCACTAAACCTCTACAGGTTGAGTTCCCCGCCTCATGATTGTCTCGTTTTAGATCCGCGTGAATCGGCACAAGCAGCGAGCTCTCCTGAGCGTTGATGGGAATTATACCAAACACATGACCAGTCCAAAGAAGGTACACACCATTCAGTCATCCTGGAGAATCACAATTCAGTTTGAACACATTTTGATGTTCCTCTCCCAGGCGGACCTTTTGGATGTGGTGGGACTGGTGTATGTCGGTGGGCTACCATTAAACTACACAACCAAACGGATCGGCCCAGTAAGAACAAAACAATCATTAGAAAGTTCCAGTTTTATTAATTAAACCACTGAAAATGAGGGTTTGTCCTCCCAGATCCTCCACAGCATTAATGGATGCCTTCGTAACCTGAGGATGGGTGGAGGTCTCACCTCAGTTGCTACAGGTCGTTCCAAGTTAATCGACATGGACTTGAAGCTGGACATGGCCACGCCCACTTCCAGTCACATGGTTGGGAGGTGTTTTGTTGCCACTGAAACTGGAACCTATTTTGATGGAACTGGGTATCTGCAAGCAGGTGAGCTACCAGGCCAACAGCAGTTAGAAGGATCACCAGGTGTATTAACCTCCCGTCTCCTCCCACAGTTGCCTCCTACAGAGTGGGCCTGGACGTGTCGATAACGCTGGAGTTTCGCACCAGCAGAACCAGTGGGGTGCTACTGGCCGTTAGTAACAAAGCCAGTGATGGACTGGGTCTGGAGATAGTCCAGGGCAAGGTAGTAGAAGGTTTTACTACAAACATCTGAAGGTGAGGGAATACAATTACATGTCCTGTCCGTTTTCCAGCTGCTGTTCCACGTGGACAACGGCGCGGGTCGCATCACGGCGCTGCATGTGCCTGAAGGAAAAGGCTTCTGTGATGGACGCTGGCACACTCTCACCGCCAACAAGATCCGTCACCGGGTGGAGCTGATCATTGATGGGAAGCGGAGCCAAGCGCAGTCTCCTAATCCACGCTCCAACACCTGCGACACCAATGATCCTGTCTACGTTGGAGGACATCCTGGTATGTGAACTTTAGATCACTTTAGCATGGAACCACCAGTCAGATGTCCTATCCTGGTCCTCACAGGCCACGTCTAAATCGTTTGTCTGCTCCAACACACCTGATTACAAGTGATTGTATTCTGGCGTGGCTGAGCAGAGAAACAGATACGTGCAGGATGGTGGCCCTTGAGGCCTAAGGTGGGATGTCTTACAGTTACATAAGCTAAGATTATGTTTCTCTTCCAGCTGGAGTTCGGCAGGCAGCTTTGTCCACAAACACGTCCTTCAAAGGATGCATGAAGAACCTAAAGATCACCAAGGCTTCCAAGACCATGGATGTCCATTTTAACAAGGCTGTAAAGATCAAAGGAGTTCAACCTCTGTCCTGTCCAGCTGTAGCTGCTTAGGGGGCAGTGCCATTGGTCTACAGGTGGATTCCCGGTGCAGAAGTAGTCTTCTGGCCAGAGCAGTAACTAAGGACTGACCACTCTGTGGTATTTTCCTCCAAAGGGTCATACAGATGTGTTAGAACACTAAAGTAGCTGCTTTAGCGTTCTAGCACTTCTTGTGTGACCTTTAGAGGAAAACTACAGACTAACCAGTCCTTAGTTACTGACCTGTTTAACTTCAGAGGACGTAATTGTGGTTTGTGGAACTCCACCCCCTTTGAGTGAGGTTACTTGCACAGATAAAATGTGATTGTAATAAATCTGATGTTTATTCAATAAGCCTGATTAACTTACCCCCCACTGCAGAGGTCTCAGCTTGTTTTAGCTGTTTCCCTGCTCCAGCCATTGAATCAAGTGTGTTTGAGCAGAGAAACAACTAAAACATGCTGGATAGCCTCCTGGTCTCCACTCCTATTCAGAGCTGCTCGGTGAACTGGCTGTCTCAAACTCAGGTTCTAGCGCTGCTATCCAGCACGTTTTAGTTGTTTCTCTGCTCATACACACCTGATTTAGTGTGTTGCAGCAGGAAAACGGCTACAACATGCTGGATAGCAGTTTTAGACCGTACACAGTCCACCTGAAGCCCAAAACAAAAGAGTGTAGGGGGTTGAGGCAAAGCTTCCTACAAACTCACCTGTTCAATGGATGCAGAGAGCTTAGACGTTACACTACATCAGGCCTAAAAAGTAAACAAACAACCAAACAGAACTGTGAGTCCATCCTGTTGTAGTCCCAGTTACATCAAAACACATCTAACCAGACTGGAAACATGATCACCACTAGAGTACTGTACCTGAAACACCACCTTGTACAGGTCAATAAATTTGTAATGGTTACAACATGAGATCCTGTAGTGTTTTCTTCGTTGGACGTCACACTGGTTCTACCTGAACCACTTTCTACCTTGGTAAAGTGGCTTCACCATGAAAACCACTCTCCTCGTGTCTCGTCTCAGTCAAGGTGCACCCCCATGCTCACTGGCTGCAGAAGTAAGACCTGAGCAACTCGAGAAGATAAAGCAGTGAAAGGGGAATTAGACATTATTGTAATGCAGTTTGTGCAGAGGAAAACTTAGTAATAATGGAATTATTCTGAAGGGCAGAAGCAATGAAAGGTGAAGATTTACTTGGATATTACCTGCACCTGTGTGTTAAGTCCACTAGAGGGCAGTAGTTACCTTCTGGAGACGACATGCTGCTGATTTGAGTCCAGGAAGGATTAAAAGTGCCAGGATGAAATAAGAGTCCAGATCCGCTCTGTTGTGCATTCCTGTTTTAATATCATGGTCCTCTTTACATGAGGGTGAAAAGATGGCAACACAGCAGCCCACAAAACTTCCAACATGGCTGCCTTAAGTGGAATGTTTAGAAGACAGAATAAAGCCTCTAGTTTCCCTCCAGTTTACAGCAACAAGACTCGCCTCTGAACATCTGGAATGTTTTGGTTCGAGGATTTTTGGTCACTTATTAAGTGGCGCAAAGGTTTGGTTGAAATGAGGATCCAAGAATAAAGTTAACTTGAGTTTAACATCTGCAGCAGTACCTCGAGTATCTCGGTGGAAGTAGAGCTCTGGCGCTCCTGTTTCAGGAAGTAGAAGACGGCAGGTTTTGGAGTCTTATTTCCTGATATGTGGAAATATCTCTGATTGGCTGACGGCAACATGACTACCATTGATACTGCTCTGCGACGTTGATGCTTTATCTCCACAAATAATTCAAGTCTGGAGGAATTCTGCTGTGTGGTGGAATTACTAATGCTAACGGTTAGCTTTTACTAGCCAAGACGTTCTCTGCTGCTTCCTGGATGCTAAACCAGCATGAGTCCATGAATGCTGATTTACAGCGTGACATAGGAAGTAAGGGTAGAAGACTGTTTTCACATTTAGCCTGCATGTTAAACTCTGGGTGACTGATCATATTCCAAACATAACAAGTAGAAAGCGGTTTCTCTGTGAACTTAGTTTTTAATAAAACTTGCATGAGAAAGTTTTAAATCATTTTTAAAGGTGTTTCTGTATAAAGGTCTCAGTTCCTGGTGAAACTGAATGGCCTCAGTTTGGAGAAACATCATTTACAACTTTTACACAAAAACATTTCTAAATGGCCAAATTATCCCTTTAATCGTTTTAGGATCATAAATCAGTTGGTAACGAATTTAAATCAGAACTAATCATCAGTCGCCGGCTTCTCTCCAGATGTAGCTCTGTTCTTTTCTAAACAGCGCCGTAAAGATTTGTTTTTACCTTTTAAGCTGACAAGTTTCGGATAACACTCGCCTTCCTAATGGAATAACGGATCTCACAGAAACGAACGTACAAGATGTTCAAAGGAGGAACGGTTATTGGATTCCTAATAAAAGCAGTTTCCCGTTTTTAGGGGGAATCTCAAATGGCCTAAACTAAGTTTGCCCAACTGTTCAGGGTACCACATTTCTCCAAACCCGTATGTGCCGCTTGTAAACCCCCCTTTACTTCCAGATCAGATGCTAACATAGTGAAGCAACAAATGTAATGGTTTGTGTCGTTACTGTAAACCCCCGTTTCCCTCCTAGTGGTGAGATTAAACACCTAGCTACAGCAATAATCTAAGTCTCGTTTTGACGTTATTCAAGCATTATGTTTAGGTTACTGAAAATAAAGCTCCTCGGCTACCTTATAAACATGAGTGTAGTTAGAGAGGAACAGCAGGCTTCTGAGGGGAAACCTCCAAAGAAGAGTAGCAGCACTGTCCCAGTCTGCTGACTCATTGCATGCCGTCGGTCCTCTTCCTCATAATCCCGGTATGGGATTGAGATACCAGCCTAAACTTGTCCGGTGCCCTTGCCCACTTCCCAAAGCCACGCTCACACACTCATAGGTCCGTTTGCAACTGCTACCAACTTGTAGGTATCTTGTTTGGGTTTGATTCCTCCGACTGAAGATCCAGACCTGGTCAGGATGACTGCATGAGGCCCGTGAGCCGCTTCCCCGTCAGCGACTTTCCCTGTGAGGAAAAAGCCCATCGAGCGTGTGTCATTTACGCTAAACGGGTGAAGGAGACACACCCCCCACTCAGCTTTTATGAAAGCTGCGTTTCTAATAAACAACCAGGAATCCTTTAATCCTCCTAACTAGAATATCACGCAGCTAAAAACCTTTTTGTTGCACGTTTTCCTTTCATCACAGTCATGCATCCGGACCAGCCAATTAGTGCTTTGAGTGACCTGTAGCTGTTTGTGGGGAATTTCCTCAGCCAGTAAAAAAAATCAGGTCCCTTTAGGAGGAGCCAAAGCCTTCACAAAGTTCATATTTACAGCTGCTTGTGCAGAATAATTAGACTTTAGTATAAAAACTTGCTCTACAGTTATCTACAGCCTAGGAGAGGTCTAGTGTTCTCGGAGGAGCAGCAGGACACTTACTACACTGCGGGTGAACTTCTCCAGGGATGTGCGTCGTCCCTGATCCGTTTCAGGCTACCGAGTCGAAGACGAAGCAGGAAAAAAGGGAAAAGTTCAACGTCGATGTAAACAGGCTCAATACAAGAGTTTACTTTCTTTTCCAAACATTTGCCATAAGTTGTCAAAGCAGAACCCACGGAAGCTCTGAACCTCTGGAAACGGCTCATTACTGGTCTCCGCTGTGTGCACTTTCAACAAAACTTGCACTCACTTTCTTCCGCGCCATGAGCAGGTCCTGGTAGACGTTGGAGCGCAGGAAGCGTGGGTAGCTGTCACTTTTCATCAGCTTGTAGATGTGGTCCTAAAGGACAGGGAGGCAGAAAAACGGGATGAGGATCCATCTGCTGAAATCTAAAGACCAGCTTAGAGGGTAAAGAAAGTTGTAGTGATTTGCTATGAAGAGGATTTTATTTCTGTAACAGAAGAGAAAACTCGGCCTCAACACACACACACACACCCCAGGCTCACCACCAGAAATCGCTCCACAGTATAAAGCCATTAGTCGGTTCTAGTGAAGCATGTCAGAAAGATAATCCTGCGATGCAGAGCTTCTGAAGAGGCATAAATGACTGTGTTGGACTCTAAACGGCACCCAGAGAAGGACCTTGCAGTTTGACCTCAATCAAGTTTCTTCTATTGGTAATTTTAATTCAGATTATTTATACAGCGGTACTTCACAAAGTACTTACAGGCCAGGTCATTAAGCCGATCAGTAAAAAGTTTCCTATAAAAGGAACCCAGCAGGTTGCATCGAGTCACTGACTTGTGTCAGAGTCTTGACAGCAATCCTCATACTAAGCAAGCATGCAGCGACAGTGGAGAGGAAAACTCCCTTTTAACAGGAAGAAACCTCCAGAGAATCCTGAAGAAAGAAACATTCAACACGACTCTTTTAGTTCTCTTTGTGCACACTCAAAGAGAAGCTCTAAAGATTCCAGGTTAAATATCGGGCTGTCAGCTGGGTATGTAACGTCTCAATGCATCATGGGATGTAGCCTTGGTCTGAGTCGCTCTGCTCGTCTCAAAGTTGTGGTTTTGTCTTCTAAATTTGTTCAAATGGGAAAGAAGTAATCAGCGCTGTTGGGGGCGGAGCTTATCAGATATCAGAGGGGACATTTTGTAAACGGCTGGAAAGGGAGACGGGCCGAGTTAAAGATGGTGGCAAAGTGGTTTTTATGATGAGTGGATTTTCAGTGCGGAGCAGATCAAGGGGTGAGCGTATCTTTGTTCCACACATCCCTATGTCTGAGAATAATAAGCTGACACTGGAAACGCTCTCAGATGCGGAGTTATCCAGAAAGACGTGGTGTAAATGAAGGTGTCTGGCTGCACGCCTCCACCAAACCGCATCCAAACGTGGACGAGAGTTCACCAGAGGTGGGTGGTATGTAAAAAGTAGTGACACAAATAATAACTTAGGGAAAATGTGGTTCAGGCGTCCCAACTCTCCCTTCATGTGCCACTAGCCTGGGTGTGAAACTGCACTCTGACCTCTCGATGACCTCACAACTCAACGCCAAGGTCAGGTCCGCCATATCTTAAATCAATCCTCAGACCCCGCATCTTCATCGTCACTCACGCATTCCTGATTACACATATTCTGTCCTGATTGGGATTAACGCTGCGGCCAGATTTTTAACCAACACCGAAAGACGCACATTCCACCTTTTCTCGCAGATTTACTCAGGCGCCAGGTTCACAGTCTCGTTATGCAAGGCTCTGAATTGCCCATCTCCATCCTATCTGGAGGACCCGCTGTCTCTGTGTGTTCCCACTCGTCCCCTTCGTTCAGCAGATCATCTGCTGCTGCTCGTTCCGAAGGTTCGGTAGGAATCACGCGGGGAGCGTGCCTTTCCTCGCAGCCCCCAAACTCTGGAACACTCTGCTGCACCTGTTCTCTTATTCTGTTAGTTTTAGTAGGAATTTTTATCCTTGATTATTTATACTACGTATTTATGTATTTTACCTGATTTCCATGTTTTTGCTGATATGTTTGACTTTTTGGTTAGCTGCCATGCTATGGTTACTTCTGATCTGTGAGGCACGAGTGACTGTTGGAGCATAAACGTTTGACTTTTGTCGATTTACTTTACCAACGTCCAAGCGTCCGCGTTTTTCCAATTAGTAAATGCGGTTTGTTTGTTTAGCACTAGCACCCAGCAGCACTTGCGCGGGGACGTCAGCTGTTGAACATGCTAATCTCACCCCAACTACCTATGAATACCCCTCCTCCCTACCCTCGAGGAGTCATTGATGTCATTAGGCCCTATTGTGTTAGGATGGCTGTTTTGATTAGATGCAAGAGCGTGTGACCTAGATAGAAAATGTTTTGGAATCAGGTTAAAAGCTGCACAGGTGAGAACTTCTCCTGTTTACTGTTGGTTAAAACTCAGTTTTTTTGCCCTAGTATGGACCAGGAGGGGAACTGTCACCATCTAGTGGCAACAAGATGGAACCACACCCTGATTCTGTTAACCCTCCCATGGCCCTAATGGGTGCAGCTCCGCGAGGAAAGTTGACCATTGAGCAGGGTTGATGGTTTATCACCACCTCACCCCTGCCACATGAACCTCAAGGGATAAACCATCAATCCTGCTCAACGGTCAACTTTCCTCGCGGAGTCACACCCATTAGGACAGTGGGAGGTTTAAACTATTCAGAAGGGAACATTTTAGCCTCTTTATCTCAGTAGCTGTGTTTCCATTACCGGAACTGCAGGGTTGTTGCTGATGGGGAAATTAACCAGGAGATAGGATGTTCCAGTCCTTTCAGAGCTTTTCACAGACGTCAGCATACTGAGACCGCTTTGGCAGCGAGTGACGTCACTGATCAGCATCAAAATGTGCCCAAAGTAACGTCAATAATATTAAAAGCATTTATTCTGTGGAGGTATATCATAATTCAATCCACTCAGAGGATGAGAGCAGCTGTGTGATGTAAAATGTGGTGTTCAATGACCAGAAGACGTGCCGTTTTTTACCGTGTTTTCCGGTGTCGGGAGTTGGATTTTAAACCATCGGTGCTCATTTTCCTTTGCTTCTCCAGCAACTCCTCTGATTTCACTAATGCCGGTTGTTTTGGACGTCTGCTGATGTCATTTCCTGCTGAGTCACAACCAATCAGCGTGAGTTAACCAGAGGTTCTGCTCAGCTACTCCACCAGGCGTTCGGAGCACCTACCCCTGAGTCCGGTCCGGTCAAGCGGAGACACGCGCATGTTGGGAGGTTCCTGCAAATCCACCCAGAAGTTCTGGTAGTGGAAACGAAGCTAATGAAGCTGGAAATAAATCCTAATCTTTGCTTTTGTTCTCTTGGGAATATTAAGGAGAAGAGGAGGAGCTAAAGTTACAAAGAGCTAATGGAGTCGCTGCTTTTGTTACATACATTTTTATAAACATAGATTTTTCCTTTAGAGGTCTGGCAGTAACACACCTGAACTCGTGCACTTCTCTGATGTCTCACCTGTGCATCCTCATAGCTGTACCGTCCAGGGTCGTTCAGGTTCTGGCTGGTGCGTTCGTAGCTGTGTGAGTCCAGGTTGATGGAGCTGGGTGCACCTTCAGCCAGAAACTCCACCCAGATGTCCTCTACTGTGCGTGCAATTTCCTGTTGGGGCATCTTCTTCAGGTCCTGCACCGCTAGCCAGAACCTGCACCGGTATCACATACAGTTGTTAGGAGAGGATACTTTAGTGAAGTGCATCAGCTTGTACTGGTTGCACGTGAAAGGTCCAGATATACAAAGCGTTAGAAACCTGACCAGCTTAGACCTGCAGAGACGTATTCTTTATTATTACACGTTCCGGCAAATCTGAAGTTTTCAAGAGCTAAACTTTTTTTTTAACCCTCAGGCTTCATTAGGGACATTTTAGTCCATTTGGACAATTTTTTGTTTTTCTTTTTGATGCCATTTCACCACAGTTTGTGCATATGGTACAAAATTTTGTCGCAAAACCTCTCTCTAGACAAATTTAGAAATTATATTTGGAAATTTTAAGTTAGACCAAGGGATCACTAAGACACTATGCACTTGAGGGGGACAAAAACGTCCGCTTGTAAATTTTATATCTGTTGCCATGTAAAAACTATAAAGGCTAAAAATTCTAAATTTTTGATATTTCATAACATAATCAAGACTGATTTGTACTAAACACCCCAGGCAAAAAAATGTCTTTTTTTTTTTAGAAAATAACTCAGTTTTAGTGTTTTTTCATCAATGACTGAGTATTCAAACTGGCATTTCAAAGGTTAAAAGCCTCAAAATGACTGAATTTTTTATGTCTGAGCAGGGCTGAAGTTGTTCAACAGATCTATGAAAAAAAAGCAAAAAATACAAAAAAATTATGCATACATTTTTTATAGCCACTTTTACAAGCGGATGTTTTTGTCCTCTAATGACTTTTGTATGAAAATTAAAGTGAAGCCTGACGGTTAAAACAAGAAATTCTCTGGGAGCTTCTGTTGTCCCAAACAAGCCATGTTGAGCGTCTCAATCCCTCCTGAGTCCATTTTTCTGCCTTTTACCTCCCTTCATGGCATCAGAATGATTCGGTTAGCACCTAAAGGAGGTTTTGGTTTAATAAACTAAAGTAACAATACTGTTTTTGTTCACAAATGTGGACCTAATGCATGAAAAATGCATGTCATATAACACAGAAGATGATTAAATTTCAAGGTGAGGAGCTGGACACTTGCGGATCTCCAGGAATTGCATCTGAACCTTTTCCACATCTGTCGTTCCTCCTTTGCTGTAAACCATGGCTTGTAGAACTGAACAGGTTTCAAAGTGGTTATCACAGATGATTGTCCGTGGGCTGGCTGACCTGTGGTTCTGGGTCCCCCCTGAACTTGGTGTTTGACCCCCGCACCTCATCTCCAGTCCAGGTGTGATGCACTGCAGTGGGTCTTGGTCACAGACTGTGTGCTCAGCTCTTGCGTCGTGCTGCAGACCGGAGGAACTTGCTGTTGCATGATGGAGATGCCACCTGGCAGTTGTTGGCATCATTTTGGGAACTTCTGAGCTGACTGATCCACAGCAGCCTTGTGGTGTTACATCAGCTCAGTTCCTTCTCCATCTTAGACTGCAGGTCAGTAGCCTCCACCTTCTCGTGAACTGTCACAGCTGCTGCACAGGGGAATTCAGACTTCCCCTGCTGGTGATGGCCGGGCGACCTTCCTCTTCCAAAGTTTTTATGTCTCCACTTTCCTCCTGAGCGAGCCATTCCTGCATTCGGAGAGCACAGAAGCTGGACCCAGTGTAATTCGGGTCATTTGCAGTGAGTAGCAGGGCATGAAATAGCAACCATCTTGTGTTGGAATCAAGTACTTTCCTGGTTGTTGGGAGGTGAGGTCGATGGGGGTGCAAAGTTTCTTGTGTCCGGTATGTTCTCCGCAGAAACCACTGCAGGTCAGCCACTGTTCTTTATCACCTGTTAATCAAGTTCTGTCCGTTCCTTACGAAGCAGCAGATGAATTCACCATGGATACACAACCATCTTTAGGGCCTGAAAGATGCCCAACTTGTCCAATTTGTTTTATTAACACTTTATGAATCTCTATGTTTACCAACTGTTGCTGTTCCTGTAACCCAGAGGTTGAACAGAGTGGATCATTTGCTCCCAAAATGTCCCCCATTTAAACACCATGTGCTATGTTAAATTCTGTTAAGTAAACTTGATGTCTGGTTAGCATAAAAGAAATCAAAATGTTTGTCATAATTCATTACAGACAAAAATAGTCCCTTATTTGTTGACAAGACCCATTTGTTCGGAAAATCCCAAAATCATGAATGGTCTAAACACCTTTTAAGGATTATCCTAGAGAAATCATTATATCTAGAAATATAGAACCAAACAAAAAGAAAATCATTAAATCACTAAACAACAGTCACTATAAAAAGGAAAAGATGAAAAATACACCTCAACTTTGAAAAATAATGCAACAAGTGGTATCTTAACAGCGCCTGTTAGCCAAGGCCACACAGCTGTGCCAATATCGGAGTGAATCACTCTGGTTTAATGGTTACATCTTATCTGGACTTCTAACTGCAGTCCAATGAATCAACCTAATTAAATCTCCCTGTCTTTTGGAGAATAATTGGAAAAATTCAAACAAAAAATGGCACTTCTAATTTTGTATTATAGCCCTTGGGCCTTCACTCAATTGATAAGATATTATTTGGTCAGTAATGACCAGGTACAGCCACGATGTGGATTAACCTGCCTTATTTGGTATCAACCTTTTTAGCACAACCTGGACTATATGAATTTATAACTATTTTTATATTTGGACCTAAAGGGGTTGCATATTAGACCCCAAACCATTCAAAACATTTTTTTAAAGCTGAATTGGAACTGAAACTCAGGGAGGTGGAGTTTTGCTGCTACAATGTCCCAAATCAGACCTGTTCAAAAGACACGTATACGCATCCATAGAACCACCAACTTCCCTGTTTCTTTCATTTTCTATTTACTTTTTTTTTTTGGATATCTCTGTCTCATCACACCAAATCGTCACTATCTTTAACAGTTCCTCCTTAATCAATTTCTTTTTGTCAGTTGCTGCCATTAACTTTAACTTTTGTAAATGCTGACTAAATCACTCCATTGCTGATTTCTTAAGGTCCCATTAGCTTTGTATTTTTCCTTTTCCCACCAGTCATCCATAATCTACTTCCAGTTTGGTTTAGAACTAGAATTTTCCCATTACACCTAAGTTGTTTTGTTTACTGATTTAGTAAAGCAGGCAGAATTTCTAATGCAAAAATTAATTCAATATTTACCCGCTGCGGTCAGAATTGTAATTAAACTGCAGATAAGATAAGATACCATTTGGCTGCCACTGAAGCAAATCCACACACACACGCTCACACACACACACACGCTCACACACACACACACACACAACATGGCCAGCTAAACCACCTCTGCTAAAACACACACACACTCTCACACACATTCACGTAAACCCATACACACACACACACCAGACCGGTCCAACGTCCAGAACTTTAGTCATACTTTCTCATACATGCACAGAACGGAACAGAACAGGACAACACTACCTGCAGGTTTTCATACACAGAGACACAATGAGATGAATCACAGGCTGCACAACACAAAATGGGACACAGCCCAGCCTACAAAACCACAAATACACAGACGAATGACAAGGGTGAATTATGAACGGTTTGAGTTTCTTTAGCCAATTATAACGATGATTAACTTTAGCGTACATTTATTGCACCATGAAATATTTAAACAATACAAGTGTTAGTGAGTTTACTTAAGTGATTTTGCACATCCAACCCTATTACGACCCACATTCACTTTTCTCTATTCATTGTGGGGTGTCTGTGTATGCAGACACAGACTCATTACAACCTCCCTCGCATTTACTCTGTTCCCTCAGAGGCAAACGAGAGTCCAGGACAAGGTCCGGCGGCTCTCAGTCCAGCCCTCAGCCGGGGCCCGAAACGTCTTTCATGCGTGGATGGCAAAAAAATCACTACCAACGTAACACCACACTGTCGACCAATTATTAGAAAAAAGGGTGCAATTTAATTTAGGTACTCACTCTTCTGTGTGACAGGCTCGCCCTGAATCTGATTAGCGAGAGCCGTAGGTGGGAGTCCGCCTGTGAAGCTAAAACAGCCGGCCGATGGGGCAATTCTCAGCCCCCCGGACTTTGGATGAGGAAGTGGCGCCATTCGGCTCTCCAGAGGCGATCTCCCACTGAAAGGCTCTGCTATCCCGGGTTTCGGCACCAAATGTTAGGTAATTTATATTTTCTATAACCCTTTACCTGAAATAAACACACCAAATACAAAGAGGAGTTCATTTTACACTGTCTCACCAAACAGTGGAGAGGAGGTGATGCACAACTCCTTCCGGAGCTGTTTCCATCGTCTCCCCCCACCCCTCTCAGCTCAACAGAGGTTTTTATTGAACAATGAGATGGAGGGCGGGCCATATTCCAGAGATAACAGCACAACAGGCTTACAGAGGAATCATTTACACAGTCAAAATACACACACAATTCCTCAGCTGACCGGTAACTTAATCAACATTCTTCAGAATCAGCTGACTGGGGTAACTTAACACATATTGTTGGACCTTCATCTTGTCTCAGGAAGTTGGGTGATCACAGAGGCCATTCTTCACCACTCTAAAATGTGATCAAAGAAGATCGATGACCTTTCGTTTAAACAAATACTTATCATGTCCTGCAATGTTCTTTAGGCCTCAAAAAGGTACATTAAATACAGGAAAAAACCTATCACCATGGGTCTCCAACAGACCTAAAAAATGAATGGGAGTCAATAAGAGGATAAAAGCGATTTTCTGATCCCATGTGATATCTATTAAAGATTTCACATGAAGGACTACAAATGTTCGTCTCACCATATAGAAGTCATCAAACCAGACATGGAGAAGAGAGCTTTGCATTAGGGATGTGTGAGTCGATACTCAAGTATCGATACTCTGATTCCAGCTATTCCTCTTTTGGAATCGATACTCTTGTTTAAGTATCAATATTTCAGTAATTTGAAGTTATTCATTTTTGGGACGTTTATAAAACATTATGTTGTTTCACCAGAATTACTACCGCCTCCAACCGAGGTGCGCGATACGGCACAATATAGATGCATTAAGCTGCCACTACGGGGCGCACACTGCACTCCCTTCCATTTATGCTGCAGCTGGAAGCTCGCGGTTTGCCAGAGTTAACATGGCAGATCGTGAACAGTCATGTGGAGCTACCTTAGTGCTACTGAATAACTGTAGGAAGACTGAGAGCTATCGCACCACAAACCTCGTTAAACAAAACAGAGTTAAAGTAGAGAGAATATGAAAATGTCCTGATGAGCTGCTGAGGAGGAGAGGAGGGAGCTGCTAACGTGAAACAGACATCTCTCTTGGAGTTTTTGGTGCTACAGGTGTTATCCAGGTAAAAATGGTGAGAATATGGAGCTGATTAAGATGTTTATCACGGTCTCTGAATTCAAGATAGTTATTTACTTCTGTCTGCTACAGGCTTTGGTGTCTGTGCTGTTATTCAGTGTCTTATTTAAAAAACTCCCTTTTATTCAAATTTAAGTTTAAAATGTGAGGAATGCAGAAGGTAAACGCTCCAATTAAAGTGACAGTGTGCATTTTTCCTGTCGATAGAGGACAGTAGATACCTAAATCACTGCAAGCAAGCTACATTTTTGTGTTGGAGTAAGACGTTACTAATGGATGCCCATTAGGGTCAAAAAGACCCGGGTAGTGCGAATTTCAGCAAAGTGACAAACACATCTGACTCCCTTTCATCACTGAGTGAAGAGGTAAATGTGTAAAACGTTTATTTATGGTGAAAGTTTTGTAACCATTTGTTACAAATCAGTAAATGTGTTTTGTCCTCATGGGCTCCCATAGAAGGAAACATGGCACCTAACATGGCGTCGTCCGAAGACTTAGACCCACTCCACGTATTTTAGACCAGATTTTTATGGTTATATGTTATGAAGCCGCCAATATTTTCCAACAACTGCGAGTCATTTAATTAATCTCAACAACATTTTCATGAACATTTCCAGAGATTAACAATAAAAACTACACATTGTCTCTTTAATAACTGCATGAATTTAAGTTGGAGCGTCATCAGCTCCTGAAATCCCAAACAATTACTAAAGCTTTTGCTGTTCAGGTGAGGTTTAATACAGATTAACTGATTTAAAGTAGGTTAAATAAACCTGGAGTTATTCAAATGTTCAGTTTTTAAAATAAAACGGATTAACTTTAAAAATGTAGAAAACCTTCCATGAATTAGACTGATAACAGCATCAATGATGTTTTCTTGTTAACTGTTAAAGTTGCATTGTTTTATTCTTAATTAGGCGACATATTTTTACAGATGGTTAACTAAATCACAATGCAAGTATAAACAAATGTATTTAATTATATAATTTATTGGCTATTTCCTTTCACCTCAGTGAAAGTTGTTGAGTCTAGATAAGATGAAGCCAAACAACAGAGCTGCTAGATGACTTCCCATAATATTATTTTCTGCCCATACTGATCTGCAGAGCTCACAAGTCTGGCAATGAAGAGAAAATCACCTCTGAGGTCTACGTTTCCTGCTCACTTTCCGACGAAGCTCTCCAAAAAGACTCTTCATCAAACCAAACACAATTAAAGGTCTAGCGACGGCTGGTGGGACGAGCGGTGATGTCTCTCTCCGTGAGCATTTCTGAGTGTTTAATCTGGCTCTCAGGCATCAACTATATCCACTGGAGCAGTTCATCTGCAGACCGCCACCCAAACAATTCTCCTTCTCACTAATCCACGCAGAACAGAAACATCCACTTATTGCTGCTCTGTGCATTAAGGAATAAACACAAGTTAGTGTGTTAATGTTTACGTCTAAATAAAGAACTGTTTTAATCTTTCCTTTGCAGACCACTAAGATCCAACTCTAAAAGGAACAGATTACCTCAGAAGAGATGCACAAGTGTGTGTGTGTGTGTGTGTGTGTGTGTGTGTGTGTGTGTGTGTGTGTGTGTGTGTGTGTGTGTGTGTGTGTGTGTGTGTGTGTGTGTGTGTGTGTGTGTGTGTTTCTGAGGAGTTGGATTTGGAGGTGTGTGTGAGTCACCTCTGTCATTATCTCTCTGCAGTTGGAGTTTTCTTTGTGTTTTTTAAGGTTTCTAGGTAACTGAAAGCCAGCACAACTTCACTTAATTGTAGCTCTATATTACAGTGAGCAAGTGGGTTAAAATTGTAGGCTGGAGCAAGAAGGAAGCCAGAAAAAGCTTGTTTTTGTGAGTATTTCAGGAGCAGCGAATGCTTATTGCATTATATCCAGTTTCTATAAGGTTTAGTATTTAGCTGCTTTTTGAATCCCTTTCTGTTGAAAATGAGTCTTAGCTAAAAATAGTCTCATGATTTTAAAATTAAATTAAATATTTGTACAAAGTTCATTTTCGTTTACCTAAACGCAGCCATTACATTTATAAATAAAAATGACCTTTTTTCTTGAATGACCTTTTTTCTTGAAGAAAATGATAAATTGCGAAACCGTAGCTACAAACAGGTAAACAAAACTGTTTCTGTGTTTGAGAAAGAACGAAAGCATGGAAATGATAAATTTGCATATTTTTACAGCCAATTTATCCAGAATATTTTCAGGTCCAGAATAATTTTAGCAACATCCCATATAGGAGAAAAATTTACTAGTTTTGTTAGAAATCTTTGGAGGAGGGTAAAAAGTTCAGACTTTAATCTCAAAGTTCTAACTTTTATTCTCAGACACGCGTTCTTTTCTAGTGACCCTAACCCTTTTTCGGTGGATACTCATCAAAAATGATGAACTGTCTTTTAAAAACAGATTTTACGGACAGAGGGGTGTAAAGGCTGCTTGAATGCGTTTTAGATTTGCATCCAGTTCTTGATTTCTAAAGCTCTAAAGCATTTCCTGATTCCCTGTAATTATAAAAGGAAAACAGCAACCATCATGAGGTTCTCCTGTTTGTATTTAAAACAGAACCCTGCTGTTTTCTATGTGAGTTTGCTGCACCTCACTATAAAAAGAAAAAGTTGATCCAACTTAAAAAAATTGCTTCAATTGGTAACAAGCAATTTAATTAAGGCCTAGTCCACACGTAGTCGGGTTTTTTTTTAAACGAATATCCGCCCCTCCAAAAAATTGCATCCACACCACCGCGTTTAAAAAACTAACTCTGTTCACACGTACCCGAATAAATACGTTGTTAAGGACATGCCAGACCTGTAGGCGGCAGTACTTCCCCCGTTCTTAACCTCGTCCTTCGTCTGTAGTCTTCCGCAAGGAGCAGTAATTCCGCTTGCAAAAACAAACAAGCAAAAAGCGCTTGGACAGTTGATGGATCGGGTAGTGACAGAGCGCAGCTCTGAGGGCTTCCATGATGCCGGCTAGTGTAAGCACAGGTCGCACACGGGATGTCAGCATTTTTTTGTCGCGGAAAGTGACGTTGCGGACCTTAAAACTCCGGTTATGTCCGTCCACACGCAGACACCCAAAACGGAGAAAACGCAGATCTTCACTTTGGTCGGAGTTTTTAAAAAGATTTGTTTTCGTGTGAAAAAACTCCGTTTTCGTGTGGATGACAGGCCAAAACGTAGAAAAATATCTACGTTTTGGCAGATCCCCGGCTAAGTGTGGACAGGGCCTAAGTTTATCCAACTTAAATTATTAGTTTAATTTTAATAATTTAGGTTGGATAACTTCATTAAATTGCTTGTTACCAGTTGAAGCCATTCAATTAGATTGATTAAACTAATCTCTTTTTTCGTGCGCTCACCTCAGGTTTTCAGAGCTGAACTCAGACTCCAGGAACTTGAGGAAGAGTTCTTGTCCTGCTGGGTCCTTTAAGGCCTCCTCCAGGGAAAACCCCCACTTCTTCACCCTCTGCTGGCTGGGCTCCTTACTGGGAGCAATGGGAAAAGAACAGTGTGTGAAATTGCAGGATTTAATAAAAAGCCACAGAGTTCCTCCAGCAAGACAAAGTGGAGGGTCTGACGGATCAACACCTTCACCTGAAACCCGGTTTGCCTCCGAGGTGTCCGATGTGATTCAACGCCTGCAAAGCTGCAAATGACAACATTTATCTGAAATTCTATCACTTAAATTCCTACAGGGAATGTCTTCTGCTGTCTAGCAGCTAATCGATTCAGATGAATGATGAGGGCTGCATTAGGCTCAGTGATTCTGTGTTGACTCGTTTCTGCATCACACAGAGAGAACAGGAGATCAGATCTCCACCGTCACTCCTTGTGTCTCAGACATGACTTTTATAAACATCAGAAACAAGGTTTGGATTAGTTAAAAAGGGTGTGGCCTGTTCACTTCATCTCTCTGGATTACAACGTGACCATCACCTAACTTTTCTGATTAGTTTAAGCAAAGTGACAAAGTAGCCTCTTAGCTGTTCTCCTGCTCCAGAACTATGGTTTATATTTTTGTTTACTTAAACAAAGATAAGGGAAAAGTTTTATTTTGAATTCATATGAAGTTAAATTCTCCTCCTTGAACCGTCACCTTATCGTGGTGGAGGAGTTTGAGTGCCCTAATGATCCTAGGAGCTATGTTGTCTGGGGCACTTAGTGCCCCTGGTAGGGTCTCCCATGACAAATTGGTCTTAGGTGAAGGGTGAGACAAAGAACGGTTCGAAGGATCTTTCATGGCGGTTAAAACGAAGAGTCGGAGTACCCGGCCCGGAGGGTTACCGGGGTCCCACCCTGGAGCCAGGCCTGGGGTTGGGGCCCGTGAGCGAGCGCCTGGTGGCCGGGCTTTCGCCCATGGGGCCCGGCCGGGCCCAGCCCGAACCGGATACATGGGCTCGTCCAACTGTGGACCCACCACCCGCAGGAGGAACATGAAGGGTCCGGTGCAATGCGAATCGGGTGGCAGACCAAGGCGGGAGCCTTGGCGGTCCAATCCCCGGACAAGAAAACTAGTTTTTGGGACATGGAACGTCACCTCGCTGGCGGGGAAGGAGCCGGAGCTTGTGGCAGAGGTTGAGCGGTACCGGCTAGATATAGTCGGACTCACCTCGACACATTGCATTGGCTCTGGAACCCGAGACATGGAGAGGGGTTGGACACTCTACTTTGCTGGAGTTGCTCCGGGTGAGAGGCGGAGGGCTGGGGTTGGCTTTTTGTTAGCCCCGAGACTCTCTGCCTGTGTGTTGGGGTTTACCCCCGGGGGACAAGAGGGTAGCTTCCTTGCGCCTTCGGGTCGGGGAACGGGTCCTGACTGTTGTTTGTGCTTATGGGCCAAATATCAGTTCAGAGTACCCACCCTTTTTGGAGTCCCTGGGACGAGTGCTAGATAGTGCTCCATCGGGGACTCCATTGTCCTGCTGGGGGACTTCAATGCTCACGTGGGCAATGACAGCATGACCTGGAGGGGTGTGATTGGGACGAACGGCCCACCTAATCTGAACTCGAGCGGTGTTTTGTTATTGGACTTCTGTGCAAGCCGCAGTTTGGCCATAACGAACACCATGTTCGAACATAAGGATGCCCACCGGTACACTTGGTACCAGGGCAGCCTAGGTCACAGGTCGATGATAGATTTTGTAGTCGTATCATCTGACCTGCGGCCGTATGTTTTGGACACCCGAGTGAAGAGAGGGGCGGAGCTGTCAACTGATCACCACCTGGTGGTGAGTTGGATCAGATGGCAAGGGAACATGCCGCGTAGACCTGGCAGACCCAAACGCATAGTGAGGGTCTGCTGGGAACGCCTGGCAGAAGATCCTGTCAAGACGGTCTTCAACTCCCACCTCCGGCAGAGCTTTGACCACGTCCCGAGAGCAGTGGGGGACATTGAGTCCGAGTGGGCCTTGTTCCACTCTGCGATTGTCGAGGCGGCTGTTGCTAGCTGTGGTCGTAAGGTGGCCGGTGCCAGTCGTGGTGGCAACCCCCGTACCCGCTGGTGGACACCAGAGGTTCGGGGAGCCGTCAGGCTGAAGAAGGAGGCCTACAGGGCGTGGCTGGTCTGTGGGTCTCCGGAGGCAGCAGACAGGTACCGGATAGCCAAGCGGGGTGCAGCAGTGGCAGTTGCTGAGGCAAAATCTCGGGCGTGGGAGGAGTTTGGTGAGGCCATGGAGAAAGACTATCGATCGGCTCCAAAGAGGTTCTGGCAAACTGTCCGGCGCCTCAGGAGAGGAAGGCAGCAACTCGCTCACACTGTTTACAGTGGGGATGGGGAGCTGCTGACGTCAACTGAGGCTATAGTCGGACGGTGGAAGGAATACTTTGAGGAGCTCCTCAATCCCACCAATGCGCATTCCGAGGAGGAACCAGAGCTGGGAGGCCTGGGGATGGACTGTCCGATCTCGGGGGCAGAAGTTGCTGAGGTAGTCAAACAACTACACAGCGGCGGAGCCCCGGGGGCGGATGAGGTTCGTCCTGGGTATCTCAAGGCTATGGATGTTGTAGGGCTGTCATGGTTGACACGTCTCTACAACATTGCGTGGTCATCGGGGGCAGTTCCTAGGGAGTGGCAGACCAGGGTGGTGGTCCCCATCTTTAAGAAGGGTGACCTGAGGGTGTGTTCCAACTATAGGGGGATCACACTCCTCAGCCTCCCTGGAAAGGTCTACGCCAAGGTACTGGAGAGGAGGGTCCGATCGATAGTTGAATCTCAGATAGAGGAGGAGCAATGTGGTTTTCGTCCTGGCCGTGGAACTGTGGACCAGCTCTATACCCTTGCAAGGGTGATGGAGGGGGCATGGGAGTTTGCCCAACCAATCCACATGTGCTTTGTGGATTTGGAGAAGGCTTATGACCGTGTCCCCAGGGGCACCCTGTGGGGGACGCTCCAGGAGTATGGGGTGGGTGGCTTTCTGTTAAGGGCCATTCAGTCCCTTTACCAGAGGAGCGTGAGTTTGGTCCGCATAGCCGTTAGTAAGTCGGACCTGTTCCCAGTGAGGGTTGGACTCCACCAGGGCTGCCCTTTGTCACCGGTTCTGTTCATCACTTTTATGGACAGAATTTCTAGACGCAGCCGTGGTGTGGAGTGTGTCGAGTTTGGTGGCAGGAGAATCTCGTCTCTGCTTTTTGCGGATGATGTGGTCCTCCTAGCTTCATCCAGCTCTGACCTTCAGCTCTTGCTGGGTAGGTTCGCGGCCGAATGTGAAGCGGCTGGGATGAGGATCAGCACCTCCAAATCTGAGACCATGGTTCTTGACCGGAAAAGGGTGGCTTGCCACCTCCGGGTCGGGGGAGAGGTCCTACCTCAAGTGGAGGAGTTTAAGTATCTCGGGGTCTTGTTCACGAGTGAGGGTAGGAGGGATCGGGAGATTGACAGGCGGATTGGTTCGGCGTCTGCAGTGATGCGGACGCTGAGCCGATCTGTCGTGGGGAAGAGGGAGCTGAGCCAGAAAGCCAGGCTCTCGATTTACCGGTCGATCTACGTCCCAATCCTCACCTATGGTCATGAGCTTTGGGTAATGACCGAAAGAACGAGATCACGGATACAAGCGGCCGAAATGAGGTTCCTCCGTAGGGTGGCCGGGCTCAGCCTTAGAGATAGGGTGAGGAGCTCGGACATTCGGGAGGGACTCGGAGTAGAACCGCTGCTCCTCCGGATCGAAAGGAGCCAGTTGAGGTGGTTTGGGCATCTGGTCAGGATGCCTCCTGGAAGCCTCCCCGGGGAGGTGTTTCGGGCATGTCCTGCCGGCAGAAGGCCCCCGGGTCGACCCAGGACACGTTGGAGAGGTTACATCTCCAATCTGGTCCGGGAACGCCTTGGGGTCCTGCCGGAGGAGCTGGTGGACAAGGCCGGGGAGAGGACGGCCTGGAGCTCCCTAATTGGGATGCTGCCCCCGCGACCCGGACCCGGATAAGCGGAGGAAGACGAAGACGAAGACGAAGACGAAGTTAAATTTCTCCTTCACAAGATTAACCAAAGCTTTTCCAAACTAGTAGTTGAATGCAAAATGGAGACCTAAGTGTTAAACTTAGAGATGAACACAGTTAAAGCAAGAGACACAATGCGGGGAAGTAAATTCTGTTAAAGGAGACATATGACTTTGTTCTTGATAATATTTCTACAGTTTGTAAAAATGTTGAAGTTCTTTGAAGAAAACCCCTCACATTCAGTAACTTCAGCAGTTTCATTCTTGACATTTTAAGTACCTTCCAGAACGAGCCGTTTCAGGCTGTTGCTGGCCATGCCCACTCATGTCCTGATTGGCTGCTGTTAGGTGTGGAGCTCAGATATCTGGGAGGGGCTCAGAATAGAGTGGCAGTTCCTCCACATAAAGGGTGGTGTTCTATGCTAATTTAGGATGTCACAATCTGGGGGTGTTTCTCACTGTCAAGGCGACTTGCTTACAAGGACACGGTCCTTATTTGGTCAAAGAAAACTGTTATTTGAATAAGTTTCATTATAAATATATAATGAGCCTTTAAATTGTGTATATATTGGTTAAATTAAATATGTAAGCAAGTTACTACCTGCTAGCCACCAAAGCTGCAACTACTAAGCAACTAACCATCCATAGCTAACTGCTTTGTATACAAAAAAACATTTTAGATATCAGCCCGATAGCTACAATAAGTTGACGTACATTTAAACTTGAAATTTGCCCCAGATGTAGATGCTGGCTCCTGATCGGCCGTCATTTTGAAAATGCCGCGCTGTGTTCTGGGAAATTTTTGACCAAGGCCAGGCTACCAAACACCTCCCGTGTGCTAAGCTAGCTAAACAACTAACAAACGGTGAACAGACGTTTTGGTAGAACATGGACAATTGGAACATGCCTTGGCGATTTCTGAGGACGTATCTCCTAGGCAACCGGAGCAGGACCAATTTTTTTACGTCAGGGCATTAGATGCTGAACACAACCTCATTCTGTAGCAGTTTTCAAACTTATGCAGCTAACAGAACTAAATAAGCATGAATTAATTAAAATAACAATGGAAAATGTTATCATCAAAAGAGAATTTTTAACTTTCACATCAGAGATAGTTTAAAGGGAAACTATGCAGTTTGGCTTGCTTTTAGCACCCTCTAGAGTCCTTTTTAACTCCCTGTTGTAAAACCAAAAGTGAAACTTTTCTCCTCGCTGTGCGTTCATCTTTTGAATGCCTTTAACAGCTGAAAAGTGTCCCCAGCTTTCACCAGTGTCTACAGGAGCGATTCATCACTAAATCAAACAAGTCAGCTGTGTTCACCGTCCAAAACGTGCAGCATGCTGGAAGTGGTCTGGCCCGGATACTCTGAAGTTGCAAGTGTGATATTCTGGCCACAGAGGGCGGTGGGGTCAGATAGTTTTCATTGACCCTATAAAGGGTCATTTTAGCATAGCACCTGAAAGTGTTTTAAAAATATGAAAAAGTTGCAAAGTAAGGCTCAAAATTTCTGCAAAAGCATTTTTTTTTCTGATGAGTCCTTACGCCACAAAATGTGTTGAGGAAAAATATTCTGATAGAAGTTTTATGTTTCGTAGAACACAGATGATGCTCCTTTAGGTGATTTTCCCTAAACGTGGACAGATTGAGCGTGAAGAACCCATTTTCTGGATTTTGTACCTGGTCTCCAGGTCCCAGAAGGTGGGGTCATCACTGGTCCAGGGGTTAGAGGGTTCTGGTGCTGTCAAAAACGGGTCATACTCCACATACTGCTCAGTGTAGATGATCAGGCTGAAAAGGGAAGATTTATAAAAAATAAAAAAATTGAAAAGAATAAAACTAAAAATGTCTAAAAGAAAATTTATCAACAATTATAAAGAAAGCCTGCATAAGTACATAACCCAGGGAGCATGGTAAACAAAAGATATTGGTGGAATTGTCTCAGGGTCGGAATTACAGGGGAGCTGAGGGGCTACCCCAGAACTCCTCAAATTACACACCCAGGGGGAGCCAAAAAAAGGTCTCATTTATACCTCTATTATATCATTTGTTCAGTCTTTCATCAGCGTACTGGGAATTCTTTGGAACGGAGAGCACCACCGGTCCCTCCGACCAACACCAGCGGGAATAGGAGGGTGAAGTGCCCAAGGACACAACGACAGCAACAGACTGAGCGAGACTCGATCCCACAACCCTCCGTTTATGAGACGGACCCTTAAATACTCTGCCTCCATCGTCCTGACAGTTTAATCTTTAGAACTTTAAAATAAAAACTTTGGCATCTTTACTGTGGCAGAAAATCTAAGAGCTGCAGCAGCAAAACCCAACGCACTAAAAACAGACACTAGTGTCATAAATTCAGTCCAAGTGCAGATTTCTGCATGCAGAGCAGGAGCACACATGGTCGATCCTGAAACGCCGCTGTACCAGATACATATTCTGAGTTATGTCATCTCTGAGTCGCTAAGTCAGAATAAGGATTTTCTTTCTAAAGTTCCTTCCTGCCTATTTCTGTCACACAGTTCAGCTAAAACAGACACGCAGCTAAATAATGAGAATCATAATAATCATCACTTTTCATCCATTTTCGACTCCCTACACAAAACATACCTTCATTTCTGCACAATGAAATAAATGGTATTAGACCAAGTGGTAAAATGTTGACATTTAAGTAACATTTATCCAAATTCAACGGGATAATTCAACACTAACTATTTGCATTATTTGAAATCCCCCAAAAAAACCAAATATCAGAAATGGAAATTCTCGTGTGACAGACATTAAATCAAAGACAGCCAGTAGAGCTCAGGTTTATGAATATTTTGGCATAAAGACATCAGTGAAGCTATGTTTGTACCTGTCAGCCACTTTGGACATCTTCAAACAATGACGATCCAGCTGCGTGCTCAGAAATAAAATCTGAAACCAAAGGAATAAAGTTGGCTTGTTTTGTTTCATGAATGACGACGTGAAGTTTGCTTGATTTTCTGTTGCCGCAGAGAAGGCGGCGCCTCGCTCCTTCAGTGGCTTTGTTGCTGCAGCCGTTTCGTATAATTGAGCTTCATTTGTGCTAGAAACTCAGGCAGAGCAAGAAAACCAGTGAAGGAACCGCCAATAATCTCTAATCGGCTCAAAACTTTGCTACAACGTTGGAAAAATAATGCAGTTCTGCTTATAATATGCAACATTTGAGTGTTTCTTTACCTCCTTTTCTACATCTTCTTTGGTTCCTTTTCTGCAGTGGTGTGAGGTGGTGTGTATGGGACTCTGCGACTGGACTCCATCTTCCACCACACCGTACACCGACTGGACAGATTAAACCCAGAGTAGAGCGACAAAAAGCCCATGTTCAAAGATGGATTCAGTTATGAAAACTGATGTCTGGATTTAGCTTTATACCTTTTTAACTCTGTGAGGGTTCTTCATTCGCCTACATTTCCTGATGTCCATCTCTGTGGTGTTTACACAACCAGGCTGGAGGAAGAGCAGGCAGAACCTTACAGTTAGTTTTGATTTTTTTTTACAGTGGTGCTACAGAAAAGTGAGAGGAGTTTTAGATGAAAGACAAGGAGAGCAGCTCAGATCTACCACGGGTCTGTGGACGTCCCAGAAGGCTCTCTCCTGACTGTCAAGGATCTTCCTCTCTATTTTATCCTTTTTTCTGTCGATCCTGCAAATAAGATCAACCAGCGTGAAGAAATGGTTTTCTTCACATCTCCAGTGTATTCACATCATGACTGAAGGACAACCGAGAGTTTGTAGAGGACCTCCTGTGGGGTTTTAAAGCTACAAATAGATACGGTTATTTAACAGCTCCACGTCAAGTTCCTGATGGAGTCTTTAATATTAACTTATGTTACACAGACAGAAAGTTCTGTGGATAAATCTAGCCCTAAAGGTGGATATTAACCTTAAAGGGGACTTTTTTTTCTTGTTATATTTAGGGCTGGGGCTTGAATAAAAATTAATCTAATTATTTACAGGCTTTGTCCCTAATTAATCTTGATTAATCACATTTTAATCATTCAAGGCAATTTTTCCCCCAGCAATTTTCTTTATTTAAAAATAATTTTAGTGAAGCACAGCTAACACACCCACACTTTAATGAGTACACTTATTTATCTACTGTGTTTGACCATACAGTTTTATTGAAAATTTCTTTTTAATTAGTTGCTATTAGTCAGGCTATAGAAGCCAGATAAACTGGGTTTTAGATGCATGTACTGTCTTCACATAAAAATATGAAGTAATGATTGTAAAATGTATTCTACTGAACATAATAGATCATCATTCAAAGCATAAACAGCTACATATTTTCTTCAAGGTAAGCTGGAACAGAATTCTAGCTTTCAATAAACCACTTTAAAATGGATATTACAACTCGAGTTTAGTACTTCTCGTAGGACTTAAAGTTATTAAATATGCTTATATTAGAGCAGTGTGTTGCATTACTACATCAAATGTATTTCTATAATATATTATAAGAATGTATGAGGTCTAAATGTGTTCTACAATGTGTTAGGACTGTCGTATTCCTGTGATGTACATTCAGGTCCATAAATACTGGGACATTGACACAATGCTACATTTTTGGCTCTATACACCACCACAGTGGATATCAAATGTGTTGAGGGTCTGACCTCATGAGGAAATTACTATGCAGTGATTTTCTCCAAAATGACTGTGCTTAAATTGCTCTGAAAAGCAAATAATCACATCAGCGCCAAGAAACTTCATTTCCCATGATGCTTTGCACACGGAAGCATTGTGATGACGTCACCGCCTAATACCAGAAACACAATCTGCGGGAGGCGGGAGCTTGGACAGCTTTCCCGCGACTTCAAAGACTATAAATCATGAACGGAACAAAGAAAACTCCGTTCTTTTGCCCAGGATACCTGGCGGTAAGGACACGCTTGTCGAACGCTCCGACTCCCTTCAGCACGCGGAAGCTCTAAGTGCCCAAGTTGAGCCACGCAACCGCTGGAAAGCCACTCCGACTCCATCAGGACCTGACTGGGAACGAGCGGAGCTCCATCCAGCTCTCAGTAAGTTGTCAAACTCAGCACAAAAGAAACTTCGTTCCCTTTGTGTCCAGCCCGTTGGAGAAACACTCGTGGGGAGAAACAACGGAGAAAACCATCAAACCGACGGACGATGCCAAACTGCGGAGAAACACGGAGAACCGTCAAATCAAACAGTGAGGGATGCTTCACTGTTCTGGTGATCAGAAACTCATCTCCTTCTCTCTCTTTCCTTCTTCCGTTTCCTCTATAGTCCAGAATAAGCAATAAAACCGCGCTATTGCTTAAAAAGTAGCTTCGTGTTTTCCTCTTTCGCTCCCAATACGTCCGTCGGGTCATTTTTGATAGAGAATAAACTGCTTATTGATCATTGTTTGGTATCTTTAAGTGTTTTCTGCTTGGCCACGTGGTTAAACTAAAAGATATTATTCGTGATTAATCTTTTGTGTTGTTCATGATCCTTTGAAATGTTTTGAGTGAATTTAAGGTTAAGTTACTTATGATTCTAAGCGCCTTGGAAGTTAAAGTGCAAGTTGCCACCCACACTTTAGCCAGACAAAGGGGTCAGCCATCTTGCATACAGACTCCATTTTAGAAACACACACACACATACATACACACAAAACACCTTGAACATTATTTTGAATATACATCCTTTTATTATATCACATGGTTATTATTCATTTATACCACTGTTTATTCATTTGACAAATTGTTAATTAAACGTTATAAAATTCAGATTTTCGTCTCCAGTAGCTTTGTTGTGTCGAAGAGAAGTCTCTGCTCCGAGGATTCTACGAACTTCAAGAAAGACTGATAAGAGTTTTGGATTCAATTTTTCCCCGGTTAAAGGGGAATGGTGCCCCGTATATCTAAGAATATCTTAATTAATTAATAAATCAGTAAATATTCCCATATTTACAGAATTTATTGAAGAATCCAAAAGTAAGTTAAAGCTTACGAATTGTTCGCTCCTAATAACCCCAACAAATGAAACAAACAAGATGTGCGTTAACTGCAGACTGTCAGCTTTTATTTGAGGGTATTTACATCCAAATCAGGTCAACGGTGTAGGAATGACAACAGTTTGCATATGTGCCTCCCACTTGTTAAGGGACCAAAAGTAATGGGACAGAATAAGAACCATAAATCAAACTTATACATTTCAATACTTAGTTGCAAATCCTTTGCAGTCAATTACAGCCTGAAGTCTGGAACACATAGACATCACCAGACGTTGGGTTTCATCCCTGGTGATGCTCTGCCAGACCTCTACTGCAACTGTCTTCAGTTCCTGCTCGTTCCTGGGGCATTTTCCCTTCAGTTTTGTCTTCAGCAAGTGAAATGCATGCTCAATCGGATTCACGTCAGGTGATTGGCTTGGCCATTGCAAAACAGTCCACTTCTTTCCCTTCAAAATTTCTTTGGTTGCTTTTGCAGTATGCTTTGGGTCATTGTCCATCTGCACTGTGAAGCGCCGTCCAATGAGTTCTGAGGCATTTGGCTGAATATGAGCAGATAATATTGCCCGAAACACTTCAGAATTCTTCGTGCTGCTTTTGACTTCTCTTAAGGTAACCTGGTTTGCAGGAAGTAACCCAACACACACCATCAATAAATACAAGAGAACCAGTTCCACTGGCAGCCATACATGCCCACGCCATGACACTTCCAGCACCATGCCTCACTGATGAGGTGGTATACTTAGGATCATGAGCAGTTCCTTTCCGTCTCCATACTCTTCTCTTCCCATCACTCTGGTACAAGTTGATCTTGGTCTCATCTGTCCATAGGATGTTGTTCCAGAACTGTGAAGGCTTTTTTAACTGTTGTTTAGCAAACTCTAATCTGGCCTTCCTGTTTTTGGGACTCACCAATGGTTTACATCTTGTGGTGAACCGTCTGTATTCACACTGGTGGAGTCTTATCTTGATTGTTGATTTTGACACAGATTCACCTACCTCCTGGAGAGTGTTCTTGATCTGGCCATCTGTTGTGAAGGGTGTTTTCTTCACCAGGGAAAGGATTCTTCGGTCATCCACCACATTCGTTTTCCGTGGTCTTCCGGGTCTTTTGGTGTTGCTGAGCTCACCGGTGAGGCACATATGCAAACTGTGGTAATTCCTACACCGTTCACCTGGTTTGGATGTAAATACCCTCAAATAAAAGGTGACAGTCTGCAGTTAAAGCACACCTTGTTCGTTTCATTTGATATCCATTGTGGTGGTGTATAGAGCCAAAAATGTTAGCATTGTGTTGATGTCCCAATATTTATGGACCTGACTGTAGAACAATCAGGTGTGTCTGTCGTCCTACAATTGACTATCGGGAAAAATAGGCTACTTTGTGAAGGAATTAGGACATAATATTTAATATTATTCAATAATGACCAAAAATCGCCAGGGGAAATGTGATTATATTCAATTTTTGTGATTTGTCCCACCATACGCCGTTCAAACTGACTTACAGCGCTGGGATGTTTGGAACTATTGAGAGCTCCATGAACCACGTGATCTTGAGTTGGCGATTTCAAAGCGTGTCATAACTCTTTCTACAGCTCTGGGTTAAGTGTCTTGCCCAAGGACACAACAACAGAATTCTCTGTTGGGGCCACGATCGAACCTGCAACCTTCTGATTACTGGACAACCCGCCCTACATACTGAGCTACTGCTCTCACAGTTATGAGCTTTCTCCTTTGACATTTGGAGTATAACAATTCTCGACGCAATGCATTGTGGTATACTTTGTTGTCCAAAGTCCAAAGAGGCATGCATTGATGCATCCTTGATACAATAGGCGGAGCAAGAACACATGCAACAACTTTGAGCAAACTTGCCACGATATGTACTGAGGTCATCGTTTCAGAAGGACCTGAGTACACAAGTTCAGATGAGTATGCATAACAAAAAACGGGCCAGCTCTCTCTTTCACATGAGGGGTGGTTCTATTCTAATTTCCCCGTTTGTGACATCACAAATGGGACATTTTTGAAATGGCTAATTTAGGGTAGATCATTTCTAAAATTAAACTCTGCCAGAAAATGTGTGGATGAGTATTTGTGGAGGCGGCAGAGACCCACATGGCAGCTCAAAATTATGCAAAAAGGTGAGTTTTGCATAATGTCCCATTTAAAGCATGAAAGTTGCAGAAAAGATTTGCAAATAATAAAGTCATTTATATTTTTGTCAATTTAACCAGGGAAGGAATGTCTGGATAATAAAACACTGCAGTTTAAATTCTTGTTATTCTGCATTCAGTCAAATTATTTTAACATTCCCAATAAAAACAGGTTTAGATCTTAAAAGAGTCATAATCCAAGTCTAAAACCTCTGATTCATTCTATTAAAGAGCAAGTTTATCATAAGGAGGCAAAGTCCTGAGTGTGTTGCCTTGGTAACCAAACACTTACTTGACCTGGGCCTCGGCCTGCATGTAGATAAACTCCCACTTCCTCGCAAAAGCTCTTTGAAGCCTCGCCAAGTTCTCCTTAAAAACAAGATGAAACAGACGTGGTATCAGAAACAGATCAAACACCGAGAGAACACAACACAGTTTGAGTCAGAACCAGGAGGCTGTCTGCCAAACGCTTCATCAGCTGATCAATAGAGCTGTAATCACACAGAGGAAAGGCGCAGCACTCACCGCCTCATAATCCGCCAGCTCCAGCCTGGTCTTGTTCTGCATGGTCCGCTTGCACAGGTAGATCGCTGCAGGGGAGGATCAGAGACAGGAACGTTCACCTCAGCCCTGTTTGTTTTAGGATCAGGTGGGAGTGTGAGAAGATGCTCCTAACGCCTGAAACTAACACCGTAGGGGTTCTGGGACACGAAGTGACCAGATGTTCCTCGTCACAACTCAGAACAGAGCTGGTCGAGTTTGTGTCTCAGTTGTATTTTGTCCTTAAATCCAGTTTAATTTTCATTTCTAACTACTAAATATTTAAAAACAACGTTGGTTTTAATGTTTTTATGCCTTAGGGCATGCAGAAATGATCCAAACCACAAATTGTCTCATAATTTTGTCTCAATAGTTGCAAATATCTGGAACCGCTGAGAACGAGTGCATACGGAGATAAAAGTTAAAGTTTTTCATTCACCCACCATAATCTGTGTTCTCAGGCTCCCAGCAGTTGGAAGACCAAAAATAAGGAGCCTGCAGATGAAACGGATCATACGTCACACGGCTTTGTTCAGAAACAATGGTTTGATTTTTATTTTCCACACAAATTTTTTATTAGAGGCTTTTATCTTCTTCACTTTAATACTAAGTCTTGTCTTTTAATACACAGGGCCGCACACAAATGTCTATCTTTAGCTCCACTCATAAACCTCAGTTTTCGTTTTTTGAAAAAATCCTAAAAATTATAACAATTAAAAAATATATATCCACCTCATGTTTGTTTTACTATTTTGGAAAAAATAATTTTATCCTTAAATCAAACAATTAAGGATAATTGTTGAGTAACCAGAAAATAACACAAACACAGATTTAGAAACAAAAATAGAAAAGTTTAAATCTAGAACTCAAACGAACTCTGAGGCGTTATATTGGAGATCTCTTCACCCTGCTTTTATTTTGAAAGACAAATTCCATTTGACAGCATTCTAAATTAGCACGTTAGCTAACATTTAAAACCTGATTATTTTTGGACATCATCATTTTAAGTATATCTTTGTATCTATAATTTTATTCTAATCTTTGAAATAATACTGAACCCTTTGGGCCCTAGGCCTTTTTTTTTTTGGGCCCTGGCGCCTCCCACTTGGGGGCCTTTGGAGTTTCATGTCCCAAGTGTCAGTGATGGTTTGCATTCCCCGAGCACAGCTACAGCTACAACCAAAACAGTTTAGATTGTAAACAAAGCAATTTTTGGTTTTTGATACATTAAGATAAAATAATACTTGAACTTTATTTTAGAAGAGCTGCCCTGTGTGAACGTGCTAACAGGATGGAGGTTGTGAGTTCAAATTCCATTTAGGAAATTTAGTCAATTGTTTTATTTATTCCAGGGGTCCTCAACTAAATTTGTTCCAGTTTTTTTTTTCCAGCAGACACCAGAGTAGGTCAGATGCTCTTCTAAAATAAAGTTCAAATATCATTGTATCTTAATTTATTATAATTTAAAATGGCCTTGTTTCCCATCTGGGCTGTTTGATTGTGGTTTTAGTTGTGTTTGGAGAATGTGGACAGTTGTAGACGTTTGGGACATGAAACTGTGGAGGCCCCCAATTGGGGGGGCGTTAGGGTTAAACAGGTTAAATATTAATATAATTAAATATTTCTTAAAATAAAAGCTAAATTTGGGTAATTTAGTTTTTTTATTTCTATGTGTTACTTTAAAACCAGCACTCCATGAAAATAGATAAATCTAAGAAATGATTTCCAGTCTTGTCTGAATAAAATTAGAGTAATTATGGTTTATTACTGGATTACACCAAACACACTCATCTCAAACACACACCAGAACATGAATATGAACATTTTAGCAGAACAATCCTTTAAAAGGGTCCCTAGATCTGAACATGAAGAGACAGCAGCTAACAGGATCATTTAGATGTGTTTTTTATGGTCTGGTTATTCTATTATTGTGCATTTAATACATTTCAATAAACTTTCAACGTCACCAAAATCATAATGTTCCTACATTTTGATGTTTGATTTGTGTTACTCCATAAAAATATCAAATGATGTCTTTAAATATGATGGGTCAACTTTATTTTTATGCCTTACCTTTATTGTGAAAATTTAAACATGTGAATGACTGCTTCCTACAAGAAGGAGAATGATCGCACATATAATCCATAGGGTATCAAATCTGAACCCAACAGCTGATGGGAATCCCACCTACTTTTCCTGCTCACCTGAAAGCGGTATAAAGTCCCGTCGTCTTTGAGGGACAGGATGTGATCCGAGATGGGAAAGATGTATCCCTGAGCTGCAATCAGACTCCCGATGTGCATGGCCTCGGCTGCAAAGGAAGATGTAAGAAAACGTACCTGGTTAGGTCAAAGTTCTGATCTTCACACACAGGAAATGAAAAATTTATTGGTGTTGAATGAATCATGACCAAGGGCGTCAGTTTGTTTTCAGAATTGCTGGGGACAATAACCATACACTTGAGTGGGGTTTAAAAATTGCTGGGGACAATAAAGTAGGTGTCGGCGGCTCTGGAGCCGCATGCGGCTCTTCCATCCATCTGATGCGCTCTCTGTGCTTGTAAAATAATGAATGAATATTTAAATAAAAAGCTTTATATTTTACTGCATTAATTTTACATCTGTATGCCAATTCTAAATGTAAAGATTGTCTGCGTAAACCTGAACAGTTCCAGCCTGGTCTTACTGTGAGACCGGGTTGACGGGTCACGCTTGTGCGTAATCATAGGCGCTTCCTGAGCTGAAGGATGTCAGATTCTGGGCTTCTCCTCAGACAGGTTCCTGGATGCGTCGCCACATCGGAGACAGGAACAAGCGCTATTCAGCCAAAGTTTCATAATCCGGTGTGGCAGTGTGAGTGTCCTGTCACAGTGTCCCGATAGATCATGCGCCCTGGCTACTTGGCCAACAGAATGTCCCTTTGGCTGACTGGTTAGAGCATATGATTTTCACCCGGTAGTCTGGGGATCGAATCCCGCCCGGGCCCTCATTTCTCCACCTTGCCACATATTGATGGATAAACTCAAGGATGTTGGTTGTTTTGAAAGAATTACCCCGACGCACACTGATGCGCATGGATGAGCTGACATTTTAATACGCACATCGCAGAGGTAACTTGATTCCCATCAGAACATCAGAGCTTTAAACTGGACACCAGTAGCGGTTTTAGGCACGGGCAGACAGGGCAGTTGCCCGGGGCGGCATTTTTTCATGACACAAAAGGGGCGCACAGGCGCTGAGTAAAAAAAAAGAAAAAAAAGAAACCTGCGCCGCACCGAGGTTTTCTATTATCTGTCATATGACAGTGTCTGGATTGGAAACAGCAAGTTGGCGCCCCCTGCAGCTGCAGGCGCTCCGTGCACCGTGTGTGTATGAAGAAGAGGAAGGGGAGGGGTGCGGCTAGGGAATTCACCTCTGGGTGGGTCCAAATGAAATGAGCGGGTAGGGGCTGAATCAGCTGTATTAACATGGCTAAAGTCGATCACATCTTGATGTTCTTCCACATTTCATTCATAATATCATAAACACAGGCCTATCATTCTTTCAGGTGTTTCTGAATTGTGTGAAATGGCCGAATAAAAAAAGGAAAAACAAAACGATTTTGTGGTCACCCCCCCATCCAGGTCAAATTGTTTAGTCCTGACTAAAGGAAACTTATTGAGTCAAGAGCCAAACAGAAGAGATGAACATAAAAAGGCTAAAAAGGCTAAAACCACCAGGTGCCCGATTCAGGAATAAAAAAGAAAAAAAGAGGAGAAAGATAAAGGTATGTACGCTCTCATGATGCATGTTTTCAATTTTTTGAACCAGTTAACTGGGATTTTAACGGTTAAATTTGGTCAACTAGTTGCTAACAGAGCTAATAGAGCTGAAATATTGAAACGAATATTCAAATGGTTCGAAAAAATTCCTTGAATCGTTTTTTACTGATTCAAACTAGGATTTGTTAAATGCTCGCTGCAGCCTGTGGCCTGCCTGAACAACAACAAACACATGTTGATCATGTTCACATAATAATAAATAAAACAACTGTACAAGCAGAAGAAAACTCCCCAGTCACCACTAACTATCCTGTTTATTTATTGCAGATGGCTGCACTGATTATTTTTTACATGATTTGTTCTGTAAAAGTTGGCATTTTTGGTAGTCTACAGTTTTTTTATGTCAGTTTAAATTACAATTTCAGAGGCAATTGTAAAATATTATAGATCATGATAAAGATCTATTGGAGATCTACCCCAACTTTTGGACTGCTCTGCCAGTCACTGTGGCTCAAGCTGAGAGGAGCTTTTCAAAACTTGGTCAAGTCATACCTGAGGTCACCTATGTTTCAGGGGCAGCTCACTAACCTGGCTCTGATTAGTTTCAATCACTCAGTAGGGGAGCAGATTTCATATGATGACATTATTGATGACTTTGCATCGAGGTTAGGTTTTAATTTTAGTTTGTGTTTTCTGTTCTAAGTGCAATGCTGTAGTGATTATCTTTAGTTTGCTATGTGTGAAATATTTTTGCTATTTAGAATATTTATTATATATTATGTGCATATATTCTTAATATTTAGTTAGTTTAGTTGTTTTTGTATATTTGATTCTATATATTTTGATACAGTGTATAATGTATATTGCTTTACATTCTGACAACTTCATAGTAATTAATGTAAATATGTGCAACTTAGAAAAATGAATGTTCAATAGTCGTTCTAATAAAACATGCCTGTTTGTAGAAAACGTGTGTGTTCGTGCAGGTGGGGTGGTGTGGTGGTGGTGGTGGGGGCGGTTGGGGGGGGGGGGGGGGGGGCTCAAAGGGGGCCTCGCCCGGGAAGTAATCCCATGTAGAACCGCCACTGCTGGACACTGTGTTCAGTGCGGCTCGGCGCGCCCACGGTGAACAGTGGGCTGAAGATCTGTAGAGGGATTCGCAGCGCAGAACCCCGGTGCATGCGATACGATTTCCTCCCACTGAAGCGTTCTGGAAACCCGGTCTCTCTGAGGGATGTGTCACCTGGAAAAATGTTCTTTTTATGAAATTATGAAACTTTGGCTGAACAGCGCTTGTTCCCGTCTCTAATATGGAGACGCATGATGCGTAGAGACATTTGATCACGCACAAAGTTTATGTGGAGCAGAAGCGGCCGGGCCACGGCAGGTGAAACGTTCCTAGCCTACATGAAGTGAAACTGTTTAATTCTAACATTAATGTGTTACTGGACACGCTGGTCTGGTTGGTTAGACCAGTGTTTGAAGTGGAAAACACACACACACACACACACACACACACACACACACACACACAAACCAATTAAAATAATGCTGATAGCGTGGACTAGAAGACAGGTGATGGTGTACGTATTTAAATGATGATCAGGCTGCTGTAAAATGTAATTTCCACCCACATCCAGACACAATTATCCTCTATTATTTCTCTATTTGCTCTGCTCTTGTCTGGGCTGACGGTGCGCGCGGCGCGCCTAACTAGCGGCTGATGCACATTTTACGCATTTGGAGAGGTGGGCTGGAAGCTTTGTTTTTACTGGAAGATGGTCCACTTAACGCACGGGTGTAGACTACATATTAATGACAAATCAATGAAAATTAAATTGTGAGTTTTTACTTCATATTTTATAAATAAAAATGACGGGGGAAAACATTTATGACGTCTTTTTAAACTAAATTTTCTAGCGCGACCTGCCTGCTTCACTAAGTCACTGCTTATTAAGGTCCGTCCAAAATTACCGTGGCCCACCCAAAAATGAAAACCTGGCGCCGCGCCTGTTATAAACCTCTGCAAATGGTTGTTCTTCACTTTATCAAACTCAGACTTTGTAGAGCTAATGTCAAGATGTAAAATTATGAATTCAGTCGAGCTCTTCCGTCCCTCCCTCTCCTGCTCTCCTGGAAACCCGACATCAGCTGTCAGAAGCGGAGGTGAAGAAGGAGATGAGGCAAACATAGTTAGTGCGACGTAAAGAAACCAGACTGGTGTGGAGGTGAGCAAAACAGCTGGAAAAGTGTGGGTGTTGAATCCCCCACGGGTGCGACGCCCATGCGAGCGACCGGTACGGGCTGCTGTCATGTTGTGAGCAGCGCTCTGCTGTCTGAGGGTAGGCCCCGCCCAAAACGCCGCGGCTGCTGCGGTGTTTTCTTTACTGTGGGAAACGGGTAATAATGGCTCTTTGATGGGAACAGGTTGCCGACCCCTGGTATAAGATCTGAGCTGGTAAAACAAAAATCCTCATCAGCAGGCTTTTTTTAAAGTGGGGGGGACACAGCTGCCAATCACAAATTTTGCTGGGGACATGTCCCCGGCGTCCCCGGTTAAAATGACGCCTATGATCATGACAGAACCAGATTTATTTTTACGGAGGAGAAACAGGACAAACTTTCCTCGTTGTTGTGAATGAGTAACTTCTCTGAAACGATTTCTCTTATTTCATGAGGGTCTTCATAACGGCACAGACTCATTTGGCCCATGAATGAAACCCTGGCAGACCATTGTTGCAATGTCAAATCAAACCTTTAGCCTTAAGGTCAATACTTTCATCAAAAACCTGCCAATCAAGTCCTAAACGTGTCTTCTGCCCTCTGGTGGAGGATCTACAGGAAACGAGCGCCAATATTATTTCTTTTTTAACATTATATTGGTATTACAGATGTAATCGGCTGATATTGTCTTGGTAACGATTTACTCTTTCAATAACCCAACTTTAACATACCATGTACATATTATACATCAAAATGTCAAATTGCGGCAGATCCGGGATAAAGTTGCTGAGAAATATTTGTGGTTTCTTTTTTTGGCACAGCTGGCATGAAGGATAAAGAAAGTTGTCATATTTTGTACTGATGTTTAAAGTTTAAGTGTGTACCATAGGAGATAAATTTAAATCTGTCTATGCCTAAAATGATTTAGTTTTTCTTTATTAGCAGGAAACTCTGCATTTATAGGTATCTGTATCCTATCAGAAATCAAAAGTTAGACTGTTTTTTGGTAAAAAAAAAAAAAAATAATAATAATAAAAAGGTTAATACCTCTAGTTTTTAGAATTGTAAAAATTGAAACAAGTTGTTATTACATCATTAGTCCATAGAAATTTGAGTTTTAAAAACCAGACTTTTCTCTATAATTTCCCATTTCAGGTGATAAAGGGTTAAACGTTATACTGTTTTCTAAAATAGCCAGAAAGTTATCGTAGCTCATTTATTTTATAAACATACCTGGATCCTCAATGGACAGATTCTTCATCAGCCACTGAACAATATCTGCACCTGCGTCAGAAGGACCAAAGAAAGTCAAACGAATGAACGAACGAAAGATGCAAAAAACATAACTAATTAAAAAACTTCAGAATGAACATTTGAAGGTTGTATAACATACGCAATCCACTTTTTAGAGCTTCTGACCATGTTTTATTCTTATTTCTTCATGAAAACATTCCAAAGTCCCAGCTGCTTCTTCCCTTTAGCTCTGCTAAACAGCTGGATGGGGCTGGCTTTGTGTCATCTTGCCCCTCTCCTGCCCATCCTGGTGGTGTCAAATCCAACAGGATCCCTCTTCCCTTGGACTGTAAACACTAATGCCAACTCTCTCTGTGTAGCAAGCAGCAAATTTAATCTCCACAGTTGTGAAAACGCTTGTTCTTTCTTATCTCTTCATAACTTTTGATTATGCTGTTTCAGAAAATCTTTATATTATGATTATATGATAATATAAATACTGTGCTCATCTTTGATCTTTAAATTAGAACTTTTATTGCACATATTTCTAGGAATTTAAGATTCTTCTATGAAGTAAAGAAAATAATGGCCAGTTTTTGTTTTATTGTCATCTTTTAAATAATTCTCACATTAAAGTATTCATAACTTGTTTCACGCTGACGAGACCAATAACACCAGACTTGATGTAAAAACCTTGTTTTAGACAAAACAAAAAAGGAAAAACAAGCCTTTTCCTTCTACTGTGGAATCAGAATAATTTCATCCAAGCATCCCTGCTGCTTTCTGGAATGAGGTGGTGTTTTCCTTCCCATCATTCATTAGTTTCCTGGGCTTCTGCACACAGATGTGAACATTTCAGCTCCTCGCCACATCCATCCACCGCTAGGGTAATTTTGTGTACTGATACGCTCCGTTTATAGCATATTAGGGTGATGCATCTTTCATAACAACAACGACTGAAGCAAGAAAGGGTGGAATGTTGATAGCTTTTGGTTTGGAATATTTTACATCCCTTCCTTTTGGACTCCATCTTGGTAAACTGGGCGACAGTCCATGTACATCCCTATTAATCCACCTTAACTAGCTAAAAGTTATTTTTAAATGAACACATTTTGACCGATGCTAACATAGTTCAACATACTGACAGCCACGGTGCCACAGAAGCATTTCGGGTTGATTTCTTTGCTTAAGGGCACAATGGCAGTAAGACAGCAGCATTGCTCTTTCTCCTGCACTCACACTTTGTTTTCCAAACATGTAATCATATGTTGTTCTTTCATCTGCCCTGCAGCTACGCAGCTGTTCTACTGTGAAGGTTTTAGACTAATGCCGGGGACACACCGGCCGCCGAAGCGCCGCGAAACGGGGACCGCCTTCATTCGGCGCCCTTGTTATCCTATTCTATAGACCACATGGGCCGCCGAAGCGCTGCGAAGTGATCGTTTCGGCGTCTGCTCTATTTTTTTCGCGCGTCGCGGGTGAACCACGTCAATTCTGCCAGGAAGCCAAACCTAGACATGAGAGGCAGGCCCGTGAATTCAACAAAATAAAGCATTTCAAAATACAATTCCGCGATAGTCAAATGTGTTCTTAAACAGACTGCATAAAACACACACACACACAGAACTTGTGTGTGTGTGTGACCACGTGAAGGGGGTGTGGTGTTGGGTGTCTTTCAACCAGAGCAAACAGGACAGAGAGGCAGAAAGTCGTAGGCCAGAGTTAACAACTGGTTCACACACACACATACAAACACACACACAAACAGCAAGGGGGAGGGGGGTGTAGAGGAAAAGAGCAGAGAAAAGGCAGAGAGGAAATGGAGGACACCAAGTGGTTAAAAGAAAAACTACGAGGTGCGCCTCGACCTGAGCGAAGAAACAAGCGTCTGGTCTGAATTGAGGAGCAGCGAGCAATGGCCAAATTTTGTGAGCGCTTCGCCTCCTGGCGCTCAGCGGCCTTTCGGTGGCCGGTGTGTCCCCAGCGTAAAACAGAACCAAAACCTCAAAGGGCTGCAGCTGCTGGAGATCCATGAGGGAGTTTAATGAAACTTCTGAAAATGGGTTTTCAGCTTCCTGGCATGGATCGCATGTCTGGAACCAAAAACACATTCCAGAAATGTATGTGACTTTCTAAAATGGTCCCAGTCTAACTGTTGGTGTCTCAAACCTTCTCTGTTTAGTTTTCACAGTGTTTGAAGCAGGTTAGCAATCACACAGCTGATAGACTCTAGCCTGAAGCTGCACTCAGACATAATTAGGACACACATAATTGCATCAAAAAAAATTGTTAAACTGTTGCTATTTGTTTGCAATATACACTAAAGTGTTGGATGTACCAGTTTAGTGTGATTCCAACTGAAAATGTGGGTCATAGCCCTGTGAGGTACTGACTCCAGGGCCTAAAACACTAGCATCCCCATACCATGATGCAGCCACCGCCGTGCTTTACTGTAGCAAAGGAGAAATGAGTTGATTCTTTGTCAACAATGGTTGTAGTTGATCTCTGCTTCAGCGTTAACCATCTCAGTATCTAATGATCCACCTGAGAGACTCTGGTGTTATTGAGGTAGCATCTATGTCTCAGTTATTGTTTACATTTTACAACTAAAGTAACAAAATGCTACTAACTTTTTAAATTGTTGACTAACTCGGAAGTTTGTGGAGGGAAGAATGAAGCTTTAGCCCTCAGCCGTCATTAAACTTTATTTAGGAAAACGACCCAGAGAAGAAAAGGTCAGCTTCCCGGCATCCCTACAGCAGACCCATACATCAGCTCAACCACTAAAGGCGATGAAATAAAAGTATAAGTTACTCTGGTATGATTCTGTAGTTCCTGGTGAGAAAGGATAACCACAAATGAAGGCTATGCTCATGTTAAGAAGCTGAAGATTTTTACTTTCTTTTTCAGGATTTTATCACTCATCTCTCACCAGACACTCACTGCCTTTTACGATTCCCTCTACATGTAACGTCTGCCGTCACTTTCACTCCAATGTTGCTGCATCCCCCGTCTCCATTACCTGTAACAACACTGTGGATTTTGGTCATGAAACTTTTGACCGTTCTGATGGGCACGCCCTCCGTCTCATCCTGAATACGAGTGACGATGTCCTCAATCTGGGGGACAAAGAAAACACAAGAAACAGAGTTAGGAGGAACTTGCATCTATCTCAGACAGGAATGGTCTGTCATGCTTTATTGGGCATCTTCTACTCAATAACACATTAACCTGGTTTTCTTTCATATTCTCAGTATAAGTTTACCAACAAGTTCCCTGTTGGGACACGTTCTACGGTCTTTACCAGCTATACTGGGTGAAATCCAGATTAAAGGTTTAAACAAATCTAAGGGGAGCGTTGTGGATGTTGACAGCAGTTTGTGGGACGAAAAAACAAAAAAATTTTAAGGCGAATTAACCGGGTAAGACCTTATTCCTTCCACTGTCTTATCGGGTGACCCCGCCAGGAAAGTTGACCATTGAGCAGGATTGATGGTTTATCTCTTGAGGTCTACATGGCAGGGGGTGAGGAGTGAGCACAACCTCACCCCCTGCCGTGTGGACCTCAAGAGATAAACCATCAATCCTGCTCAATGGTCAACTTTCCTGGCGGGGTCACCCGATAAGATAGTGGAAGGGTTTAAGGTGATCCAGATCGGATGAGGATCAGCACCTCCAAATCCGAGGCCATGGTTCTCGACCGGAAAAGGACAGCTTGCCAACTCAGAGTCGGGAGAGTGGTCCTGCCTCAGGATCTCGGGGTCTTGTTCACAAGGGAGGGAAGAAGGGAGCGTTAGATCGACAAGTGAATTGGGGCAGCGTCTGCAGTGATGCGGATGCTGAACTGGTCTGTCGTGGTGAAGAGAGAACTGAGCCAAAAGGCAAAGCTCTCCAGTTACCGGTTGATCTTTGTCCCAACCTTCACCTATGGTCATGAGCTTTGGGTAATGACCGAAAGAACGAGACTGGGCATACAAGCGACCAAATGATTTTTTTCCGAAGGGTGGCCGGGCTCAGCTGTAGAAATAGGAGAGAGAGGAGCTCACACACTAAGGAGGAACTCAGTAGAGCTGCTGCTCTTCCACAACTAGAGGTACCAGCGGTCTCCAAAGTGACCGAGGTACCCGCTAAGGTGGTTCGGGCATCCTGGACGCCTTCCTGGGGTGGTGTTTCGGGCATGTCCTGCCAGCAGGAGGTCGACCCAGGACATGTTGGAGCAAGTTTCTCCAGTCTGGCCCGGAAACACCTTGCGGCTCTGCGGGAGGAGCTGGTGGGGGTGGCTGTCTGGGATGACCTACTAGAGATGCTAGTCCTGCAACCCACAAGTTTCTTGATGAAGATACCAATCCTGATGTTCTGAAACTCAACGACCAGAAGTGGTTTGATGCCAATTTATGATAATAATCCACAACTACGGAGGACTCAATCTGTCAAATGGGTGATAATAAACGGAAATTTTTAATTTAGTTTTGAAAAAATCTAATAAATATACATGTGTATAAATTTTGTAATGAAAATAAATGTGGATGTTTCTTTATTTTGTATTTCTTTATTTCTTTAATTAATTAATGTTTTTATTTAATTATTCCCTATTTTGGCCGGATGAGTCCTCCATGCAAAAGAGGTTAATCCTGAAATGACTCATGTTCCCAAATCTTATGAAATCTTCTTGCCAAGAAAATGCATCACTGGAGGAATCCAACATATATATATATATATATTTTTTTACACGTGAACGATATTTTATATAAATGGTCACAAATGTTGCTCCCTTACGTTGGTGCAACAACGGTCTGAAGGAGGAGACGGTTCCACAGTAAGTGTGTTTTGCTGCGATCAAGCAGCTGAGAACCAGATCATCGATCAGCGCGTTTGGTGCCTTTGATCCCGACATGTTGAATCCAATCCTAGTGATCAGAAAACGCTTACATGTTCTCTGATTCTGATCACGAGGACGACGCCGCCTCTCTGCACAGATGTTTTTGACAGAGAGTGGGAAGTGAGACGTTGGTCACTTTGGAGACCGCCGTAACAAACTGCGGCGCGACTCTGCTGCTAAATTTACTACTGAATCAGATCCTGACCTAGGAGGAGGTGCTGGATCATTTGACTTTTTTTTACAAACTAGATAAATGAAAGAAAAGGAAACTATATTCCACCTGGACGCTCCTGCTCGTCTGAGAGAACACGAATGGTTTCCTGTGCCTCTGCAGCACCATGTGCAGCTCTGACCTTTTCAGCTTGGAGTGTATTTATAATGTGAACGCTAGCTGTAGGTGGAGCAGAGTTCTAGCAGGAACCCACACTGGGTCAGGGCTGCCTGGCATGACTAGTTTCTCAACAAGCTCCTAACGCCTGGAACAGACCATCTGAACACTGAAGGGACTGGTTTCTTTGCGACGTTGAGACTTCTTCAGATTCAAAGTGTTAGTCTAATAATAATCTTCAGCTGCAACTGAAGAAAACGGGTTTAATGAGACTTTTCTTTAGTCACGTTCCCACATATTTAAGAATTCTCACCATGGAAACAAGTAATCCTTCAACTTTGAAGGACCAGATGGGTAAAAATTGACACGTTTGGCCTGATGGAACACAAGTGTTTCCTGTCGGTTGGACATCTAAATGAAAACGGTGTTGTTTAACCTCCTTCACGGGTGAAAAACTTAATCTGAGTGGCTGTAAGCTCGGTAATCAATTATCTAGTGTTAACATTTACTTAACATTCAGCACCGGGACTAATGAGATTCCTTTTCCCTAAACAGAACGACCCCCGGAGCTGGAGCACATCAGCTCATGCTGAAGAGGTCGCAGTGACTCACGGTCGTGTCTGGAACGTGGCGTGATCTCTCAGAAACACGCAGAGCAGACCAACAAATAAACACATTACTGTAAAACAGCCCAATCTCTAATCCTGACCCCCTGAAAAAGGTACAATTAGCCTTCTGGGCACAAAGAGAAACCTGTGGGGGAGAAGACCGATGGTTTCTATAATGAAGCTTGGATGCAGCGTGCTGAGAGGAAATGTCAGCGTTGGCCATGAGGTGTGGTCATTTCTGTGCAGCGCTACCAGGGAATCCTGTTTTAGGGAAGTAACAACAGGATTACTAACTCTCAGCCATGGAGATCTGGGCCTTTAACCACAGCTCAACACACTGATGGACCAACGGGAGCACGGCTGAAAGAGAAACAGCTTGAATGGTGCAACCTTTAAGCTTCACACACGTTTTTGTTTCTTTCCAATTGAAGCTCCTGGCACTATATTTCTTTTAAAGGAGGCCGATTATGATCATGATGACTATACAAAACATGTTCATGAAGTTCTTTACATAACATTTCTCTCTAATAAATGCATTATTCTTGACAGTTTCAGTACCCTCCAGAATGAGCCAATTCAGGGCTCTATCCCTTTAGGGCACATATGTCAGAGTCAAGGCCCGCGTAGCATTTTTATGTGGCCCGCGAGATAAATATCAAAAACATATTAAAACTGGCCCGCTGGCCGATTTTACCGCAAAGACTTCAACTCCCATGATGCTTTGCAGCGTCAGCGTGGAGGTGACGCACCCCCTCCTTTGTGTTTTTTCCAGCCCGAGGCAGTCAGGGGTAGTTGGGTGTCTGTAGCTCCGCTGTCTAGGACAAACTACACTCCTCTCACTCAGCGCCGAGTTAACTCAGCTGTTTTCTGACGTTGAAGCCCAGAAACGGAGATTCTAGCCGCTCAGTAATGTTTTCACGACTTAAAGAGAAAGTTTTCCAACTAACGTCCAGACAGAGCTGATATAACTCCAGCGAACAGCGACACGCTCAAACCAGCACGGCTCTGTGGTTGTGTTTCCTCCCCGACACACAACAACGTGGTCAAGCTGCTCAGACATGTTCATCAGCACAAACCTATGTGAGCACCTGTTGTCATCTAATGTTGTCATTATTATGATGAAGATGAACAAAACAACAGGAGTCTCCTCCTCAGCTCAGATCAACCCCATGATGCAGGTATCCGGCTGGAACAGGTGAGCATCACAGTAAATCAGTGGAGCAAACTGAGCTTTAAATATTTAGGTTTTATGCTCTTTTTCTGCTCCAAAACATGAAAGTTAACAGGTGAGATGTTGCATTTTCATTTAAGATAAAATGATATTTTTATGTTTTTGTTGGCCTGTGAGAAAAGATTTAACCTACAGTAAACAGGAAGTGGAAAGGCTGCAGATAGATGAATAGAATAGAAAATCCCTTTATTGTTCCTCAGTGGGGAAAGCTAGACGTCACAGCAGCGATGACACTTATTACAGGAGAAAAAAAGGAGAATAAAAATAAGAAAAATGAATAATCAAGAAAACATAAATCCTGAACAGATTTTAAAATGCTGAATATACCACAATTAATGAATACCACTGATGCCTTTTATTTAAAACTGACTTGCTCGTGTGTAATTTAGTTATTCCACATTCAGTGTTAATGCAGAAATATGTTTGTTTCCAAATTTAAAGTTTCAAAATTGCATATATGTTGATAAAGAAAATGTGCAAATTTGCCGTCACTTTTTCTAAAATATTAAGTTTGGCCCTCGACTCCGTCCCAGAGTTTCATTTCGGCCCCGTGTGAGTTTGAGTTTGACACCCCTGCTTTAGGGCTAGGAATTTACTTGCTGTTTAACTTTGTGTTGATGCTGGCAGCAGGCTGCATCTTTGTTCACATACTTGCTGCTGCACTGCACGTAGTACTGGAAGGTTCCACTAGGGGGATCAGTAGAGAACTTAGACCAGATGGAGTGCTGAGTTTGTGGGGTACGACCAAAAAATACATGGCATCAATAGAAGAGGTCGCTACTGGCCACGCCCACCCTCACCTAGATTGGCTACTTTGAGGTGAGAAGCTCAGATATCCAGAAGGGGCTACAAGTAGAGCTGCTCCTCCAGCCTGAAGAGGTGAGGGGAGCTCTATGGTAATCCCCCCATTTGTGACATCACAAACAGGGGCTTTTGGAAACGGATTGTACACTCAAGTAAGTTGAATTGGTGGGTTTTTTCACGTTTGGGGCATTTATTGAGGCAGTAGAGACTCACATGGCAGCACAAAAGGCTGCAAAAGGTGATACATTCAAATAAATCGATGGAACAAA